TAAGCTGTGGCCTGAAGTTTTTTTACAAAGCGCTGCAGGAGATACGAAGGAACAACGAAGTGGCTTTCGGCTGCCGTCCTTGGCATCGGTTTGGTGGGAAGTAAAACGGGACCGAGGCCCATTAGCAGAAACGGCACCAAGTTAATTTACCAAGAGAGGCTCAGAGGCTCTTGTGTGTTCCCAACAACACGTCAGCGATGGCGGAGACACAACGGAAGCGACGGGGTCGAGCGCTGACGCCGTCCAACAACTTGTAGCAACGAGAGAGAGAGAAAGAGGGAATAAAAAAATAAAAAAAGTTTCCCCAAAAGTGATTAGTTACTGAGCCGATTGGACCATCACACAATGCAGGAGCGTCCTGCTTGGCTGAACTAATGCACATCGCTGTGAATTCGATATCTGAAACGTAACCCCATGTAAAGTGTGCAGTCTGTGGGAGCGAGGTGCTCTAATGAGATTAGCGCGGGTGAGTGACCCCCATGAAGCCATGTCCCACTTCCCACTCATGAGGTCCGTTTTTTTCATTCTCACAACAAATGCATCATGAGTACGAAGTTGAGGTTTCGGCTGCTTTAAAAAAAAAAAAAAAAGTTTGTCTTTGTTGGACGTCAAACACACGCCGCGATAACTTCTTTGTAACTCTATGTGTTCATCTGTTAACCATTTTACAACGCCTCGATAATGCTGAAGCACAAAAACACAACATTTAAGAAACCTGGTTACTAATCTAGTCGTTTTCTGTACATTCTGAATGATATTAGTATCAAAACGCTCTGTCATTGGAGAAATATTCAAATACTGTTTGTTTAAACAAGCGGTCAGGATTTCCTTACGAGTATACAATGTATATGGACCATCTCAACGTTTAAATATAGCATTCTCAATGTGTCCCCGGCTATTTCCAGTTGCACTGTATGTGAATGACATCAGCGGAGAAGAAATAAACAAGGACCCAAGCTTTTGCCCGGCAACGCAATTCCATTAAATCTGGTTTAAAAGGATCCTTTCAGACAAAATGGTGAATACAGGTTCATTCAGAAAATAGTAAATACGTTAAAGTAAAAACACCAAATGCAAGCGGAAACTTGGATATTAGAATAATACGTCTCCTTTAAACCAATTGTTGCTGCAGCATAGTACGTGCCCTTCTTTGCTATTTTGATCAGATTGTGGGTCATTATGGCTCAAAGCTATTGATGTGTTATTGAGGGCGAGATGAACAAAAAAACAAGTGACTCATAAATGCATGTGAAGGCTGCGACTAGCCTGCTGCCTGTTGCTGGGGACTGGGTTTTTTTTCTTAGCTGTGCTACCCAATAACATCTGGCCCAGGTCCTTGGTGAGCGAGTTAAACATCTGCATCCATATCGGTCTGGATCATGGGGACTGCTAGCGGGCAAACGGGTGGGGTTTAAAATCCACTGCCTCCACACATATGAAGAGTTTATTTATTTAGATCAAACACTGGGGTTCTTGTTCATTCTTTGGAAACGCTCAGTAAGGTTAAAGGTTTTAGGGTTTTTTTTATGCTGCAAAGAATATTTATTTACTTTAAATCACAGCTAACCATTTTGCAGATACTGTAAAAACTATCAACGTCATTGGTTAACCTGTTTTTGAGAGCTGAAACTTGTAGCGTGTAAAACAGCCATTTGGCTTCCCGTCCGAGCGGCGTGGAGTCAAGTTACGCGTTGATGTTGCTCGGGGGAAAGAACTCTTCCTATGCACGGCCTTCAAGGAAGCTTTAACATCCGATATTTACATGTAAGCAGTCAAAAGGCATTGATTTCACAAGCTACAGTGACAGGAAATGTAACTCGGAAGATGAACAATAAGCAAACGTGGCCTTCCACAAATCACTCGAAATTTGGCACCGACATCAGAAAGCTGCTTTTAGTGGCCTCAGAGGAAAAACAATGTGAACGAATGAGATATAACGAGACCCCACAATGACAAAATCAGTTAATGTGTTGAATGGTAAATAAGTTGAAAAAAAGTTTAAATGAGCTACCGATCAGAAGGCAGAACAACTCTGAGAACAGCTGATAAACTAAAAGATGTTATGTGCATATTTACTAGATAAGAACATGTCAGCTACCTGTGCAGACCAAAAATAAATCACATCAAAGTCATTTTATTTAATATATTATTAGCACATAATATGGTAACCGATGGTGGAAAGTAACTAATTACAATAATTCAAATACTGAACTAATTATTTATTCATTTATTTTGCAGGAACAATGTACACTGATCAACAGGTGTACTGTGAATGAGACAGTTAGCCAGAGAGACTTGTACTTCACTACAAATATTGCAAATATTTACCTTTTCCACTATTCCATTTACTTTAAAGCTTAGGTTGCTTTGCAGGTACAGTTTGATAATACATAAGTCACCTGATCCATATGATGTATTATAGGTTAATCCACCTATTAGTGCATAAAATAATTAGAATCAGCTCCACCATTACCAGCCGATTCATTAATGCAGTAATTACACAATATAATAACATTATTCTGGGTCAACCGTGCTGAACAATGAGCAGTTTTGTTGCAATTTGACTTTAATAAATTCAATTTTGAATGCAGTACTTTTACGTTACAATATTTCTCCATTGGAGTTTTGCAGTTACGTGAGTGAATCTTTTGAGTACTTCTTCCATCACCGACAATTAGACAAGATAACAATAGAATATTGAAAACCCGCCGCTGTGGTACTTGCCAGTCACGTCAACAGGAGCATTAGTTTATGTTGCATCTCCATCAGTAATAACGTTCAGCAAATTTCAAAGGGCACCTTCTGCCGCATTAATGACGGCCACAGCGAACCCAACACGAATGCACCCGGTTTGAAAATGACAGCGAAAACATCAGGGCCAAAGTTCAAGGTGATAAGGCCGACTCGCTTTTATTGCGAACACACTGTGACACACCTGTGTTATTTTAGTGCACAGTATCTTTAAGAGCTGAAAGAGACAACTGAGAGGTAAATACAAGGAGTTTAAAATTGATAGCGCGGCCTTGTGTGTGTGAAACCGCTGCCGCCGCACTTCATCCCTCGGTTAATCGTCAACTACGCGTTCCGGGAAGTCGTGTGATGAAACATTGGCGGCCGGTCTGCATATAGAACATGGGAACGAGGGGACTGTGGCAGAGGTTAGTGACAAACGCAGGTTCACACAGACCTGCTTGTCTGGGAGAACAATGAGGTTCACACATGATTCATCCCGGGGGTCTTCCTAGACGCCAGCACGCTCCGCCGCAGGAAAAGACGCCGCCGCCGCCGTCGTCGTGGGTCAGGGCCGAGTGGGACGTCCACCACCGGGCTCACTTCCCCTTCCCACTGCGTCACCGCTTCTAAAGAAAGACGCCTTCCTGCGGACATTTTAAAGTAATCGCGAAGACAATACTTTTGAGGGCGAGCTTGATGGACGAGCTTGATGGACGCTCACATTTATACCAACATGGCGCGTGGCCCCCGGACCAGGAGGCCGGGTTTTCAAACACGTAAGCACTCTTCCACTCTCGTGCACCTAATTGAAGCCTGGAAAGTAAATGTGCTATGACAGCGACTCTGCATCACAATACATTCCAAACGGTCACGTGGTCTCTTTTCACCGCCCTACGCGAGCACAACTAAACGATGGCGGGGGAGGTGGTGGCTCCAGGGGGGGCCAACTCACTGACACAGACACACTTGTGCCTTGGAAGCCATCAGGTAGCTTTTCTAAAGCACGCTCGGCAAAGTTGCTCTTGTTAAAACATGCCCGATCCCCTCCCCGCCTGAGAGCGGTTGATCCCAGCAAGCAGGTCGGCCGCCCCGAGCGCCGCAGAGTTGTGCAACTACCAGCACCGGAGGCCGCAAAGGGATAGGAAATAGGAAATCCACCACCTCCTTCCCTTGAGTGTCATGAGTCCTTTAGGTGCAGAGAAGGCGTGGGTGGGGGAGGGGGGGGGTGGTGGCCTATATATCAGTGTGGTAAAAAAAACAAAACGATGCAAACCTGATCACCTTTCCATCCCCATGCAGTAGATGTTAAGTCTGAGGGCTCCATCACGCTGAATCACCACCTTAGAGCCGTTAGAAAGCCTTCCATGACACAATGGGTGTGGATTACGGCTAAGAGTCTTACTGTTAGCTCTTCTCTCCCGGATAAAGACCACGCAGCACAGCAGGACACTCCGTCGGCACCGTCGCATCAGAGCAGAGCAGGAAACTCTGACATACGCAGATTATTGGGTAAATGTCACACTAGTGGCTGATGGGTCTTCGTGGTTTGAGAAAGGTGAAGGTACTGTGTACCTGAACAGACCACGTGTGAGTGGAACAAACCGTTGATGAATGGATCAAGATTAAAAAGAGTGACTTTAAACTCAACGTTGGAACCTTTTCATAAATTTAGATTCTAGATCTACATTTCAATCAAAAATAGATTAAAAAAATATCAATTTATGAATAAAGACTATTCAAGTCTTCTCATAAAAGTGAAGCATTATAATTCATATTTTTGGTCTGTGTAGTAAAGCGGTGCAGTGCACCCCAGTGACGGGCCCAAGGTCTCAACACTAGTTTGTAGCTCCGATAGGATTAATGATCTGAATGAACTAATCATGTTGGATTACGTTTTGGGAACATGAACGCGGTGACGCAGAAAGCAGGACGATAGACTTTACTACTGCCTCCATGTGGCTCCAACAAAGAAAGGCTCAGACCACAGAAGGTAAATAAGCTCAGGTCTGTGCGTCAATAACGGTGTCTGAGTGGAGCAGAGCATTACGCACTCAACACAACTCTGTGGGGCAGGATTACTAGACAAACAAACCAACCAACATGTTAGAGCTTTAAATAAATAGTCTGGTATTTTGGAAAGAAAAAAGAAAATAACTGTTTGTAATGACATCTAATGGGATTTTAAACATAACAGTAAAAGGAATTAGAAACCGATAACAGAATCTGCCAGATAAACACCACAAAACCCACAGAGGAAACTTCAAACATTTCATTGTACAATAAACCTTTAATAAATAGTTTGTCATTAGTTTCCCATATTTACATAACAACCACCATTTACGTATCCTGCCATACTCATTTCCTGGCTAATTTAGGCACACAGAGAGAAGGGGTTCAGGCCACAAACCACATCGTACTAAAAACAGGAGTGGCCAGCAGGTAAGTCTTGAGAAATATATAATAATAATAATAATAATAATAATAATTGCACCATACAACCAAATAGACCAAGAGGGGGCCATCTCCTTGAGCAATAAATATATACACTTGCTGTACGAGTCATTTTAGTACATTTACAGTCATCTGCTCGACAGCTGTACGAGTGCACATGGGGCTGGTGCAGGATGGATCTGACCAATTTGGGTTCGGAATACATGGGTTCACCATGCGTTGGTCCAATAAATGTTAAATAAAAAAAACAGGATATTACATATTCAAAGATCACCACCAATGGACTTCTGTCTAGTAACACCCCTTCAGAAATAATAGAAAACAAAAATAAGATTCCGGTTGAGTATCGCCGCAAAAAGATGTACACGTCGGCTTGGAACATACAGGGACTTTTGTTATTATTTAGTGATAAATCTGGGGAAAATATAACTAACCACAGTGAAGTGCTTGTTATTAAAAAAAAAAAAAAAAGAAAAAAAAGTTGAATGGTAAATTGTTGAATCTCCATCATTGGGTCTTTTGACGTTGAAAAAAAGATTCCTAAAAAATTACTGGATAAGTTTTAAAAAGTGATATATAAATATAGATATATATCTATATAGAATTCAGCCAAAAAATTAAGACAAGAGAAAACAAAACAGAAAAATATGCAAAAATCACTCAAATAAACAAGCACACTTACACACCGTATGAAAAAAATAAAAAATAAAAATTGGCACAAAAACATAATGTACATTTTCCTTCAGATGGATGTTAAACAGCATGAAACACATTGTAAGCTACTTATTCATATCGGTTTGGTTTTGGCCATTGAAATGCACTTACGGCTTTTCTTGAATCAGCTTTTGAGAATTGGGGTTGGGAGATTTGACCAGTTGGTAGCGCACATCACGTGAAAGGGAACACAGGGTCACTGATGCCGGGACACCAGAACCAGGCGCAGTCCATGCTCAACCGGCGCCGCCTGTCGCCAAGAAACATTCCACCGATATGAAGATGTGACCCAGCCACAGCAAACAAACATTACTCATGCTCTCTTACACTGCGCGCAGTGAGGTTTTACATTTCGCTATGTTATATTTAATATCTTGACCGATACCTTCTAATTAATTCGGGACATAATTCTATCATAATTCTATTGTCTTCCTGGTTACTTTCTAGTTTGTTTTTCATGCATTTTGTAGGAAAGTTATTTTAAATAATTGTCTCTCGTTTTTCCCCCTCAAGTATTAATTTGTGGCAGCATCGCTCGATTAGCATGCGTGCATTAATCGAATCTTGAACGCTGCACTTGAACGCTTCTCGCAGTGAACAGCAGTTTGTGGAAAAATGTAAATGCTTCAAAAACACTCATCACACATAACCCTCGAAAGAAACATGTGCACTTGTAACGTCTGCCTAAAACAGCCGTTGCCTGCATTGCCTTTTTTCATCTGGAAGCAGCAAGCCGCGTAAAGTGAGGTGAGAACCTGTCCGGCGATGACCAACCCGAAGCCCGTTGAATGTCAGTTAGATACCAGTTTACATCAAAACATTTGTTTTCCTTTTATGATTTGAGAAGTTTGCAGTGCCTGTTAACAACCGAAGCTTAAATGAGACCGTTTCACTGCTCATATTACCACTGTAGAAATTTGTATCCGCCACACATCAAACCGGACCTTTTAATTATCTACCGCAGCAGCACGAGTGATATTCTGTTGAACATAATGATATAAATTGAAACACTATGTATAAACAGTCAGTGCCAACACTGACAAGCTGATAGTGTCTCCAAATGGTCCGAAGGCTTGTCGAATAAAACTATGGATCGGTAAGCCTTTACCCTGATGGTGATAAAGGAACAGAAAGGGCATGAAAACAAGAGGAATAAAAGGTTCGTAACTGCTCCGATGGGAGCGATAGCGCACGATTACAGAGCCTTTTCAGACCTTGGTCTTCATACAGGTTACGTAATTAATATATAGATTTATCTATTTATATATATATTAAGTCACTTTGAGGCAACATTTGTTTCTTGACTAAAAATTTGAAGCACAACCTTTAGTTTGAGAAGAGGAAACTACACAACCCAAACTGTACTACTGATCTAGAGAATGGCAATAAACACTGAATAAGAGCTTCAGCTAATAAAAGTGGTCTCTGTCGCATCCTTCTCCGTCAGAACTTTAACAAAAGTGTGGTCTTACGATGCTTTTTATACCCAAACTGGTTGACACACCCTGACCTGGGTTAGGCGGGCGGCTCTCCCCTCACAGGCGGACAGTTGGCCGCTGCGCATTCGGAGGAAGAACCGTTTTCCCTCCTCGCACGCGTCGACGGAGCAGAGGCGAGCGTCGGGACATGAGTTCAGATCGTGTGAAAGACCAGCAGAGGTCAAGTGCTCGACTGGCCGTTTGTTACACTCCTGTTGGACAAAGGTCGCCACGCCATTGGCTACAGAAGAACATGAAGAATCACACAGGTATTTAGTAACTTTTGATATCCACCCCACTCGCACTCTAAACCCAATCACTCCGGTTCTGCTTTGCACCAGGAGGAGGACAAGCTGTTTGCTCCCCTCTGTTATGCTTTAAAGAAACCAAGGATCAGAGTCCGACTCTGCAAGACACGCGCACACACACACCTTTCCACTGCAGGCCCAAAAAATAGTCAACACACGCTCTTCATACAGGGTCTTTAGAAAGTCCTCACAATACCCTGCTTTAAAAAAGAAAAAAAGAAAAAAGGGGGCTGATAAGGAAGGAGGGCCCACTTTTGTGCCGTGGACACAAACACCTCTTTGCAGCACTCGAGTCTGATCCGTGCACTGAGGCGAGAGTGTGTCCGTGTGGTGAAATGTGCATTTCTCTCCCGTGTGTGCGGGGGTGTTGGGGTTAGAGCGCCGTCTGCCCCCTCCCCCCCAGCTGTGGTTATACACTGCTGTCCTCCAACAGCGGCTCCTTGCCCTCGGCCCCGCTGCCCTGGGGGCTGTGGGAGTGACTCTGTGCCCCGTTGCTGTGCTTCTTATAGGCGCCGGGCCTCATGCCCGGCCCCATGTGCTCCGGGATAAACAGGGCCACCAGCAGAGACAGCAGCACCGAGCACGCGCCGAACAGGAAGGGAGGCCCCGGGATGATGGCGCTCTGAAACAAGAGTGGCACGTCGGGTTCAAGCACAGCTTCCGTATGTGCCACTTATTATTTGTCCGTGCAGGAGTATCGAGCACCTACCTCGTCGGTGGGGTTGGCCATGTTGGTTTTTGCACCGGTCTCGGAGCCGTCCGTATCGGTCAGCTCCACGTGGAACAAGTAGAAGACAAAACCGTAGAGAGCGGGGCCCAAACCGTTACAGAGGCCTCGAATTCCAGTAATCATCCCCTGGACAACACCTGCAGGAGGACAGATATAAACACCATCAGGAATCTTTGGTAAAAAGCAGTCGAGCCGAATGAGAGGAAGTCAATTGTGTGATTTGGATCAAAGAGCTGCGTCGTTTTTTTGGACGGCGGTGTACAGCAGCGAATAACAGACAGAGACATTGAATCAATGGAAGCCAACTGGATACCCACTCAGATGAAGTGGGACCACCCGCTGGGACTAGATAACATACAGGTATGTGTCCTTGTGTTTATACCTCCTCTTTCTAGTAGATAAGTGCGCAATGTGTGGTCAACAAATTGTCAGTGCACTGAACTTAAAATACTTTTTGATGTACCAACGGAAATGTGAGTATTGCACCTGGAACGAAAACCTGCAAATAAAAGTAAATAATGTAGCATTGAATGCAGCGTCAAACTCTTAGCAGTTCTCCCCTAGATACATAATAAAGAAAACGGATCATTTAAGACGGTTAGTTGGGCATGACGTTAATATGTAACAGTTGGTGTTGCCAGCATATCACATTAATGACAGCATATCTTATCAGACAGAAAAATGTGAGATGTTAAGTGTTACATAACTTACCTTGTTGGTCGGGTTCAGCATTACGGGACACGATAGCGCTGATAGCGGGGAAAGTGATGCTGGACATGGCTGCGACAGCCCCAGCAGCCCACATCATCCTACAAACAACAACACATTAGTCAACACAGGGTCTACCTTATAAGAATGGGTCAGGATACATCTCTTTAAAAAGGTTGTTAGGCCTATGGTAATGGTTAAGAAATGATGGCTAAAAAAATAAAATCAAATAAAAAAAAAATAAAATAATAATCAATTAACTTCAATCACTGAAAAAGGAATTTGAGATACAGTTGTACTTCCAGTTAATTTTTTGAAAAAATGAAACCGTACAAATGATTTATACATGTTCTTGTTTTCAATCATCGTGTGACGGCTTTAGAGTCTCAATGTTGACACTGGGAACATGGAACATCCTGACCTTTATTTAATTTAATTTCCTGGGTATTGACCGAAGCAGAGGGCAGAGACGACATGTTGTGCACGCTTTCATTAACAATCAATGCATATTGTGGGTCACTGCGACCTCACCTTCACGCCCGAAGAACCTGACGCAGTTGCTTTGATTTATGACCTGTGTGTCAGGCCGGTGGTTGTTTAATAATACACGTATTTAAGTTATGGCTTTTTACTTTGGGGGGAAAAAAAAATGTTTGGATTGGCAAGGAATCTCAAACCGTAACTTCCATGCTTGCGGGAAAGAAAGTAATTTTAAATTGGTCAAACTAAATCGTTTGAGTTACAACATTTGATGCTTCGTATCAGATTACAGCATCAACTGGGCGTTACTGCCCTCCGGTGGTTTATCGGGACATCACAAAAGTGAAGAATAAGAAATTCTCCTGCTAAGAATGTGCTTATACATGTGTAAAGTTACCTCGAGGATCGGGCATGAGACACATTATTTAAATTTTATTGACGGGTTATAGATTCTGGCTGGTATCTGGTCGTCTTTTAGGTACCATGTTACTCAAATCACTTCTGGATCCGAGTCTGTGGGATGTGCGTCCCTTTGACCTAATGCAGTGGACAGGTGAGTGCGTGGCAAACGTTACTGACCAGGGCTGGGAGCCGAAGCCGTACCACGCCAGCTGGAGGATCTGGAAGCCGAGGCCGAGCAGGATTGTGTTCTTATTGCCTATGGACCGCATCAGCATCCCCAACACCACCGTCTGCAGAAACACGGGTCACACAGCTCACCTCTCAGGAAGCATAAAGTAAAAGGAGCGTATACGTCGCACCTCTTACATAGAGATGCAACAAACACTTGATTCACCTACAGGCAGAAAAATTAGTTTAGTATTTGTGTTTTCCTTCTTTCCTCATCCAAACTTCCAGGACAAAGTGGTATAATGAACAGATGTTCAAAAACAATAAAAAGATCATTAATAAAAGCCCAAACACGGGGGGAGAGACGGCTTGATTTGACATGAGTCACCAGCGAAAGAGTTTCTCAGTACCTGGGCAAGTATTGAGAGGATCCCCACGACAGCGATAAAGGCAGCCACCGTCGCTGATGTGAAGCTAATGACCTGAGGGTGAGACAGCATTCCAATAAGACGAGTCAGCACAAGACAAGCAGTCAGAGACGGGGTAGAAAAGTGGCTCACACACACACACAAAGCTCCCCTCCACCCACAATTTACACTAATCACAAAACTAAGAAAAGGGGATTTTTGTAAACACGAGCTGCGCACAAATGCGTTTTGAAAACAAAGTGTGCTCCACTTTTTTTATTTAGGTCAAATACGCTGCCCTTTATCTCAGGAGTATGGCAGTTTGTGTAAAGTATGTTTAATTTACGACAACTCGATGTATGATAAAGTAACATTGGCATAAGGGCAACTTGTCAACTACTTTGCGTTGTATTTTTTAAAGGGAACATCCTTGAATCCCAATTCCACTTCACGGTGGACGAGTAACTGCTATTACATTTGGTCGACGGGTGTACACGATGTGTGTAAACAATGTTCATTGGGATAATTGAGTGTTTGATCGAATTTACGTTCTTTAAGGAAGTGTAATGGAGCAGAGTTGTACCTGTCTGAGATAGAGGAAGAAGCTGGAGTACTGGCCAGCCTCAGGGAGGTAGGAGAGAAACACTGTGATGCAGATGAGGAGAACCGTGGAGTCCTGGCCCACCTTACGCAGCGACTACGAAGACAACAGACAGATTTCACTTTCAATTCATAGCTACATGAGGACGAGCAATGCTAGTGTGGACCATCAACCATTGTTTCCTACTTAAATAAGATGCCAAATGCCCTACAATAATCCCCGTGGATATTTAAACAGCCATCTTCCAAGGTTAGTTATTTTAGTAAAAAAAAAAAAAAAAAAATCAGTGAAGAGATAAATAGTAAAAGAAGAAACATTCATAACATGTCTCCCTTTAACTTTTGTAGAGCTTAATATAGTAATACGGCGCCACGATAATCTGAAAGTGAGGAACGGAAAGCGGCACGTTGTTACTCACGGCGAAAGGGTCCGCCTGTTCCCAGGAGATGGGTGCTCCCCACGACGCTGGCCTCATCTTCTCCGGCAGCGACTCCGGTACGGCCACCAGGATGAAGCAGATGTCCAGCAGCGCGATGGCCGTGGCCAGGATCACCACCAAGGTGTCGCCGTAGGTCACAGACAAGTAGGCTCCGATGGCCGGGCTGGTGACCAGGCTGGCTGCGAAGGTAGCAGATACCTGGAGGGAGCAAGAAGCTGATTGTAAGGACAAACTTGTTTCTCAAGGCATTTAAAACACAAGACTGGGTTTTGGTTGACCGTCTCCTTACCAAGCCGTATGCCGTGCTCCTCTCATGCTCCTGCGTGATATCCGCCACATAAGCAAAGATTACAGAAAAGGTGACGGCGAAGACGCCGGACATGGAGATGACGGCAAAGTACCACCTGAAAGAACAAACGCGTTTAGGCTTTTAACAGTGACATTTCACACATGTGAAGTGTATAATGTTATGGGGAACTGTAGGGTTGTAGTGTATTCTGTATTAAGTTTGATTACAATACTTCACCGTCCACCTATAAACAAAGGCAAAGTGTTTAGATGGAGCTGTTGTTGATGCTTTGCACTCACCATGGGCTGATCTTCATCAGTGGAATGGGTGCACACGTGAAGAAGACCGTTAGCAGCAAGAAGGATTTGCGTCCCCAAACGTCTGACAACGCTCCAATCAGCGGCGCACTGAGAAATGATAAAATGCCCTGGAGAAGATGGGGACACATGGGAGAGAAAGGGAGGTGGATGGATCAGAAAAGGGCTGAAAATGGATAATGTGTGTGTGTGTGTACCACTAGGATTTACAGGGACTGTGATGCAAGTACACGCAACCCGTCTGCAGAGAACCCTGCAGGTTTAGTTGAGGAGAATGTACAAAACATAATTTTAATCTATGTGTGATACCGGCCTTAAGGATCACTTTAGCCGTAACGCCAGCATGACTCGGCCTTACTGTGGCGGGTCGCCAACTTAGACTGAAAGATCAGATGATCCTGATCCTCCTCCTGTTGTTGTTGTTGTTGTTTCGCTCGTGCGCTATAACTTACCAATAACCACTTCCTCTATGATACAACTATAGGCTCAGTTCTCTTTATGGAGAAATGTGGATTTGGCCATTTTCCAATTGCAAATAGCCGGCCGGCACCTGTCAATTTAGGATGTCACGGATTTTGTATGTGAGCACAAAGTAAAAACATTCGTATTACTGAATGAGGCCAACTAAAATACAACATGATTAAAAGGCATGTACTCTCCAACTATATTTAGACACTTCCTTCCCCTGGATAGAGACCCTGAAGGCTCACTTGATGCTCTCGAGGTGCTACTATGCTACTAAATATTCTACAGCCAGCAGGGGGAACCTGCTATGGTGACACAACAGCTTGCAGGCGTTTACATGTGAGTGTATTGGGGTTAAGCAGGGCGTCACTGAACAAGAGAGTCCACAGTCAGCCAATATCCAAGGGGCAAATAAAAGCAAATTAAACTCGCAGGAGAACAAAGTTTATTTACAGACGCTGTAGCGCTATGGAACAAACATTTGCTGGCAGGTATATCTTACTGTAAGGCTTTGTCAGAAAAATAAATGTGATTGAAAAGTATTAAGTTCCCAAAACACATGTATTTTTAGCTTATTTATTTTTTGTGAACAACCACTATAAATCATCTCCAGAGCAAAAAGTTTAGATTTGAAACAACACCAAAGATGTTGCTTGATAATGAGGAACTGTCAATGTGGCACACCCAAAACATTTAACCGCATTGATGGAAATTCATAATGTCATTCGGTATTTGTCGAAATATTTAATATGTCAATACGTCATTTGAACATATGGGGGGACAGGAAACCGTTGCAATGCCTCAGGAACTATTGAAACAGAGGCAGTTGTGCACAGGTTGTTTTAGGGCGTGACTCCCGCTCACGCGGAAACCACATGCAAGTGGAAATGAACGCCTCGTGTCATTTTTGCTGCTGAACTTTATCCGCCCTGAAGATTATTCATTTTTGTTGCTGCGGCACCATTCCTGGGACCCGTAACAAAACAGAACCTGCCAGAATTGTGTCACCGCAATATTCTGTTGTGTACTGATCACTTACCTTGACACCGTGGATGAGTCCATTCATCAGGAATGTGTGTTGGGGGAATGTCTGGTGTAACACCTGAAGACCAAACAGAACACCACATGATATCAGTTTGCATCACATTAACCCACAAGTTGAAAATCATTGAACATTTCACTTAATTTCCACTTCAACATATGAAGCACTTTTAGTGTTACAATATGGGGAAAAAAGAAAAAAAATGAACATAAAACAAGGACAAATAAACTTTACGGAACGCTTAACATCAGAAGCAGAATTGAAGCACCCACATTGGCGGCATTTAAATACTGCAACAACATCAAAGGGTCTTCTTTATTTAGTATCTCAGTGGTAGAGATGTGAATCCTTAAAACAAAAACTCGAGTGCACAAAAGCATTGCCGAAGCCACTGCAGATAAACATTGCTGTCATCCTCATGCGAGCGCTAAATCCTGTTACTTTGGTCCTAAAATCAACATAGAAAACCAGAGTATACATTTTAAAATAAATAGTCAGCACAGTGTTCCCACGGGAGTTGTACAGAGAATCCAAATAGTCCACACGAAGCAAGAACGCAGACTAAACTCCCACTCTACGTTGTTTGAGCAGTAATGTGTAAAGTAAAGTGTTTCGGGTTTCGGTCTGGACTATGCATCGCCATGGTTACAGGCTTTTACTCATTACAACAGTTTGTTTGCCCTTCTGCTGGAACATTAATGATATTATTAGGAGTCAGACAGATTATCTCAGTTCAAGTGTAGACGGAAAGACCGGAGAGCAAATTCAACCTAAATGAGGAAGTGGCCATCAACTTTATAGTATGAACGCAGGTAGTGAAACTAGGTCAATTCTGTCAAACGTATCACTTGTTGGTCCAAGCCGCTGGTGAACAGCAGCAGTCACAGCTGACACCCTTCTGTTCAGAACCTCTGCCGTTGTTTGCACTATTGGCACCGTTAGCGACAAGACGCCAGTTCGGCCGTCTCCGTATCGGCAGGTGATAAGAGGCAACGGAAATGCTACCTATCCCGTATATGGCAGCGTTGGTGAAAATAAAATAAATCTAGATTTCTTATAAACAAATGATATGCAGAACTATTACGCTACACACATTTCAAGTGCATTTAACAGCGAGATGAAAGTCTTTCAGGATTTTCCAACAGCAACGTATATTTCGGAGTCTGCAGAGGGGAAAGGACAGTCAAGTTCAATGTCCATTCTGCCAGTGTCAACGACTCTGGTGTTAGAACACTGCGTACAGTACGAACAATAGGACATCTAGAGCTCCAATAAGACTAAATAACCAAATGTAGGTGAGGTTTAGGGGTACAGAAGGAGAAGCTCTGCTCTTCTTCTGGGACTCAACTTTGCACAAACAGACTGAACGCGTAGCGACGACTGTTGCTGCTGGATACTAATGAAGCAGTACGCTCATTGGGAGCAGTGAAGCGGTCCCTCTCATCTTCAGGCGCCCTCTGATTAGTCCAAAATGCAAATCCTACCTCCGCTCAGGGATCTTCAGGGCAACAAAGCCCCAGTAATTAAGGGTTTACAAACCCCCCCTAGTAATTAATGCTCAACAGTTACACATACAACCGCCTCTTCAAACGAGAGGCTGCTGGAAAGCATGCGTTGCATGAGCCCGTCTGGTTCACATCATGTGGCGCACAGATGGTTTCCTTTTGTCTGAGACACTGGTTTATACCCAAAGTAAGTCACTTAGAGCAGCGGTTCCCAAACTCAAGAATGCCGCGGCCCACTTTGAAATCTGAAAATCTTTCGCGGCCCACCCAAACCTTTAATCACAAGTCTGATCAAAACATAAATGATAAAATGACCTTAAGAATTTAACCAAAATCAAACATCCGCGAGCAAAAGTCCTTCACCGCGAGGTATTTGCTCGCTTGCGAAACGTGAACGTGAAGTTTTCTACGCGCTCGCTGTTCTTTCTGACAGTAAGGTGGAGACGGTGCTTTCAGGGTCCGATCGATGCCGTGAGGTCCCGCCGCCCCCCTCGCCATCCACGCCTTAAATCTTCGGCTGCTTTTGGAATAACTTATTTTCCCCGTTAAAATGGTTCAGCTACTGTAGAGAAAAGGGCGCCGTCTCTCGCTCTTTAATCTCATGAAGTGCTCGGTGAGAACGACAGCTTTGTTTCTCCGACGCGCCCTGAAAGCAGCTCCATATCTCACGCGCTTGAGCGCCGCTCAGCATCTCGCCGTCGTAGACGAGCTTTGGCATGTTTGGCAGAGCGCCTTGTACAACCAGTATGGATCAACCGATTAACCAATTGATCCATATATATAAGGCGCTGCGGATTATAAGGCACTGTCACTGTGTTTTTGAGCAAATTAAAGCCTTTTAAGTGTGCCTTGGAGTGCGGAAAATGCGGTATATTTACTTTAATACTACAAGAGGGCGCCCCGTTCGTTGAACAACGACAGGCGGACAAGAGCAGCCGTTTCGAGCGAGAGCCTTATTGTTTTATTAATCTGTCCGTTTAAATTGTTTGTGCGTCATCAACTAATATTTCACATGTGCCGCATCATAAATATTTTTATATTAATTTCAAACTTTTAAAAATTGAAAAACTTTATTTATTTATTTATTGTAAATGACCTCTCGCGGCCCACCTGCAGCCCACACTTTGAGAATCGCTGACGTAGAGAGCGAAAATGCGCTACCATTGTTGAAAAACGCCGGTGATATTTTTGCAACGATGATTCTCTAATTGACGCAGTCCAAGCTGCACGTAGCAAACACGTGAAGTGCACCACTCTGCAGCGGAGGCGAACGAGTGGCGTGGTTCGCCTGGCCGGCATCTGCGCTGCGGCCTCCCAACACAGACCAGTGACCCGATAAGCCTTTCCAACAAAGAGCTGGGGCTCAGACAATGCAACAGTTTGATGGCCTTTTCATATTTCTCCGTTCTGTTAGTGCTTCGCAAAACATCTGCTAACAGACACACACACACAAAAATAAACTGCGTCAAACCGGATCTCGTTCATTTGATCAGGCGCTGATAGGCCTTGTATGGTTACAATAGAAGAGAGGTGTAGGCTGAGGTGTTCATGTTGTTATATGACCATTTTAAAGACGAAGAACCATTAAGGGTTTAGGATAAGAAAGAGGGGACACAAATCAGAAGTGCCTGTGTTTTTATTTTATATAATATAAATCAGCCATATATTGGAGTACATATAAAAGATGCTCTGTAGTTTTACCTTTGCTTAATCTAGGTATTATAAGAGGTATTAAGTCATCCCTATTGACACACCTATATATGGGCAGGTGTTCTGTGTTTTTATAAGTGCATGTCATCTAAAACTATAAAATGCAAAATATATATATGTTTGTGTTGAGATAGGTTTGTGTTGTGTTATGAGACAGAAGTGACAGCAGTTCTGGGAAGTGATGAGATGCCTGGCGCAAGGTGGATACCTGGTAGGGTGATTTACCTCAAATAGCGTGAGATCAGCAACACGCGTTACAAGGCATATGAATACATTACCAGCCGCGCTGTAAGTTCACATAACAGTGTGCCCACATGCGTCTCGTCTTACCGTGAGCATTGGGGTGGTGAGAAGACCCCATGCGAAAAACTCCAGGAAGATGACCACCACAGCATGGTAAACACTGGGCTCACCGATTCCCTGAGGCTGGACGGAGACAAAGAGACACACACATAGAAAGGTGATTAGCTAAGCAATAATCATTATTTACTGCATCACAGGGCCTGTAAACAGTACACACATTAACAGATCGAACCTCCAACTGGAATGCAATTTAAAGAAGCTTTCGCCTAATGGTACAGACATTTGGCATCACCTGATCCTGCAAGATCGCCCAGAGTGGAGATGGAGTGAGTAAGCTAATGGAAAAACATTCTTTCCATCCAGACTTTTGTAAGAAGTATGTACATAAGAGGTTTTGACTCAGCCATAGAGGGCTGAATGTTCAACTAAACCACCAACAGAATCTGGATTGTTGTGAGTTTTGTACTTTTTCCATTAATTAAATTTCAAATTGATGTTGCGGATTCAATTAAAGTAATTAAAACAAAATGAAAAGGGTATTGTCTTTAAACTACAAATTGAGTGAAATAGCTGTGTATTTGACACAGAAACTAAGCATTTATTTTCTCATTGCCACAAGCTATTCTAAAATGTTTTCTCCATCTACAAGTGACTTAGCACAAATCTACCAACATTGAGACAACAAATTTAAGATGTTAACATGCAATATCAGGCGTATTGGCTTACTCTTATTACAACATTCATTTTGTTGAGTATGTAAATGTACAGAGTGTAAATCAAGGGGAGGAAATTTAATTTTAAATTCATCGAAGTAGACGTCCCTAATAATAATAATAATAATTTGTAAAAAGAAAATATTTAAAACTAAATCCTTCAACATTTACGATTTCTTATTTACTTTATCCAAATTTCAGAACTACCAGACAAAGTTTAATCCACCTGCTGAAAATACCCAAATATTCACGGCCATAGAATACTGGGTGACAATAAATATAAACCATAATGAGTAGAACACATATCAGGGCCCTTCAAACATTCTTGAAAGCCCCTTCTTATTGAGGAAATCTGTTTTGTGGTGTAAGGTGAAAAGAAAGTATGATGGAGTGAGAGTGGATGCTAAGCACGATCTTTAACAGGAATCACAGCAAGGCGTAACGATTGTGGAGACTTAAAGTAGGCCATGGCCACCTCAACACAGACATTAGCCATTCGTTTACTCGCTCATGGAGTTGGTAACTTCCCTATGACTATGCTGGCCACAAGGGGAAATTTTAAATTGACTGGGATGGACTAAATCTCCTGGTTGGTTGAAATGTGTCGTCACAGGCAAATCAGAGGAAACTCTCATCCTTTTTGTTCTATGGTGACGATGATCACACCACCTGCTTGACTGAAAAAAGAGGAACATTCTGCAACGGCCTCATTACAAAGATGTTGCAACTTCCCCTTATTGAAACTACAACCAGCTTACGTGACATCATCAGAGTTCACATTTTGATTTTGACTAGAGAGTATCGAAGCCCTATTAATGCAACGAATACATCGAGGATGTTGAAGTGTAGTTAGAAAAAGCTGCACTAACAGAGGCGATAACAATGACTTTAACTAAGGACCTCATTGGACTATCGCCCCGATATGTCAGGTTCACGGGCATCAACAGAATGACTGGATCAATTCTGGGGGAAAACAATAACGTTTTGGTTCTCTTAATTAGGATTACACATCTGTGTCTTCATATGTACATTACGTAACCATCTCTGAAGCCTCGCCGTGTTTATAAAAAAACTACCACACTCACTCTTTTCCAGCCTAAATTGGGACGATCTCGCCGTCGACCATCTAAAAATCTTGCAAAGAACTACAATATCCGACACGTTTGGTTTCCCATTCGATCTGTGTGCCGAGGAAGGTTGACGCTTCCAGCTATGTAGATCGTACCATCATACGTATTATGGTTTAATCGCACATGCCCCATCGAAGTGTACCTGCAAACAACAAGCTGTTGTTTAACCAATCATTGGCAGCACATTCTGAACGGACACCATAAGGAGCAATAACCCTCGTAACGTCGCAGGGGTTAAACAGTGGCAGTCAATATGTTTTGCATATCTGAAATGTTTACCTAACGTCCACCGTTGAGCTCGCATGTTTTCAACCAACTTTAACAATGCGTTTTAGTGTTTATTTACAAACCACAATGTCGAACTAACATCTTACGGGGACCGGGGAGTTACACTATTTTTTCTGTGAAACCGTTGGCTAGATAATATATTGATTATCAGTTTCAGGATGAAAAGTCGAGACATATGCTAGTGATGCTAATGTTGGTTAGCCTCGTTTGTCTTACGGCGAAGCACCGTCATGCGTAATTTTCAAAGATTTGAATAAACGTAAGACGTCGTTAAACCTTAAGCGCGGGTTTGAAAGTTAGATGTAATAATATGCGCATTATCGGAAATACTGTGAAAAGATGCATAGATGCACACCCGACGTTGACAGTACCCAGTTAGCATTGGCAGGGCTGACGTGTAAACGACAAGCTAGCAGATGTGACGTTAGGCCGCTAACGTTAGCAGATTCTACTTCATAGCTAGCGGGGTTAGCCGGACGGATTCAGCTAACGGTCAACATTATCCGGTGGGGCCAATCACTAAAGACAGAAAGATATAAACAAATGACGCCACGACTGCTTCGTGTTTAATGAAATAAACAAGGCCACAAACTAACTCCGGCAACTGATACACAGATTAGCACAGTGGAAAGCTTACTTAACGGGGAAAAAATAAATATTTAACTCACACTTCCTCCATCTTTTATTATAATTTTCTTTGCAAGAAGAATGCTGCGGTTCAGCCGCTTTTTCTTCTTTTTCTCCCCCGTCATCGTTAACTTATGTCCATTCTTGGTGTTAGAGGGTCATCGTCGCACCTATCGGAACTAAAACAATCTGGTGATTTCCGCCTCAACGCTCATAACACTTCGGAAGTCGGCTGTAGGCAGCTAGCAGCGAGCTACCTTAATGATGATTTCTCAACCTCACCTCTTCCTGGGCTGGCTGTAGACCCGCCCACAAAGAGCAACAACGCTCAACGACTGGCTGCCCGGTGAAAGCGTAAATCCATCCCGTGGTTCTGATTGGTTAGAAAAAACATTGGCGCTGCTGAACCTCAGGTGGCGATTTGTGGACATCACACCGCGGGTTCGTTGTACAAGAGGAAATCCCATATTTGGAAATTGGAGTTTTTCAAGAAAGTGTACACGATGTTCCGCTTCTTCGACAAACACAATACAACACAGAAAACAATGCAAATTAATAACAGATGGAGGGTTGCAATCCATCGATCTTTCTTTTCTTACAGTAATCCTCCGATTTGTTTTAAAGTAAATTAGGTTTTTTTTCTTGACAAAAGTGCAGATAAGAGGGTGAATGACCTTTTCTGGTACTTAATTTGGAAGTGCCCATTCTATAAGTGAGCTTGCTGTTTTTGTGCCCATCTCGCTATAGCATATTAAGTTAAAATATATGTTTTCTGTCTACATTGTACTGGAGAATATGACAGACATACTACACAATGCAGGCTTACAAAAATAACAACTCAAATATCTTAATAGAATAAAACATACGTGAGCATATTGTTGACATCATTTTAAATACAAAACAGCACAGAAATATTTTCTGACAATTTCTGAGTAAACGACAGGTGGAAAATACAACTGTCTATTGACATTTGTACTGTTATGATAGACATATATAAAAATAGGAAGTCTATCTCTCAATTTGCATTTGGGTTTATTAAATTAAAAAGTTAAGGGTTTTTTGGAAAGAGAAAAGTGGTGGAAAATGTATCAAAATCCACACTCGTGCTTTATAGTGAGTCACAAAAAAAACCTGCCAATTCAAACATCTGAAAAGTACACTTAGTGAAGATAAAACTAGGGATATCAGAAAAGATAGAAGAAAGAAATAGACATAGAAAGAAGGAGATATTATTAAAATATCTAAATCTGGAAAAAGTAATATCCGTCAACAACAGAAGGGGGGACTGATGAGCTGGATTAACATGTCATTTACATTGAACAGATCAATATTTTATACAGTAGGTATTATCATCTGTGATGAACATAAAACAAATCAAACCTCCAGCTGAAGTACAATCCCAGTTTCCATACATATTACACTGAATATGTTGGTTCCATATGCAACATTTTATCATTTTAACAGTTAAAATAAATGATACTCAGTTTGTTTTTACATTATATATCTTGTAGTATTAGTTTGGTAAAGTAAAAAAATTGTAACAAATTATGAAACCAACCAATCATATGTTTGATTTTCTAATTGATAAGCCTCGGTTTAGACAAACTTTGAGTTTTTCATGTAGAGTATTTATTTTATAATATACTGTTAAGAGACTTGTCACTATCAAAGCAGTAGGAATTAAAGACATCTATATTACTTCATAAGACATTTGAAAATGGCGAGTTTATTATATAAAAGTCAAAACCTGAGATTGTTCACCCCAATATCCATTATTCCATATAAAATGTGCAGGCATGCATATTTAAAAATATATATATATATATATGTATGGACATTTATTTTGGGAAACACCCCAGTCTAGCAAAATCAACAGATGTTCCAGAGGGAAGTATTTTCAGTCAGTCTAAAAGGAAACAATATGACCATTCCCCTTTCCAGCGTATTGAATCAGTGGTCAGTCACAACAATATCACAGGGACTTGAAAAATGAAAAACATAAAAAAGTTCAGAGTAGCAGATGAACAACAAGGCACTCAACAAGAGCCCCAGAACGCAACGTTGTCTGTAAAAATAAGAGAAGCACTCTGGTTCTCCTTTATGGAACACTTACAAAACATTTTCCCCCCACAACCACCATAAATTCCCATGACTACCACGGCGGAAATGCTCCGAGTAATGTTCACTTGTAAAGGAAGGACTTGTATCCTTAATGGCTCACCATGTTTTTCTCCTTAGATGAACCCAGCTGGTCGCACAGCTTCACACAAGTGTCAACCTTTTTAGAAAATGTAGAGCTGTACGATTCAGATTTTAAATAGAAGATAAAGAGGTTTAGTAGCGCTAGCTCTTGCCGCTTCTCCAGATTAGTTAGAAAACCTTGAGGGACATCACGTACAATCTACCATCGCAAAGCATTTTGTTTCCACAGCAGCATGGAAAAATGGAAAAGTCTATAAAACAAAGTGCACAACTATTTTTTTTTTTGACATTCACACATCTTCTTTTAACACATGCTTGAGAATCTTTCAATCGTCACAAATCCTGCTGTCACGTGCAGGTTTAATCTTCATCGTCGTCGATGAAAGGAATGTCCAGGTCCTCGTAGCTCCGACTGGAAGCTTCATTTGTGATCTGGGACTTGGCGTCGCCTCGGCTTGGCAGCACGTACATGGATTGAGTAACATCTGTCTTTCGTCGCGGCGCAAACTCTCTCTCCGCGTCATCTTTCTGAGCCATCAGACTTCTGACCCTTTGCGCCAGGTCAGTGGGTTTCGGTGGGCAGGCGGGTTTCTGGGTTTTCATTCGCATGGTCACCTTTTCTGGTACTAGAACAATCAGATTAGCAAACGTTTCTGGTATGAGCTTGTGGTAAACACACACACACAGTCAATCCCACGTTTATGTTGGTTGGATATAATAAGACAATGTACAAAATACATTTGATATAAATAGAATTGGTTTCCTTCAGCAGAATGACTAGTCTGTGAAGTCAAGTTTATGAAGGGTGTTCTAAAAGCAGGTTGGATTAGGTTTGGATTTTTTCCCGCCTTTGGCTACTTCCAGACTTTATCCCTTTGTAAAGACAACACAGCCCTCCTGTGTATTTGTACAAGGCCAGTCGAGCGAGACATTACTGTTGTCAACATTACAAGATGATCCTCCAGAAATTATAAACCGTAGCTCAATTTGTATTGGACCACAGCGCAACTTCATCTGCAATGGAATATCAAATATCAATCAAATATGTGTAAGCACACATTCCAGGTGGATCACTTTGTAACGCAATATTTACACTGTGTGTGCGCAGTTTCTGCCATGATAACATGATCCAATCATCCACCATCCAAAGGATAATATCAAAAATACCACGTGGCATCGTGGGGCGGGGATCGCACTTCTAGTAAGTCATCTCTTTAAAGCCAGTGAAGGAGAAAATACCGTACCTCCCTACTGACCTTCCGAGTCCAGGCTTCCCAGACTGTCTGAGCTCATCAACGACAAGGAGTCCAGGTTGTCATTGTCTGACTGCTCTCGCTCCAAGTCAGGTAACCCGCAGGCCAAGTCCACCCTGAAAATAACCAAACAAAACATTGTTCGTTAAACTCAAGTCATTTCTAAGCATTAGCGCCCGCACACTAAAACTTGGCTCACTTTTCTTGCTTGATGGATTTGATCCTATCGATGAGGGTCCTCTCCAATTCATCAGAATGGTCTGCAACATCCAACTCTGAAGGCTTTTCAATAAGCTGCACAGCATCATTTAGAGGAAAAAAGGGTGGATATTTTGGTTAAACATTATATGCATTAGATATTGGGTAGTGGTGGCTAACTCTAGTTTACACTGGCTATCTCCCAGACTTTCCTCAATGCTACTTTCCTCGAATAGGGTCCTGAAGCTGTAACCCTAAGGGAAACACAGGTCTTGAGGTTTTCTCTCACCGTGTTTTGTCTCCTCAGTTTGAGTTGACTGACAGCCAGGGCCTCTGCGTATTCCAGCTGCTGGATATTCTGCATCTTCTCATTGTAGCGTCTGAACTGCTCAGAGATCAGGATCTCAACACACCTGCGGATATCATGGTCAAAGAACAACACACGCCCATTAAAACAATGTCCCCCTCTAGAAATGCCCACCCCGTGTCCAACAAGATGATCCCACCCAGACGGATCCCCATCGATAACCTCTTTATCCAGCCATAATATTTTTTGGATTGTTTATATTCAGATTTGCACCATATTAAGTTATCTTCAACTCTTAACATGTGCACTCTTCCCACTCTGTGTTGCTGCACAGCAATTTGCCTCAGGATGAATCAAGTTGTATCCGTGGAAACAAAAAAAAGAAAGTAGAACGCATATGAAATAGCTTGCTGTGGTTATTTGAATTCCAGAGAAAATGACACATAAATAAAATAAAACTTTCTGAAGAGTTAATGGTGTGCATCATCACTCACATTGTAGTCTTGGACACATCCTTCATACCCAGAAAGGGGTCGTTCACATCAGGTGAACGCAGGACGCAGGGGGCAAACACGATGGCAAGAGAGCTCGGGGACATCTTATTGTGCTCTTCCTCCTTTGCAACCCTAAAAAAGAAAAAGATACTTGCATGAAGATCTCACACATGTCAATAACACAACCAAATAATCACTGTGGCGAGTGGAGGATTCTTTGCATCGCACATTTTAGAATATAGTGGAAATATTATTTATAGACCAAAGCATTGCAGTTACATGAGTAGAAGCAGAAGAAGGGAATAAGAGATCCTACCTGACAAGGTGAAAGATGAGTCGCTCTAACGTGCTGTAATTGGCAGGTGGAAGTTCCTCAACCTTTTGGTATATAGCCCTTATCCTCTCGGCTTTCTCTGGCAGCTCTGGGGGGGCAAACAAACATTGAGAACAATAGCCCTTTGACTTGGTTTGGTGCTAAATTCAGTGTGTTCCTCTGAAATAAGTCACTGAGCATGCATTTTTTTTTATGACTAATCTTCAACAGAGAACATAAAAGACCAAAATGACGAATCCATTAATCGGAGCAGTCTTAAGGACGTGAATAAAACTCAAAAATGGTCAATGCCAACCATTTGGATAATTGATTTATCATAAAGTAATTTTATAGCAAATAAATAAGTAATTAGCGCTTCTTCCACGTGGCAATTGGCTATTTCAGGTTTTACAAACTATGAATATTTCCTCACCCACGGCATGCAGGAAGTCGCTGTAGAGGGAAAAAGTCATGAGGGGGTCCGGCAGCTCTCTGAGCCAACGTTTAACCAGACCTGTGACGGTGTGGATGGAGTAGTTGTCTAAACATGGACCATCGGGATCTAATACCACAAAACAGAACACACCAAAAAACGTTTTTTTCTTCATAATCAGAAGACCCAAGGATGTGATAAGGGAACACCGTTGTCATTATGATAATATAATTAAGTAAATTTTTCTAGTTCCTTAAATAAAAAAATAAAACAAGAGCATACAAGTTATTTAAGATTTTAAGAAGATTTAGCCTTAATTTCAATAAATAAGTAAACGTGCAAAACAACAGAGGAGTTCGGACTAAGATAGAGGCAAATGAAGAAGGATGCAGAGAGAAAGTGGGAAATCTTGTGCCTGGTCTCGCTGCACGCCAGGCGTGCAAATTAATAGTGAAAGTAAAATTGATCTCATGTTATGTTGAACTCTAATGTAATCTGACTAATCCGAATGGATTCGTTAGGGTCTTCAAGCAACGTTTTGTGCATTACAAGTTTATGCAAGTTCTTACCAGTCTCCAGAATCTGGTGGAGCTCCCTCGCTCGGCAGGTTGAGCCCGACTTGCGGTAAATGCCCTCCGTGTAGAGGCCGTTTAGCTCCACGTGAATCAGCAACAGCTCCACCACTTTGGGCACAGGGTTGGCTTTACTGGTGAGGACGCACACCTGCACCCCAAAGTGAAGGGAGCCCGGTACACTGTCATCCTGTCACAAGCAACGACAAGAGGAGGTCAAAAAAAAAAAGAGGAAAAAAAATACGCTACGGTATTAAGAGTATTACAAATGCCAATTCACCTTTCTGTCACACCGCGTTGAGCAATCTGTGATGATTTTATTCAGGCAGTTCTTGTGACATATTAACTTGCAAGCTTTAAAAAAAAAAAGTTTTAAAAAGTTGAATGCAATTGTTTTGCTCTTTTGAACATTCCAAAAATATTGTGTATTCACGCGGCTCTTTGAACTCACCACTGCACATGTAGGCTTTCTCCATTCCCCAGATGTAAGAGCCACACAAGTCACACGACTGCATGATGTTCACCTGGTATGTGCTGAATAGGTGATCCAGAGGACTGTTGGGCTGCAGAGAGACGGAATGCACTGGAATGATTTACAATAAACATGTAATATAAAAACTTTGCATTGCAGACGATGATATTCAACGTACACATGCGGCCTTTTTTCTCCTGTTCTTTGTCGCCTTGGTGGCCTGAGAGAAGCCAAAAGAGAAAGTTTATGTACGAGTCAAGCGACAGTTTATAGTCACCAGGTAGTTTAGAGACGGACAGAAATTACCTTGACTGGTTCAGACTCCACTCGCTTCAGCTCGCCCCTTATGAAGCCATCCAGCATAGACTGAAACAAGTTGACCACCAACGAGACCTCCGTCTTCTTATCCTTGGAACCCGCTAGCGTGTTCACTTGGTTTTCGTAGCCCTTCATCAGATCTTTGTAGCCAATTTGGGGCTTCTGTTGGTCGCAGAGTGTTCGCAGAGTATCAGTGTCACTGGTTGTTTGCGAGACATTCAGTGGCAGAACAACAATAAGTGACTTAATGGTAAAATTACAGAATCAATCTACATAAAATCTGATACACTGTAAATTAAGAGCGAAAGAACTATGATCTGCTCGAATGAACTTCATATTGTACAGAGAAAGAATCCGTTCTGACCTGGACAGAGTACATGCCCTTGATGGTTTCTCTGAACTGCATGGTGGCTGTGAGGAAGACACTCTCTGTTGGGGACAGCTTTTTCATTCTACTTTGCAGCTCGTTCACCTGAGGACAAAGAGGAGATTTTGAACAGGTGACATTTTGAACAGGTGAGAGGGGCACGGCATGCAGCAAAGGACGGTTAGGGGGCACTTTGTCGTCACTTGTCACTTTGTTACTTGTTCGCTAGTGCACTTTATGCTTAATATTTTTTAACTTTAATATTTTAAATTACATAGCCTTATTCTACTAACCCATTGCATTAGCATTTCTTTTTACTTTATTTTATTACTTGTGCACCGCTGTCTTGTTGTCTAATGTTACACTGTCTACTGTCACGCACCAACCGCCAAGACAAATTCCTTGTATGTTTGACATATTTTGGCAATAAATGTTTCCTGATTCCTGATTTGCATTAACCTTTCAGCTACCGGGGGAAAAATTCTTTGGAGATCGGACAATGATAATAAAAGTTATTTCACAGTGGAGTTTTTTCTTTTGCAATGTCCGTTTTCATTGGAAATCTCACTTGATTGCCGAGAAATTCGTCCAGTTTTCGCAGCTCGTTGGGGTCGGTGATCTCACGCTCCAGAGACGTGTTGCACTGCAGCGCACGCGTGGCCCGGCTGATTCGAATGGTCGGGTTTCTGCCGACCCTCTCGGTTTCCTGGGTCGGCCTGTTGTAGGGTTGTGGAGTGTAGTTGGCCAAGGTGAGTGCTGTCAGATGAGGGGAGATGGGACATTAATGTTCCAATCCTGAAGTCATACAAATAGCGGCCAATAACCTCCAGATGGCAGTAAAGAGGGGATCTCTACTAGTTAGATTCAGTAAACACCAACATCATAGAAAAACTACCTATAACAAAACTGTAATTGTTTCCTCTTTACTTTATAGATTTCCCAACATACATGTTATTTATACTACAGTACTTTCAAGTGTCCCGGGTGCTTCATATTCAACGTGTATGAGAATATCTGCCTCAGATAATATTACATGTATTAATATTGCCCCTTTGCTGCTTTTACTCACCTGCTTTGCTGGATGGACAGTCGTTGACTGGAGGATATTTAGGCCGCTTTCTCAGGAATTTACTGAGGAACCAAATCCTGAAAGACAGTCTTCATTGACTCCATGCAGCATGTGAATTACAATAACAGTAAGTATTGTTAAAACATAAATCTTGGGCCTGAACTGTTTCCTCTGAACTGAATGAGAGAGTTTTACTTCTCAGGAGTTGTGAGTTGTGAATTGTTGGATCCGTGTGGTCCCAAGTCCTCATCACAGCTCCTGGACTGACAACTGAAGCTCGACCCATCAGTTTCTGCCGGTATCTGCAGTGGTATCGAAACATGAAAAACGCTCTAAGCAAAAATATAAAAACGTGCTAACCAAAAACCGGGAAGAACAAACCACCATGTCGCCCTGAGGAGGCTGGACCACAGCTCCACCACCACCAAACTGGGCCACGTAAACCGGCATCAGATATTGGCACCATAATCTTCCACCATTATTAACTCATGCAAAGCTGCATTGTCTCCTGCCACCAGCTGACCAATGACCTTTTTTGATTTAATCAGTATGAGCAACATTAGTACATAGATTGATAACATTGGATCAGTTACATTATTAGATATTTACAGAACCAACAGATTTTTAAATGTTAATTGTTAAATGTGAGTCTTTGTAAGTTAATTCAATTATATAACATTTTTTGCCATAACCTGACGATGGATTAATTAAATGATTTGTTTATATGTTACAATGATATATACAGTAGATTACAATGTGTTTATGAATAACACTTTAATAAAATTCCCAACATTCTCTCATATAATTGCCTTAATCAGATTCGTAATGAATCTGCAGTATAATTCAGATTTTTTTTGTACTGTAAAGATGAGCGGAACATTTGAGTAAAAAAAAAGGGGACAAAGAAGTTCAGGAATGAGCTTTGGAAAAGGGCTTTTTAAGATTTCTTGTGTTCCTTTTTTGCATTTCAGATACAAGGTCTTTTTTTTCCCCGCCGTGCTTGGCTGCAGAGCAGAAACGAGAACAGAGCAATGCAACCTTCGATCCGTTTGTGGAATACACATGCAGGACCTGCATGCAGAGCAGAGTCATGCTCGGTCACTATGTCTTCTCGGCCAGTACCTTGACCTCGGATTTGACGGCCCAGAGATCCGAGCTACTGGCAGAGCTCTTCATGCTGGCTATATTGGGGCTGATGGGAGGCAGCGGAAAGCTCCAGTAATCGCTCTCCTTGGAGCCCCCAAAGTTCATCATCAGGCCGCTGCGCGCGTAGGCTAAGTGCCGCTTGCGTTTGGGCTGCTTGCGGACACGAACCCTGACCTGATTGAGCCAGGAAACGTGGTGAGGCACAGAGCGGGACCCCTTCTGTGGTTAATGCGCATGGAGCCTCCGTTGGTGGAGTTCACACCAGACGTAACTATAGTACTTTGAAAAGGTAATGCCAACAATGATTGTTGCCCAGGACACTTACTACGTATGTACGAAGTATGTACGAGGAGCAACAAGTTAGGATGGATTGAAAGTTCCAGTGTTTTGAATGGTATAGTAACAGATTGACAAGAAGATTACCTCGTTTGTGGATGGCGAGCTATCAGAGCCTGATGAGCTGACCTTTGATAGCTCATCAACAGACACAGACTTCCCTTTGTGCCTGCGTTGCAGGAGGAAAAAGGACAGAGCTGTGGACTATTGTGGGACTTTGAAATGATTGGTAACAGCATTGAGACATTACCGCGTAAGCATCCTGTGATACAAAATTCAAAAGAAGGTCATGAGGTTATTAAAATGTTGACATTTGTGGGGGGAAGATTTGCGGGACTCTTACTGAAACTCATTTTTCCGAACGCCATGTCGCCGCTGTACTTCTGGACTCGATTCATCTGTCCGTTCGCCCTCGCTCAGTCTTTCCCTCCATTTCTCAGCCTTCTCCTTGAAGGCCTCAACATCTGTGTAGCGCTGTAGCGAGCTGGCTTTAGGCGGGCCGGGGCAGGGCTCCTCTTTGGCTTTAGGGTCCAGTGGAAGGGAGAGGGGCCTGGTGAGAGGGGGAGGAGATCCTCTGCCCTCTCGCTTCTCTCTGCTCCCGGACCTCTGCTGGGTCCGGTTGGGGCTGAGCTCCACTTTCTGCTGCCTTGTTAACTCCTTTTTTGTCAAACTGTAATGCAAGAACCTCTAAATCAGACTGGAATCACAAAAAACATATGCGTAATAAATATGCTTGTGCTTTATTAATTCAACCTAAAATGCAAATATTTGACAGTAAATTGAAGCAAAAAATTTCTGGATGAAATCTTCAATCAATCAATCTTCGGTCAATTTAAGCTGATTATAGTTTACGTCTATGCTTCAGAATTTTTTACTTACTTCTATGGCTTTAAAAGTACACAATAATGGTATTTGACACGCTCTTAAATAAGCATGATTATTTACGCTATGTTATGTCAACAAAATACACACAAATATTTTTATTCTCCATTTTCCTGCGTCTTGAGGAACCTGGTAGAATAAATACAATAATTCTAAATACAATAGCTTTAGGATGTACCTGTCCCGCCCAAGTCGGTTCTCGGACCCGTTGCTTTCCTTCTCCCGTTGGTGCTTAGATTTCTTTAGCGAACTTTTCCATGCTGTCTGGATCACCGTAGCAGCTCTGTTTTGGTTCTCGTAAAACTCCCGCCAGTTTCTCTAATAAATAAAATAAAACAAAAAAATCTTCTTTGTCACTTATATGTTTTTGTCTAACTCATTTTTTTGTTGAGTTTATCTATTCTATTTTGCACTAGTCTAAGTATATATTAAGTACTACTCTATTGTTTGTGTTAATTATATGTTTTATTCTTTTATAACAAAAATCTCCATAGGAGTAATAAAGCTTATCTACAACATCCTAGCCCTTTTTTACAATATTTTCTAGCATAAATGGTACCTGTATAAGCATTGTGGCATCTTTCTTTTGCAGGAAGTGCATCCTTAACAGAGAAGCACGGAACCAGCGCTGCAGGACAATGATGTGATGCATCACTTCTTTGTTGTATTTGTCTTGGAGGAGCTGCCGCGCCTTTTCCTTGAGGAACACCTGAGTAGATGAAAGAGACCCACTAATGATGAAACCCCTGGGAACATTTATGCTGTGTGGTACATTTGAATACACGCATTACTTGCATTTAAAATCAAAACATATCAACAGAAACAGAAGAGTGAAGTAATGAAGTAATTTCCAAGGAATAGCAACGTTACTTTCATCCTCTGGCCACTGTGATACAAACGATCATGGTGAGTTCAGAATAAATGACTGCTATGATCAGGAACATATACCTTGGTTTTTCCTATTTGATAGTTGGTTCTATCCAGCTTCATCTTCTCAAACAGTTCAGTTATGTGCTCTGGCCGCATAGTAGCTCCTTTTGGAAGCAACATTCTAAACTGCTCAACAAATTCCTGTCATCAAAAGAAAACTGTATCAGAAGTGGAAATTCATTTCATTCACACTAGCCAGGTTTCCTTTTAAATGCATTGCACACTTTAATTGAATTTTAAAGAAAAACTGCAAAAGAACCTGCAAATGAATGCTTGTTTTCATCCAATTCTACAGAAAACCTTTAATCCGTTACCGAAGAAGATGGTGAAGCACGATGATGTGATTAGTAAAGTGTCAGTCGGTTTCAAACAGTGAACAGTAGAAATCAATCAGTTTTTTTCCATCCCCTAATGAATGTATAATAATCGCCCACCTTGAATGTGTATTTGGCACTAAAGCCCGACTTCTTGAGGCGAACCATCTGCAGTAGGCCTTGGTACTTAATTTGCTGTAGCACAAGTTCGGCATCAAAGTGTAGATCCTTCTGAAAAAATAAAACATTTCAATGAACAATGAACCGCATTTACAGGTAGGGTTGCATTTACAGCGAGGACGATGTGTGACGGAATCACACATGACTTTTACCTTTCCATTGTTGGAACGAAGGCAGAAAATAAAGAACGGCTCGGCTTTTTCCATTGACTCCATCAGTTTCCCAAGTGAAGTCTGTGAGACACAGAGGTGGAGTAATTGATGGTTTTGTTATTATGATAGTATATTACTTTTTTTCTAATAAACAGTTTTTTAAAGCTTTTTTTATTCGCTCTACTCTTTTAGTACAGTACACAATTTGCCAGATGCTCAGTTAACTGATGTTCTTAATGACAGAACACCTACACAAGCGGTTAACAATTTGAGACAATCCTGCACTGATGTTTTACGATGTAGTCATAAAATTACAAATTATTTCAAAGTCAAAAAATTATAAAAGAGTATCACCTTCAAAACATTTTTTTTTGAGACGTGACATGAAGTCATGGTTAAAGTCACCCTTTAGTAAACTGAGCAATAATGACCAGCCAAGGGGCAGAGTGACCTCACCTGGAACTGGGTGCTCACTGTCGGGGGCTTTGTGCTCCGATGAGGGTGGAAGATGAACTTGCTGGTTCGGTCGTGTGCAGTGAGACCGACGATGTGTCTGAGGGAATGCAAATCTACGAGGTTCTGTTTGATGAGACATAATCAAGCCTGTGAGCTTTTTGCCTCCGACAACAACAAGATTCATTTGACAGTATTCTACACTCGGCACACGGGTTAGAAAATAGGTCACAAAAGTCACAACAGGTGCATTTTAACACAACACTTTGCTATTGAGTCCACAAACACATCACATCATCAGTAATCGTTCACCTTTGGAATGAGCTGCTTTCGTCGACTGCCTCGATTTTTCCTGCGGGAAAGAAAAAAGTGAAGCTTCATTCAACCTATAACTCTGGAAAAAGAAAGCTCAACGCAGCAAAATCAGGTTGTATGAAACATGGAACTTACTTTCTCTTTTCATAATTGACAAAGATGTCTTCAAATACATCAAGTGGATGTTCATCGGAGCGATCAAAGGAGAAATCTAGAGGCAGGCTGTTGCTGTGAATGTCAGAGAAGTACTTTTTAAGTTTAGGGTTTAGTTTTCTTTGACTGGCATACGTTAACAGGCGTTTTTTAAGGCAAATGCATTTACTCCCTCTGGGTCACCAAGCGTACTAATTATTTAAGGATAAATAAATGGGAATATGAATGAATGAAGAAGTATTAAATATAGTATTTGCGCCTGTGTTTGAGAAGAAATCTGGATGCTTGATGGCTACAGTTGGTAATCAATTGTTGAAATCTACTAAACAGAAAAGGCCTGCCTGATTGAAAACATCAGGTTGTCGTTTTAAATCCATTTGGTTGTTTCATAATGAAAATTGAGCTTGAACAGAGACATGAGAGTGGCAGTAAATCCACTATAAACGCATTACTGCAGTAAATGTACCTGGACAGTCTCCCCACAGCAGTGCTGCCCCGTTTCTCAAAGAAGGCTTTGCGGGAGCCTCGTCTGCCAGATACTGTGGTGACAGAAACACAAAATCAGCTCAATATAATAATCAAACGGAAGCTGAATGATAAAAAGTACAATAACAACAGCAGGTCATTCATGCAAAGACCCATGAGTTACTTTAGCTTCTGAAAATGTGGTTCGATAGGCAACTAAAGCTGCTTACTCGATTCCGCCCGCTGGCGTCCCAGTTTCTTGAATACTGTGAGGATGCGGATGGTGGCTCGGAGGACTCCCCATCTGAACAGAGCTTCCGGACTGGATGCGACCAAGTGGTGAACAAACGCCCGCTCACTGCTCCGGAGAAGTGAAATGACTTCAGGGCGAATGTGCTCCGTGTTCTTCTGCCGGAAACCCTGAAGAACAAGCAGAATCAAGACGAGCATGCTTGTCTTCACAACATTAAACTTCACACTGCAACAGCCGTCTTCTTGGGGACGGGGGGGGGGGCAGCATTAATCATTGACTAAGTTCAAAGGTTTTCCAGGTTTCTCTCACAGTGGCTTATCTAACAAGGCTACTGCAGACCACCACTGTGTCAGTGTACTTCTACTGAATATCTAATGTGTATTTACTTTGTAGAACATTGAGGGAAATGTACCCTACCTTGATGTGATATTTAACCCTTCCGGCAAAGTGTTGAATGATAAAAGTAGGCTCTCGGTGTGAGGAAGGAAGAACTGATGGGTTGTCCCCATGTCGCTGCTTCAACTTGTCCAACAGGGTTTCATCCGTGGCTTGAGGGAGGCTGAAGACACAGAAGGACAGAGAATCAATAACACGTATAGACTTGGAAAAAAGTAATCCCTCTGAATCATCACTTAAGACCTACCAGAAAGGCAGGAAAACGTTACATGTTCACCTACTTGCTCTCCTCGTCCAGCAGGGCAAAGAGCCCCGTTGACTCTTCGCTGATCAGCCGAATGCAGCGGCTGTTGTCAGTGTAGTTGATGGTTCGCCAGGCGATGCCCTCTGACACATAATCCTCCTGTTATATATATATTTCATTAATGAATGGGTTCCGCCGGGTTAAATGTAAATGCTTCTCTCTGGCACCGATGATGACCGTTACAAACAGTCACTGCACGGGCTGACAGAATGAATGCTGACCACCACCGAAGTCTAATCAGATTCAAATGAAGGAAACACTGACTTGCTCCAGCTTGAAGACGTGCCGGTTGATGTAACACTGAACCTTCTCAATAGAGAAGTTGATGCACAGTTGCTCAAAGCTGTTCGTCCGGAGGTTCTCGAATCCAAACATATCCAGGACGCCGATGGACAAACACTAAAAACACAACAGGAAAACCGCACAACTCATCAACAGCATACGAAACGGCAGCACACGTCAAACATGGTTAGGTTCTTTTTTTCCGTTGTTTTTTTTGATAAATTACCTTTTCAGGATTGCATTTGATGATGCTTTGTTGTATTTGAATACGCTTTTTTAATACAATTTCAGAGTAGGCAATTAAAATCAAAACCGCAGACTGTTTTCATTGAAGGGAACCGTTGAAAATATTTTTCAACCCCCCAATTGACTACAAGTGTCAGCCTGCTGTAGTCAACGTTTCAGTTTCTGCCTGCGAGACTTACGGGGACCGACTCCTCCATGTCTCGTCGGTTGAACATCGCGTGGTTGATGTGAAGGATGATCCAGTCGAACAGAGCGCCGTACAAGGACCTGGCCATGGAGTCCCGCACCGCGGTGGCCTAAACACGCAGAAACATCAAACAAAGCAAGTGACGACTCTCTGTGTGCAGACTGCTATTTGAGGACTTAATAGTTAAACTGAAAGGGGTAGCTGTGCACTACATTCATACCTCTTGTAGTGTGTACTGCGAGAGTACGGCGGCGCCGGCGGTCACTACTCTCCTCTTGACCAAAGTCTTGACCAGTACCTCTGTTTTCACCTACAAAAACCGTTACAAAGAGATGGAGACTGTAGTCATTAACTCCAGCAGTTAGGATCAATAAACAACGTTGAGGAACATACTTTGAGAAGGTTAGACAGTGTGGACAAAACTTCAGCAGGTCCCACGTCCAGGACCTCGGCGTCCTCAGACTGTGTGTACGTCACATTGCCCAGGAGCAGGACGGCAGAGAGGATGGAGAATATGCTGCAATGTAAAAGACAGACACACACAAATTGCATGTTTAGTTGCATTAAGTCTTACTTTATGTTCAATGGAAGGTCTTGAAACCCATTTAAACCCAAAATTTGTCTGACTTGTTATATTTGGTTTACCCTTTTACACACACACACACACACACACACACACACAGACACACACACACAGCTGGTGTTCATGTGAGGCAAACACCGTCGCCTCTATAAAATCAATCAATCATCTAATCCGCTTTCTGAATAGAAACCGGATGTTTGTGCTTTGCAACGTATTAGTTTTACTGCCACCTGTTAAATTTAGTGTCACTGATTTTTTATTTTGTATTTAAACTAATATTTTATCAAATATTTAGGGTGCTGACACAGTTTGATAAACACTTTACAAGAGTAACAAAGTGTGGCGGCACCTAGTCTTATTATTGTGTTCTCATCAGCCAGATGAGGCAAACAAACCAATGAACACTGTTTACTTGCAGGTCAAGAGACACAGAGTTAATTCAAAGCGAGGTAAATATAATTGAAGGATAAGCCTTTTTGTTTAATAACTTCCCTAGATGCTTGGAGGTGCTGCTTCTAATGAATGTATGACGCTTGCTATTAAAAATAAAAATGATGGAGGCTGATGGACCAAGCTGAACGGGTTACAAACTATGCTGCCGATGCTGGCTGAATTTTTGTTGTGCTTTGCTCGACAAGCTGTGACCTGTTACAGAAACCAGTGTAGAAAAGGAGAAACTTTTCAGACAGTGTTCTTTTGAAAAACAAAACCAACTTTGCCTTCGTCGATGACAAATCTCACACGTCCAACAGTAAAAGAACATAATTGTTATTTACAAATGAAGCGTTTTGTGGCTAATCAACTCTCTTCATGACTTAAAGGCCAGTAAAGCAAAACTGGTTGGTTTGACTCCGGCCTTCAGACTTCCACTTGCTTATTATCAAAATCGTACGTACTGATTCTTGGTGGAGGCCAGAAAACCAACCATCTCCATAGCTTGATGGAGCCTCTTGTACTCGCGCCCAAGTTTCTCCACATCATCTAAGTGGAGGTCTTCCTGCAGGACAATCGGACGTGATACAGAGAGAAAGATTTGCTTATGAACAGAGGAATGAATAGAATGAGGCAGATAACACCGGCAATCTAAATGTCCAATACTTTTTAGTTATTTATTTGAGTTGGTGTTTCATTGAACAAAAAAAAAGGACATAGTTATAAATGCAAAAAAGAAAATAATATAAATTAATATGAGGTTGGCTGTCTTTGCTACTGTTTGGGGTGTTTGGATCAACAGTACCTGCTGGAGGTAGACATAATCCTGCGGCTTTAACAGATGAAACTGTTGCTGCTCTTCCTTGGACGCGCCCACCAGCAGATAGTAAAACACATGGTAGCTCCTGCGGGTCAAAGGTCGCACAGCACCACTCAATCAATCAGGGCTCACGCCAGTTTTATTTCAACTCAGTTATTTACAATGTGAGCAGTGTTGATACCGGCCAAGTGCACATCTACATGTATGAATGAATCAATGCATGTGAATGGGGAGTCTCCAATGTACCTCTCTCCTGGATCCCTGGACACCAGGCGGAACTTTTCCAGTAGGTACTTCTCAATAACTGCCCTGCAAGAGACACACCAGAAGAGAACGTCAACAAAGCCTGTGAGGCGTTGCAGCGCTGCTGCAAACGTTGTGCAGACACAGGAAGAAAAACAAACTTGAGCTTAAGTCAAATACACCAATAAATAGATGAAATATTAACTGTGCATGAAGCCTTACCCTCTGATTACACCGCTCTCCAGATAGTTGAGCTGGATGAACTTCCCGAAGCGACTGGAGTTGTTATTCTCTGCTGTTTTAGCGTTGCCGAAGGCCTGTTTACAACACAGCGAACACACACAGTTCACTGAATAAACAGACCAACGTTCGGGCATGTTTCTCACCGACACACAATGATCAATCGACACAAACACAAATGTTTAGGACTGTTTGTTGCATTATTAGAAGTGTCAAAAGCTTTTCAGAGTCTTTAAATTTCTTGTTTTCTCCAACTGACTTAAATCATGATAAAAGCCATAAAAGCAGAACATATCCATATATTATAGCAGAACAAATCCATACAATGTCTTGTAACATGTATTTTCTGAAAATAGATCAACCGTTTATCCTACGGATTATCCTACTAACATTGGTCTGATTTATTCATGTTTGTTTTTTCAGCTGAGTTTTAGTTCATCCACAAACTCTAAAACACAAATTACACATAGAATGCAAATTAAAACGATCATAAAACATTGACACTTTGTCTTATTTAGCACATGTGACGCGATACATTCTGAATGTTATTCTCACCAGTGATCATTTATTTCACTTGATTAAGTGGCCACAACCTTTGAAAACAAAAGCTCCATAAAGCCTCTTTGCCCAGTTCCCATAAGGCTTCTAAAGAAAGCGGGTGGAGTTTTACTCTCACTTTGGCACCTCCACCTCTTCCTCTTTCCTTCTTCAGAGAATCGGGGGTTTTCTTTGGTTCATAACAGCTCAGGGATGAAAACATTAAATCAATCAGCTGACGAGAAGGGCAGTGGTCGTTTGATTGATTTGAAAAACTTGAGCAGAATTTGCAATTGTGTTTACGCCTGCGCTGACGGACACATACAGCATCACGAGCGCTGCGGCGCTGACTCTGGATCAGCTTCTACTTCCCACAAAAAACGTAAACCCAAACCGAGTGCCGTCCTGCCTCATTCCAGATTGAGAGATGGTCGTGTCTCAACAGGCGGAGCAATGCTTTGGGTACACCTGCAGACTGTGCCGATATCACGCTACCAGGGAAACCTTTGAATCACCCGTTCACCTCCGAAACGGCACGGTTTCATTTTCAACCAGATCAGTCAATTATATCTAAGTTAGAGGAAAGTAAGAAACAACACGTGGTGAGAAGAAGGTACGTGGATGCGGGAGAGAAACAAATGTTTTCCTCGTCCTAGTTTCAGGTCTGACTCCTCTGAAGGAAACTATTGTTGAGAAACGCCAGGTAAAAAAAACAAACACAATTCCAGGCTTATCATCAGGAATTTGGCCTTGAAAAACACTGGTGGGAAAAGGTGGGAACCTCAAAACCTGATTGGACAGAATGAGGTAGGACATGTCAGTTCAAAGAATGAAGGACATCTGGAAAACTATTTAGAATATTTTCAAAATGATTTATCAAGCAAAATTGACAGAAATATCTCTTAATCGAGCTTCTTTAATGATGTGCTGGTTTTCTATCACTTACTGCCTGGGCACGATGTCAATATTACAATACTGCAGGGAGGTAATTGGTGCTATTACAAAAGCTTTGATATATACTCATTAGTAATATATGTAAAAAGATCAAAAGTGAAAAGACAAATAGAAAAAAATCACTTTACTGTGATTCAGCTTTAAAAACCAGGACAAGACAATACTCATAATATCAAAATATACAATGACGATATCTTCTCTTGTGTTGGTATAATATGTATTTCCAAGCGTAGTTTATAGTATTAAATATTTAAAATCTCCGGATTTTTATATACAAGTAATCTATAGATACTGCTGAAATAACTGTTATTAGGCCCTAATCCAACTAACATCCCTGTAATACTAACTGTGTCTGCTGAAAATGAAAAAAAACTTATAATAATTAGAAGGGAGGCAAAAGTTGTCTTTGCCTTGAACGAGTCACAGTCACAACATTGGGAACCAGTGGCAGCGTCCATATAATTTATTTCAACACTAATCAATGAACACTTTGTGAATATGTGACATCACAGCAGCACACTTTCATTAAAGCAAAGCGCGAGAGAGAGAGAGAGAGCGCGAGCGAGCGATTTATTCTTTGTGTCGTAGGCTTGCTGAGCCTGTTCTGACACGTTCCTGCTTCTCTTCGCTCTCTCTGGTGATCCAAAGACAACGCCCTGCAAATTCCCCCTCTGGAGCTCAACTTACCGACACCAACAAGGAGCGCAAACTCTCCCACCTCCTCCTCCTCCTCCTCCTCCTCCTCCTCCACATACTCCATGAAGACAAGTGCAATCACCTGCTGGCTACCGACTGCAGATTAATTCCATGTTTAAATAGAACTTGGAGGGTGTGCAGTTTCTGCTACGTTCGGATGTCGAGTGAGATATCATTTAATTCAAAGTTAGAGGGAAGGAAAAATGAGTTACGGTTTGGGGATTTTAGGTAGAGAGGAAAAAGGATTTTGGGGTGTGACGCATGCATATGAAGGAAAGCCCAAGTCGGCAGAGCCAAACTACAGGACTATAAAAAATAAACTGATTAACCCACAAATTAATCCTCATTACTGCAGCAGGCATCTCGCAAAAAAAGGTCTGGCTTGGCCAATAGAATCTTAGTTTTAGTGTAAAACACTTATAGATATTCTCATCTGGTTTAACCTAATATATATACAGTATATATATATATATATATATATATATATATATATATATAAAATATCCAACAAAAACAATCAGTCACTTTCCCCTCCTCTGGCGAATCTCTGCCTGTTGGGAGGCCTTTCAGGAGAAGAGCACAATACTCAGAAAACGGTTACCAGGAAAAATACTGAGGAACTCGTTGGACACGCTCGGAAGGAAAGATAAACTATATTTAGTCAGAGGCCGACCCCACGGAACAGGGGTTGTAGGAGCTTTGTACAATACAGCGGGCCACGATCCTTGGTGAAAAAGGTGAGCTGCTCATGGCTGGATAACCTGACATTGACACTTATTGGAAAAAGGATCGGTTTTGTCTTTATAAATGTGCCAAAACATACTAATGCTTTGACTCCCGCTTGAAGATTTGTGCTCAGTTGTCAAAAAGTTAGTACCGAGGAGGCAACTACTTCCATAAAATAAGACTGTTGTGCAATTCAGCCAACGAGAAAGCTCAGCACCCACAAAGTGGGAATTGGACCTTCCTGTTACTCATTGACAGTGTTACTGTAGCACAGGGCTCAGGAGGACACTCACGAGGACGCCAACCAAGACACCGTTTGACCTAAATCATTGATAGTGAAACTGTAAAAACAAAACAAAACCCCCCCAAAAACGTCCATGTTATTTTGGTGATCAGCAAAGCCGTATCGGTAGGAGTCGATGGGATTCTTGTCGACTAATAACTGCAGCAACATTTAAGGATCAATAAAGTTGTGTATGCACGTCAGTTTGGTAAAAGATTTTCACTGGGTTTCACTGAAAACGATCAGAGGCTGATACGCTCTCAGGGGCTCAGGACTCATTGTTTAGTCCATGTTATAACATGGGAAAAATGCAAATGATAGGCCTTATCGTACCTGTAAATTGCACAGTGGCCTCTCTGTGCTCAGTGTGTCCTTCCATCGCTGTGTGAGTGCACACATACCTGAAATCCTCTCAAAACTCACAGTAAAGTATGTTGAGAAATAGCTCTACAGTTAAGACCGTCTTGATTTTGGCCTTAACTGTCCCTTTAAAAATAAGTTAATCCGCACAGGATCTGAAACCGGAGAACGTTTGTTTCTGAACATTACACAAACTAATATACATTTTCCGTTGACTGTTTATCCACTGGCCTTGAAACCTTTGATAAACGAACCCTGTTTTATGACACTTTCTTCCATTAACGCCTACGCAACTTGACCAATATGGACTGCTGTGGAAGAGGACCGTTCAGGTGGGCAGAGTCACACCCCGGTGACCTACCTCTAGCACCGGGCCGGCCCCGAGGACGGTCCGCTCCAGCCCGCCGGAGTACGTCTTCTGGCTGAGGGACGTCAGGCAGTGGACGAGATAACTGCAGCTCTCGGTCTTCCCCGAGCCGCTCTCCCCGGACAGCACGATGCACTGGTTGACCTGCCGGCTCAGCATGGCGCGGAGCGCCGAGTCCGCTACGGCGAATATGTGGGGGCTCAGCTTACCCAGTGGCTGTTTCTCGTACATCTTGACGTAATTGGGATTGTAATAGAGGGGGAGAAACTTATTGGGATTGATGGCGATGAGGATGTTGCGGGCGTAGGTGTAGATTTTGAGCCGGTTGAAGCGCTGGCGCAGGGCCTCCAGGATGTTCTCCTCGGTCACAGTTTGGAGGTTGCAAAGGTCATCGTGGCACAGGCTGCTGTTTTCTGCTTGGTGGCCTCCATTGTTGGCGTGCTGGTCCTGCAGGATGAAGTAGTACCCGTTGCACTGAGGGTGCCACCTGTGCGCCCGCGGCGGCCACAGCATGACTCTCTCCAAAGGCCGTTCGCCGGCCTCCAGCAACGTCTCCTCTCTCCCGGCTCTCCTGACCTCCAGCAGGCTGTACGTCTTGGTGGCATCCAGGCCCAGGGTGACCACGGCGTTGTGGATGACGGTCCTGGCCGTGTCCCCGGCGCCGACCTGCAGCGGACAGTAGGTGGCTGTGTCCTGGGAAAGCCTGGGGTAGATCTGGACCACCCGGGCCTCTCCATCTGTAGAGCTCATCCTGATGTGCGAACAGGCTTCAGCATAACTTCGGCATCCACTGCAGGGAGGAACACGCATCACGTGATGCAGGTCAAGGTTGATTTACATATCAAAACAACGTGGCACAAAACCCCACGTCTATGCGTCCGCCCCCCCCTCCGCCCCCCCACACCTGTATTCACCCATTCACACCAGTCAAAAGAAGTGAAAAACGAGACCAAATGTTGAAAAGAAGTCTCACCTTCACAGAAACAGAAAGTAGAACATTGAATCTTTAAAAGGCTGAATGCGACGAGTAGCAGAAGATATCTGGCGTTAACGAACTCCTTCCACGCAATTTAAGGAGGGAAAAAAATAAACTTTATTTACCTGCTTCCCCCAAAAATATGAGCTCAGAAGCTACTTGCTAGGCGCTTTAAGTGTTTAAAAAGCAGATTTAGTAGAGCAATAACGACCTGCAATGTCTTTAAGACATCGAGACGTCTGCGCGTCGTCCCGGTCGAAGAGTCAGGCGTTAAATCACTTCCTTGGTTTCTCCGCGCGGACGGACACACGCGAACACACCCGTCGACCAGGTGGGAATGAATGTATTTCCCTTCCCTCACCTGGGTGATGTCACACTTTATCCAACAGGAAATAGAAAAACCGATGAGAAAAGAAAGAGAGAACACACCACCGTGCGTCAGCGCGACAGGAGAGCGGTCATTACAGGGGAAAAGTTGTTTAAATGAGAGCGACACGACGGAGCGACACGGAGTCCGGCTCGTTTGTGGTGACGGGTGAGCTGCGGGTGTTTAGCGGCCCCTGCTGGCGGGTGGGGGTATTACACCTGCTTTGTACCTGAAGGCAGTACTTCTGTAGAATTTTCATTTTTTTGCCACTTTTACCTTCCTCACTTTTGTAGTTTTATTACACTACCGGTATATATATATATGTATTACTATTTGAGGCTCTGTAAAGTAATATTTTACTTAAATCACAATTTTCTCAAATTTTCCCTTGGGGATACAGTTTATATCAATCTATCTCTTTCATTATACAGTATTCTATTATTTTTTTAAAATATTTGTTTCTTTCTTTCTGGAGCTAGGCACAATATAATTTGACAATAGCATTGTATGTTAAATTAACAGCTATATAAGTATTTACTTTTCAGATTAGGATTCAATATAAAAACAGATACGCGCAGAATGAATAGTGTGTTGTTAAAGCATAAACAACTGTTTTTATATTCTTTTTTCCAGTCTGGGTTTCAGATTCTAGTGAATAAAAGAGACAATACAGATACAGAGCATTTTTTCAACACTCAGAGCATCCAAAGCAAAACACATAATTCATAAAAAAAGGGACCTGGACCAGCTACAACATTAAAATATTGCTGACAAATTGAAGGTTCAGTATTAACTGTCAATAAAGAAACACTATTTTTGTGAGCACAAGAGGATACAATATGTGTATGAGTTAAACAGAAAAGAATGAAGCTGTATTCTGCCATGTGAAGAAACCCGTGTTGCTCGCAAAATAAATGAAGAAAGTCAAACCAATCATCATCACGCAATAAAATCAGCTTTGTTAGTGCAAAAGTTCAAGCAAATCATTTAAATGTAATGACCTTCAATATTCTAGTGCTCTTTGTAAAGTTCCTCTTATTTTTCCGAGGTTTTTTGTGCTGTTGTCCTGACTTCAGAAGGCATTTTCAGAGAGGAGAAGATGTTGAGCATAATTAACCTCAGACAACGTGCTTGGTTTGGTGATTCAGGTTTAACATCAGGTTTTAACGGCATGATGCTTTGTCTGCACTCCTCAAGCTGATCCAGAGGCTCTAAATCCTTTTGACAATTTTAATTAACATTCTGGCCTCCAACCATCTTGAGAAAGACGCAGCTGGAAATGAATGTTTGGACTTGAAAAACATACATTTATTTATTCATATGTTTATTTACAAGTGGAGTGGGAGGTGCATTGTAAAGCTGCACAGACTTGAGACTTCAGCTTGTTACCTTACTCGGTTTTGTTCTTTCACTATACTTTGGCCCTTGATTCAGATCGTATTCTATGTAGAGTATCCACGATTCAATGAAAAACAACTTGCGTAATGAAAATCAATACAAGTGGACAGATTTGTTGACCACAATCCCCCTATAAACTCATGTCATTATATATAGCACTCACACAAATAGAGGCAAGGCTTTTGTATATCACTATTTTTAAATAATCGTTGAAGAAACATGCAGACAGCAAAATATTATTGTAAATTAAAGGGATACAAATACATTATAAAAGATAAAAAAACAAAATATCGCTCAAAATGTCTGAGTTGGATACCGAAATATAACAGCTTTTGTAAATACCACTAAAACAGAATGAAGGTGCCTGCTGATATTTGACGAGAGGATTCTGTCACATTGAAGTGTTTTAATCGTCACAAGGACTCAGTCTTTGACATTTCAGAGGCACTCTACGTCTTTCAGGTGAGAAAAGATAATACAACTTTGATACAGAAATAATCAAAATAAATGAAAATATATTTCTGTAGAGAAAGAAAAACAAAAACAAAACAAATTCATCAGTATTTCTTTTCATGTGTTATATTCATTTTTCCTTGTGTTTTTTAAACCAACACGTCCACAGTAAGATGGCCAACAAAAACAATTAGTTAGCCATGGAAGATATTCCTAATCAGAAGCAACAGTTTTTCTCATGACAATGCAGCTCCAGAGGTGTGGAGCCGGTGTTTCCCAATCCGGTGGAGAGGCTGGCTGACAGCTCGTTACAGGGTGAGGGATGAGGAGAGGCAACGTGAAGTGTTGCTCAGCACAAATCAGAAGCGATGTTGATAACGACTACCTGCAGAGGCAGCCAGATTCACCCACACAGGAAGGCCAATTAGGACACACACATGCACAATATATCGTTTCTTATGTGTCGAAAACGCAAATTCATCACTCCCGCTGTTGAGTGCTTTGCTTAATACGTTGGTGGTCATCTGCAGAGTGCTCCTTCTGAATCAGCTAATGGGGAAGATGATGGTGAGGATGATCATGAGAGCCTTGTGTTGCTCTCACTGGGTCGGATTAGATGTCACTCTTGTTCCTGCTGAACTGAGCCAGTTCTTGCAAAGACACACTGAATCCAGTTCAGTAGGCACAGGAGTGCACAACTCGGGCAAAATGGGCGACAAATTGATCATACTATTGGCTGAAATTGTCTTTAATTGGAAACAAGCTGCAGCGTTACAATATAACTACAATATCAGCTTTACCTGTGCTGAAAATAAACTTTCTCTTCCCCCTCGTAATGGTCTCTCCATGTGTCTGGACATGCAAGACTTTTAAAGCATTCCTCTTTTATTATACAGGTGGCCTAACTTCTACATCGAGAGAATCCTTCTTCCCTCACCTCTTCGTTTGGGGACAAAATGTGAGCGCTCATTCTTTCATGTCAGACACTGAACTTAGCCACTGTGAACAATTCCTGTTTGGTTCAATGCTCACTAATGAGCTAAATTCTGCATCTTCAGAAAAGTCATCCCGTGTTAATGTTCGCTGCAGGAAATCTGAGCTTTCATTCTGCAAGAAAAAAACAATCTTAAAACAACTACATATTTTTAATGGAGACCATGGATTAGATTTATGTTGCAATCATGCCCAGTCTTCTGTTTCGTAATCCACTACTTTGCTTTCACGCTGTAATTTATGAGCAATCTTTGAGAAATCCAGGTCCAGTGCAGGCAAAGACGTCATTAAATGTAGAAAAAACAGAGGTAATTGGCTAATAAAATCTATATATATATAAATTTATTACATTGGCCACTAATGAAAGTAAAATGTGTGGAGGCATAAGATAAAACTGTTTTATTGATTCCAATTGCAATATGAATTTCTATTTTCCCAACCCGCATGCTAATATGCTTCGTAAAAACGTTAATTGCTTCACTTTTCAATTCCAGCTGCCGAGGAATTATTTCAAGTAGTCATTTCAAGTAATATAGCAGATTGGCACCAGCCCTTTTTATATCACTATAAAAAATATTCAATTATTGTAACCAGTGAGACATGAAATGTCTCTAAAATCCAAGTTTGTGCATTAATCAGTAACCATAGCTTTCATATACATACAATAGAATATGTAAAATACAGTTTGACTGACTATCGGCTTTCTCTTTTCACACGGCGAGTGCATTCCTCCCCTGACCGGCTGTGAAGAGTCTTCCTCCGTCGTTTTGTACTGGGATAGTTTGTCCGAGCCTCAGGACACAGGCTCAGTTTTCAGAATAAACTGTTCGTACAAACAGCGGTGTCATGACATCACCGCTCGGTGGAAAACAAGTGTCACACGATCCTACGTGTAGACTCTCGTCGCCTCCAAGAAAGGCACGAAATGTTATACAACAAGAATGTGGAGATAATTATGCTTATTCACAGTGTTAATTATATCACCATGTAATTTCAACATCACTTCTTCATCCTTGCTGCCCACATAAATCACCATCATTGACTGTGTCCACAAAATTACTTGGATTACACACTTCCACACAAATCTCGTAAACACAACCTGAGGGTTGGATTCGTTTCAAGGGTATCGTTGTCAAAGTGAAGTTACCTGAGCCAGAATGCCATTATGTCACTTTTCACCCTGCTTCAGGAGAAGAAAGGGCAGCTGCGGCTTTTGTCATCACGTCGCCTCATTCTTTCCTGTGGAGCAGATCCGTGTTTTAGTGTGAGATAAAGCGGGATAACAAGCCTCCACCAGCACCTCCACCTCTTCTGCTCAGGTTAACAGCCTCTTCCAGAAGTTGTGAGGAGTGGACGGAAAAAAGACAGTAAATTTCAGCAAAAATATTCCCACATAGGACAAGATGCGCTTAAATGTATGACAGAAAAAGGTCAAGCACAAGATCTCAATTTACTCTTTGATTTGTGTCCTGTTGCCCAGAGAGCTTCGATGGCAGCCTCCATGCATCTAGTCATAAACGGGCCTGTGATAAAGAGAGGATCTAAACTCACCTTCACTTGTAAAGAGGAGAGAGAGAGAGATGCTGATCACTTTCCGCTGGCTTCACCGTTTCTGAGATAGAGAAGAGAGCGCTGCTTTCTGCTCCTCGGGCTGTCCACTACGAGGTGTGGGTGAGCGAGAGGGGGAGAGCGGATGTGAAAAGAGAGGAGGCACTAAAGGGGGGGAGGGAGGGATTGTGTGAGAGAGGATGGGACAGGTGTGGAATTTACACACCCTGCTGGTAGCGCTCAATACGGAGAGATTTGCTCCAGCGTGACGAGTCACCCGTCCAGTGGTGGAGGGAACAGAAAATGAAATACAAAGTACTTAATTATCTGCGGGACATTTCAACGTTTTATATGTTTTTATATGTTGCATCACGCAACATATTCTTTGAAAATGCACCCATTAAGTTTGATGTTTATCTTATAAAAAGCATATCATCACAAGTATAATTATATGTAAATATATAATTCCTTGTTTCTGAAGTTGTTTCTTCCACATTGTGTAACCAGATTAGAGATATTTGCCTCATGACGATAATTCTGATGATGATTCATACACACCTTATAATTAAATTACCCAAACGGACCTTCATGCAAACTCTGTCCAGCTCTAACAAACCAGAGTAGAAAATGTAAAACTTCTCCTCTCCCTCCCATGAGGGCCCCGTGTCACTCACCATACCCTCCGCGACCTTCTGCCTTCGCTCCATCCGGATGATTGTTTTGATTTGATGGCTGCAACCGGATACCGGGAGCTGCCATGCGCGGTTGCTTCATGTCACTGTCCCTCTACAGCGGGGGCTGAAAAACACAGCCGGGATGTTTGAGTTGTTTTTCTCTCCTGGCCTTTTAAGAGCACTCTGCAGCGCGCCGCTCCGGCCCTTAATGCGCTCCGTCCATTTAGCGAGACAAAGCTGTGAAACTCAAGATCACAGGCATGGTCAAAAACAAATTTCACCCTCTGATTGAGCCAATATCCACTTTGCCTTTTGAGGAGAAACAGTAATCGTATATGTGCTACAAGTTCAGTATTTTGTAAAAAGGTTCAGAGGAACATCTGCACTTGTAACCACCGACAATGTACCTCCGAAACCTCGTAGGTTTCATACCTTTACACTCCACACCTTCATTTGACCTTAAAACCTCAGCTCCTAAACACACAAACTTGTGAGAGTGGAAACATTTTCTCAGCAATAGTTTGTTAAGCGACAATTTCCTCGAGCACAAAGAGATGAAGCAGAAACCGGACCCGGTCCGGAGTGATGGGCCGTGCGTGGCCGCGATTCCCGGGCCCATTAGCCGAGGCCCCGAGAGGCTCCGTTACGGCTGGACGAGTTTGAAGGTAAACTGCTTCTGATCGCTCTGATGTCATTAAGTCTATTATTATTGTGATGTATGAGGCTTGAATTAATAAGTAATCAAAACATTCGTCTGGACATAAAGTTTGAATTATCGTCTGTCTGTTGTCGAGTTCCCAAAATGATTAAATCCTTGCTTAACCTCTGATAGTCATCATGAGGATCACATTTTAGGGGAAATGTGTCAACAACTACTGAATGGATTGCCATGAAGATGACATTCATCCATCTCAGCTGTACTGTAAAACACTGGTCTTTTCTTTTATCCATCTATCAATTTATCTGCTATAATAGTTTTAACGGAATTAGCCTACAGTGTGTAATTATTGATAGCAATTACATTTGAAAGTTACAGTATTGGTTTTTTTAAATACATTTTTTGTGGTTGTTTTTACTTAATTTGACATTCACAAAAAGTCACACATTTGCATGCAGCAAAATTGGCCCTTGCTTCACCGAAGTGACTGTTAACAGTTAAAATAGAAATGGATAACAAGGGACTTTGAGTGTTTCTGTCCTTGCACTGGGTTTCAGATCATTTGGCACCAGCCGCAGAGTGGTGGGAGTTTGAGAAAGCTAAGAAGGCCACAGAGTTAAGCAAGGAGGCGCGTGATGAACAGTTCTTTATGTGGAGGAAGTGGATTGATCTGCATCTCTTCCTGCATGCAAAGCCAACAGGCAATGAGAGAGAGAGAAAGAGAGAGAGAGAGATAGAGAGAGAGAGAGAGAGAGAGAGAGAGAGCTGCAGAGGGTGCTGTTGCATTAATCAAATCTGGGGGTAATAAATTCCTGACTGAGAGGAGTTTTTAGCAGCCAAGAATAAGAATGAGGGACAGAGATGGTCAGAGTTCTTGTTGCAGTAAAGCGTCCTTTCACTCAGCAAAATCAGCCTCAACATCCATAAAAAAGCTGATCAGTTAAGTGTAATAATTTAGCACACAGCAGATTGCAACACTTAGAAACATATTATTTGCCCTGAAATTTGTAAATAAAAAAAATGAAAGGAAATGATTTCCCCGTTGCAGCAATAATTCATCACTGTGAAGAGACAACCTTTCAAAATTGCCAAAAATTGTGAGCGCCACCTGTTGATCATGATGCATTGTTTTCATTCGTGCAAGAAATTACTTGGATTGATTTCATGCCTTCATGCCTTGTTACCTGCTGGTAAAAAATGAAAAAAGAACGTTGAACAATTTATTTAGCTTGTTAGCAGCTTGCGCAATGTGTGACACATTCACCCCGATATCCGTCACTCTCAGTGGAGTCAGTAGACATCCATTGCTTACAGAAAAGGAAAACAGCATATGTGAAAATGGCTGGGCGACCTTTGACCCCCACAGTGGTTAGTGGGAGTCAGTCACACTGGTGCATACCAAGCTGTCAGGTCAGCTGAACCTCTGATTGTGATCCTCTGCGGTGCTACAGAACAGGAAATTCAGGGAGCTAATTCAGTTGCGTTTAAAAACTGATGAGATCTGTTCTGTTCGGTGATAAAAATACTCTAAATAGTCAAGTCCAGTTTGATAAATAACAGAGAGACAACAGACTCAGCACCCACAGACAATACTATAAGAGAGCTGCAGCACTAAATAAGATGCTGCCACTTAGGGAAATAAGAGAGGTCGCAAAGCTTTAGCCAACTTTGAACATTGTATCAGCAGAGTGTGTTGAACCAGTCTCAGAATTTACTGTTTCTGGAGGTGGTTCAACTTCGGTCTGGATTCCCTGCCCATCTTTCTTTAGAAACGTAATGGTCTCAACCGCAAGAAAACGTTTTTCTGCTGTACGATTCTATATCTACACAATAAAAGCCACCGAGAGCTACTTGAAACTTCCACACAGGATCAGACGGAGCACGTTTTTTGTTGATTTAAAGACAGTTTAAAGCAAATGTGAAGCAGTGGGAAGCTAATTAGGATTTTGACATTAATTGGTTATCTCGAAGATTTTTTCACATAATCATGACAGAGGGGAAATTAAAAAGAGTTCTGTAGATAATAAGCGTCTGTCAGATTGAGTACGCCATTGATTCCTTCCTCTGTGCACCGATTGAAGTGCGCCGCTATTCATCTGAAATGGGAAGATGTAAAAGCTGGAGGCTTCGCCGTTTCTGGATATTTAAAATAAAAACATCTTTACTGTGCTGTGATTTGCTCACCGGATAACTTTGTCCTAAAGGCTTACCAGCAGAAAGGCTTGATTTTAATGCATGCAGTGACCTTTTCCTTCACCTAAACAAGTCATTCTGTTGCCTTAACCAAAAGGAGACAACCGGCATAGGAAAACTTCTCGCATGTGAGCTCAATTTCTGTAACCAGTGTAGCATGAAAGTGGAATTGGAGAGCTAGCTAGATAACTAGCCAGCCGCTAAATAAGTCAAATTAAACAACTTTTTTCATTCACTGACTATTTTCCTAGTGTAGGAAAGCACATTTCTATCGCCAGACGAACCAGTACAAAGACACGTAGAGTGGAATTATTACCAAAATTTGACAACTTTATTCAAACTAAAGTGCTCTGTCCACCTTTATTGTATTTGTCTAAAACACATTTGTCAAAGCATAGGAAAATACCTTTCAGATAATCTGGAAATCAAAGTGCAATACCATACCTAAACATTAATGCAACGGTACTAATACATCAAAAATATGATATGGGGTTAGCGGTTTCACTTCATGGGATGTGCACCCTTCATTTAATAGACTTTGGCAGTGGTCATTTCAAATGTTCTGCCTTGGACTAATGACCAAATGCTTAAGCACTGCTGCTTAATGAACAATGTGGGTTTATGTGGGTCAGTGCATGTTACTGCTTCTGGTTAAATCAGAGTGAGAAGGAATCGGATTGTCCGTTCCTGTTGTAGAATTAGTGTCCCGACCTGTCAAACTATTGCAGGCCGGGCTTCTATCTCCCACACCGACGCGTACGTGGTGCCTCGACGTTTAGCTCCTAGATAAAGCAAAAGACGAGAGCCAGACATGTCAAAATTCAATGCATTTGTGTTGTTTTTGTAATTTGATGGCCTCTGGCAGGGTTGTAGTGTTGAGTCTGGACTTGTTAACACTTTAGTGCGATTTGTTTCTGTCAAACAGCATCTGGACTCACGAGCGTTTTGGGCCGGACCGAAATATCTCATCAACTATTTAAAAGGTAGACATGACATTTGGCTCAGATATACAGTATACGTTCCCCCGTGACGATGAATTGATCCCTTCCTTTTCATATTTTAAGTATCTGACAAAAACTGATGACAGCCAGAGCTGCACTGTGTTCACTGTTTACATGCTAATGCTAGCGTGCTGCTACAATAAAGCTGGTGAACATGGTAGACACTGTCCTTAAACATCTAGCAATGTCCTTAAAGTATGAGCCTGCATGCCGATGAATTAAAAGCACAACTGTGTAAAGATTTACAGAAATCTTAACATGGCTAAATGTTATTTTCAGCCCTAACCACTTTAGTTTTTACGCTTCTATACAGTAGGCTAATGGTCCCCCAACCTAAAACCATTGATTTATCAAAACAAATGTTCAGAGCTAAACTCTCCATCGCTGCTCAATCTCAAGAAATTCCTTGATTTTCAGTCTTTTGTTTGCAAAGAAACCACGACGTTTCGCCGCCCTGTTGTGGGCTGTTGACGTTTTCTCCTCTTCGGCTCACAAGGATCTGGTCTTAGAATTGCCGCACATTCATCCGAGGCGGTGTTAACCACAAACATGACCTTGCTTTTGCTGTAGCGGGTCCTGTTTGTGCTGTCAGTCCAGAGCTGGTAACCCCCCCCCATCTATCGCTGCCTCCCCGCTGTCACTATTCAACAGTCAGACCAGGTGTACACGAGCACGAGCACTTTTCCTTTAGTCCCCGAGGCAAGTTCAATCTTAAGCCAACAGGGGAAAATGAATAGTTTCCTTCCCATTTTCATTCTGTCAGCCATGGCAACAGCTCTGTGAACGACGTCTCAGCAGCTGTGCTTCTCCCTCTCTTCGTTATTATCCTGTCCATTAGTGCTTTTTCGCCATTGTCATTTGGGTTTCTGGCCTTTTTAAACATTTTTTTTTTTGGTGCCCTTGATACTCTCCATAGAGACAAATTAGCTCCACCGCCCTGCGGTCTTCAAACCGAGTGTGCATATTGTGACTGACAGCTTTGAATAGTCCCAAGGTCCAAAAGAAACAGATTTGGGAAGGAATATTTGAGTGTTTTTTCTTAAGACAGTGATCTTCCGACCTCGCACAAAGATCTGCTCTGAAGTCTATTTTAGTGTCCTTTAAAGGAAGAACACACTGTGTCTCTCAGCTTGCAACGTCACACACCAACCATTTTTTTCTCCCAACTTAATCAGAATTACTTATCTTATGAATTGCATAACGGAGCGATCTTCTGGCTCCATGATGCAATTGGGTTTCCTGACTCGGAAATGGGAGTTGTTTTATACTCCTCTTTGGAACAATGTAACCATTGTGTTGAAAGCAGAACATTCAACGACACACCGAGTGCTGATATGCGATATGAACTCGCTGGGTGTTAGATCTGATGTGGTCTGCTGTAAAATAGGCTCGACACTGTCACTAGTCACGCTGTGATGGAGAAATCACTTCTGACTGCAGTCTTTCAGGCTATTTCCTCTTGTCTCGGGGAATCCAATCTTGCCTCAATGGTTTTTGGACATTTTTACAATGCTTCTGTGGGGCAAATTGGCTTAATTTGTATGATTTTGGCAAGTCTTGAAATATACCATGGGTCATGCTTTTTTAAAGCATAGAAATCCTTCAAAAGCAAGATGGAAATTCAACTCACTGTTTCACGGAGACGGACGTTCTTCGGGACATGCAACTGTTTCCTCACAATAGAAGAGATTTTAGTAGTGAAATTAGATCGACCTCTGCAGACGCACCTCTTCTCATTACAGCACTAAGTTTGCACTGAATGTTCAAAATGTCACAGATACAGGAAGATGACCCACATATTTGATAAATTCCTAAAGGGATTGTGTGGCAATCGCCGGTGAAAATCCCCCCACAAAGTCGTGCAACTTCAAATGAAAGCATAGCTCCGCTGCCAATAAATGAGAATTTCTGTTTGGACATTAAAATGGGGTAAAAGGGAGACATTGAATGAAAATTAACTTAATTATTTGCCTGTTTATGGGATTGGTGGTGAATGGAGCGCGTAAGGGGTGTCCGCACAACTTATACATTTCAACACACTTTGTGTTGAGAGGAACCGAAACGAGTCCGGATTTCAGATCACAAATCACCATCAAGACTATAACACCACTAAACTGAAAAAATGTGATGTTGATTGAGTTTTTAAAAGTGTTTTGAAGGACTGTACTTGGTTTTCACTGAATATTTATGAAGGTTATTTTTTGAAATTGCGAAATATTAGACCTGAGGAGCAATAACTATATATTGAGACGTAAGGGGGGATGTTCTTGATGGTTTTACTTGGCTAATTAAATATGATAAACTTAAACTTAATTGGCCGACTGAGACAATATGTCTTCAAATGCTTTATCGTTTTTCCATGTGCTCTTTAAGCAGTAAAAACTTTAAATCAATAGTACACACTGGGAGTGAGTTTAATGAGGCTTGCACCAGCCCATACAGTCATCGGTCAAAGCATTAATCATATAACTTACAGTATCTCTTGCAAACTAATGCATCACTTACAATTTGCACGCTGTGCGACGTCGGACACTCGAGTCTGCATCAGTGATTTTCTGGGCCCTCGCATCTGCAGGGGGATAAATAGACCACGCGCCACCTGACGCACATTGAGCTCTAGTCGTGCAGGCCGGGTTGGAGGTATCCGTACGTGCTAATTAGGTCGTCTTGACCCTGGTGAGGACAGCAGAGTGCAGAGTGGCAGAACGGCAAAGTGTGGCTCCCACTCTCCACTTCTCGGTCGCCCTCCAGTCGTGCAGCCAAGCGGGAGGTGGGCAGCCCGGCACAAAAGACACTGACGTAAGAGAGCTGCCGTGGTTGGGGACTTTCTCAGACTACCCCCCCCCCCGCGTGCTACACCCCACTTAGTCGATGGTGTTGGCAGTGTGACAACTACAACTTTTGATATTCCTTTTGTGGCTCCGGTACAAGGATCTGCCCGAGGAACCCCGACTGTGAGCGATTGAGATGACAGGTTGAGGTTTTGCCGTCTCCCCTTATTGACTTTGGTGTCTTTTTGTCTTTCTCTCTGGACTGCGTATACATATGTATGAGGTCGACGGGGTCGGAGAGAAGTGCTTGTATTCAGCGGTGTAAAATATAATTGCCTTCTCAGATGGAAATACTACAACTTTGCTTGTTTAGGAGGTAACAGGTCAGTCCTGTAGAATTTATTTTTGAATGAAAACAATGGTGATTGATGTTTTCAGAACTGTCTGCTAAATTGTATTTTTTTGTGTGGATACAATGGAGAAAGAAATAGTAATACCACATTTTTTCCCTAAGGAATGTCGCTTGTTGTTGTTATACTGCAAATATACAATTATGCAATACTCGATCACCATTGTGTTAGCTCCTTTTGAGATAGTGAGTGACATAACATACTTTTGTTCAAACTGGAATTAGCACCTCACAGTCATATGCCTTGGCCAACCAGTTACATCCATGTATGTCCAAAATGCCATTACTGCATCATTTCATCCTATTAGACATTGTGTGAAATTGTCATGATCACCTTAAGAATTTTTGAGTTAGGCACAAAAACTAGTTTTGTGAGGCGACAGTGCGCAAAATTTCAGCTTTTGCTCTTGTGAAAATGGGACAGACATTAATTGACCTTGACCTTTGACCACCACATTTTCTATACCATATACACACACACACACACACACACACACACACACACACACACACACACACACACACACACACACACACACACACGTAAAGTCACTCCAGCTGTGTTTTATCTACAACAACTATCTTTCCAAGCAGCTGGGACCGGACTGCTTTTCCTCCCCCTTCATCCTCTGATGTTATTCTCAGTAGTTTATTTTTTCTTTTTACAACCCATTGTTTTAAAAAAAAAGAAACGCTACAGTTCTTGTCTTTGAAAATAAATGCCAGTCGCTGTGGGTTTACTGCCACAACAGAGGCTATTTTTGTGTTCATCCTGACATTATGACTTATTTAAAGGGAGCATAGATAGATTTATAATGAAAAGGACCAAGAGTTTAACATGGCTTGAACCAAAGGTCTGATTTTTCTGACAGTGAGCAGTTTAAGTGGTGTTTGAACCCCATCGTGCAGACTTCAGAGGAAGAAGCGTGGGTGATTTTCGATACAGTTAAGCTTTGCTCTACTCAACTGAAGCCACTTTCACCGTGACAACGATAGAGTGAGAATGACGAGCGCGCCAAGGACAAAGATGGGGAGGCTTTGGTGGGGTGAGGGGTAGAAAGAAGAATGCAGATGCAGAAAAATAGTGAAAAAAGTAGGCATCGGCTCTCTTTGACTCAGACTGCTATCTACTCCGTCGTCTGTGTATGTCTGAAACCCCACCTCCCCCAGTGCTTCTCCCCACCCCTCACCTCCTCCGCCAGTCTCCCGGCTGAGGAATCCCAGGCAGCGTTTAATTGCAGAGAGCAAAAGGCTTTAGTTGGTCTAATGAGCTCAGAACCGGCGCTGGGGACTCTTCCACGAGAGACGAGAACCCCTTCCCGGTGGAACCTCGCAGGGCGGCCGGATCTTGGGTGGAAGAAGGGAGGAGAAGGAATTCAGGTACAGCCGACAGTGTGAGAGAATATACCAGAGCCAGGAGACGGAGTGAGAGGTGGAGAAACAGAGAGGAGAGAGGGGAGGGGAGGAAACGGGAAATACACACATAGAGGGAGAGAGAGAGAGAGAGAGAGGAAGCCTGCAGCAGCAAATGAGCCAGAACAACGAGGCGGGAGAGGTAGAAACAGAGAGAAAGGGAGGTGGAGAGGGGCCCCGTCTAGGAGAGAGGGCTACAGGGTGAGGAAGAAGTAGAGTTAGAAGTTAGAAGAAGGAGAAGGGGGTTTTTAGGGAGGAAAAAAGAGCGGTGGCAGGGATTACAGGAGAGAAGAAGAAGGGAAACAACAGACAGGAAGGAAAGGGAGGGAGACGTCTTGGGTAGAGACGGAAGGAAAAAAAAAAAAGAGCCGAAGAAAAGTTTTCAGATGAGGAAAACAGAGCGAGTGGATGACCGGGCTGAAGGGAGCAGAGAGGGGAGGAAACCAATTTTCTAAGGCTGTTTTTTCTACACAAACCTCTGGACGTCTTTGGACATGTACACAGACGGCTCGCAGGCGGCGGGACACCACCGGTTCATTCAGCACCTCAACACCGCGGGCCCCTGCTCCTGCCAGCACTGCGTGCACCGCGAGCAGCCGGCGTACGGCCATCGCGGCGGGCCGGGATTCCGACCGGCACCAGCCCGGCGGACGGACCACCCGTCTCCAGGCTGCGGGAGAGACGCCCCGGCCCCTCGGGCTAAAGACGCAGGGGCCAGAGCTTACGTAGCGGACGGAGGCGGGAGAAGCGGCCATCGCAGCCCACAGAGGAGGCCTGTGTTCGCAGGGCCGGACCCTCGCAGCCAGTCAGACGACCTGAGGCGAGCGTGCCCCTGGGATTTGAACCCTGCCCAGTGGAGCCACCCGCCGGAGCCCGGGGCGAGACACTGCCCGTCTGTCAGAGAACAGTGTGGCTGTGTGGCGCGCGGCGACACCAGGGCGCACCCCTTCAACGCTGGGATACCGCATCCTCTCCCCCACCTGCAGGTCAGAGGTCAGGGATACAGGCACCGGAGGACCGTCACAGTGGAAGAGGAGGGAGAGGAGTGCGGATGCAACTTTGAGGGCTATCGTTCGGAGCCACGCGATCCCCACCTCGGTCGGACACACGCGCCGAATGGCCACTGCGGCCCGAGGACCGGGTTCTTTGAAGGAGGGGAGGAAACAGATAGCCATCAGGCCCGGGGGAGACTGGAGGGTGGATCAGACGAGGGCTGCAACGGAGGTGTTGGCTCTCACAAAGGTTTCTTCCCCACTGAAGTGCCACAAAAACACTTGAAGCAAAGAGAGAAGGGGCCCCGCGTCACACATTCTGGCATATCCAGTCCCACAACCAACGGGGACCATCAGAGCCAGGTTTCGGATGTGGCGAAGCAGAAGAGGAGGCAAGATTTGGTGAGGGATAAAATCCGACAGGTGGTGACAGATCTGGAGGATGTGTTGGGGGGTTTGAAGCAAGTTCACGTGGAGATGAAAGAGGTACGGCGGTCTGTTATTACCGATGTTTATTCTTTTCTTCAGGTGTCTGAAGATGAAGCTGCACCCAGTAGGTGCAGTGTCAGCCTTTTATCCATGCTCCCCCCCCCCCGTTATTGTGACATTTAATAAGATAAGAAACAGGCAAAGTTGCGGATCAGTGGGTCAAACATTGTGTATCTGTGTGTCCATGTTCCTGAGAACATGTTGCCGTGTGCGCGTGTGTGTCTGTGCATGCTGACTGCTTTGAATGTTTGTGACTCACCTATCAACTATTACCGAAGCTGTGATTGAGAACAATTTGCACTGACCTTTTGCACAACGCTGCAGAAAATTGGCAGGTTTCCGGCGAGCACATTAAAAAGCCTGGCTGGAGACTGTTTCTAAATAGAGCCTCGCTCTTATATTTTATACCTTTTGCATGCAGCTGTGAAATAGCTTTGATTCACAGCAGAATGAATCTCTTTGTACTGAATCAACATTACAAACAAAATACCTCACAGGGACAGTTTTATCAGCAAAAGAAGTAAAAAACTGAGGCAAGTAAAGATAAGACAAGTAAATGATGACGATAATTGAGGTAAAAAGCACGATATTTCCCCTTGAAGTAAAATTGGAGGAAATAGAAATACATATGTACTGTAGTTGAGTAAATTGAAGTTTCTTGCAGTCCGGACATGTACCGAGTCTCTCTGATGTCATTCAGGTGGTGCAGCAGATTGATCGCCTTACAGCCAGAATCGACCTCAGCGAGGAGACGTCCTGCATCACTCACGCCGGGGAGTCCATTAACTTTCACGGCTCAGCTCATCCAGACGACCTTACGGCGGCCCAGCAGCCCGATCACAAGCCCGCTCCAGTTCGGGCGACGCAACACATCGTCGAAGACCGGATCATACTAAGAACTAACTCTCCGTCGCCTGTTCACGTGGCGTCAGTCGTCAAAACGAGCCGCTTCACCCCACCCAGCATCGCCAAGGACGTCAACCACGAAAGGACCGGCGCCAACGGCCACGCGCCTCACCTCCATCGCCTCAGAGACTCCAACCACGTCGGCCAAGCTCACCCTGAGCCCCACCCGCACAGCCTGGAGCCCAAGGTCATCATTGGTAACAGCACCTCCGGTTCAAGAACTCAGAAGCCTCCTCTGTACCCCAAAAACGGGCGCTGTGGGAAAGGCCCGTATCTGCCCCCCAAGCCCGTGAGGACCCCTGCCTGCCCCGCGAGAGGCTGCCAGAGCGCCAGCAATGTGTGAGGGGAGAGGGATGTGGGAGTGGGGGGAGGCAGGCAGGGAGGGCGGGGATGGGGAGATGTGGGGGGTGGGTTTGCCCCAAGTGCCGTGTGGGCCTGAAACATGAGACCCCGCTGCAGCGAGAGTGGAGGTCAGAGTGGGACCAGGCGGGGGAACAACGCACGGTGAGTTCACGTTTCTCTGTGTCTTGTATAACGCTGTTGATGTTTCCATCAGCTGATGACGTCGGCCGTGTTTTACTGGCAGCGTAGTTCTCAAAGTCAGTAAATGAACTGCAGTGTTCCGCCCTGTTACGAAAAAGGGTCTATGTGTGTTTGATGTGTGTGTGTGTGTGTGTGTGTGTGTGTGTGTGTGTCAGAGGCCTGTGTGTGGGCGGCAGCAGAGGAGGAGGCGTAATGTGTCTGCTTTTGTTGATGTCACATGATTTCCCATTTCTTGCACTGCACTGCAAAATGTGTCCGTCTTGGCAAGCGAGATGAGAGATTAGTATTCACACACTCCAAATCAGCCGTCAGGTTGAGAAAATGTCTCTCGCTGGAGTAAAACTAAACTTTTCTGAGGAGATTTGAGGAATTTCTAATCTTTCAAAACCAGATTAGACGTTGGTTAAAAAAATATAACACAAAATCGACGTGAGATTTATTGAAGCAGCTCAAGAATTGAGCTTGAATCTGACAGCAAAAAAGAAAGACAAAAACTTTTTTTACAGTGTAATTTAGTCATCACTTTGAGGGAGGAGAGTTGGCAGGAGTTCAGTCATTATATTTACAGGATGATCATAGCTCTGACTCACAATTTCACAGAATTTACTGCCGTGTGAATTGCTTATGGGGAGATAATGCTTTTTTTTTTACCCTACTTGTCCCAGTAGTTCCATTAATGACTGTGAACTAGTAAAGGACTTCCTTCCAGCAGAGGGGAAAAAGTCCACCTTCACAGATGCCGCAGACGGGGGACGTTTCTGTACTTCCCTCTTGTGCACAGTATGCGTAACTGCAATCTGTTTTTCTGGCTTTTCCGAGTTGGGCAAGCACAATCTGGCTTTAATCATAAAACTCCCTGGCCACACGCCAGAACGGAGTGAGGCAAACTTGGCGTATTTGTGACGTCCGTATAAACACGAGCGCCGCTGCAAGTGCAAAGCAGCTCCTCGCGTTATGCTGCAAGGAGAGACGCGCTGCGAGGTGCAGGTCGAGGCCGGATGCCTGAGAAGAGTCAGAAGAGTGCATGTCCTTCAGCTGAGGGTTATGAAATAAGACGAGAGTTTTATTAGCCGATGAGTGCGATGTAGCTTCTCTTTTCAACGCTGTCCATTCTTTTCGCTTAAAGGCCTTTAAAGCATCGACGCATTTGCCATTTCAAAAGGCCTGAGTCATCTGAATGAATCAATCAGAGCAGGTTCAGTGTAAAAAAGCTAACACAAAGAGATGTTTTAGTACGTAACTGAGACAATCACACACACACAAGTACAATAGACACTAATACCGTCCCTGACCTTAGTGTTAATACCCAAACAGCTGTTTTTTGTTTCTATTGATTATCGGATCAGCATTAGCTAATGTGGTGTGCATGCATACGGCCAAAGGAAATAACACAAGGCTGGATTAATTACCTGTTTAACCCAGAGGGCAATGGAAAAGACAGGATTTATAAGATGATTCCAAATTTGAATATTTATGTGCATAACAAGGCTGAGTAACAAAACAAGGACCCGGGGCCCTTAAGCTGAATAGATCACAGGTCCTGTGTCGAGATCAAAATTATAATTAGACTATAATTTCATGACACACACAGACAAAAATAAACTTGTGTTGAATCAAATTACCACATGCTAATTGGCACAAAGCGGTCTTGAGGTATCAGTCTTGAGGAGGAGTACTGGTTCCTGTAGCTCTGGGCTTAATGCCACTGGCACGTGTTGACTGCTTTCAGGTCTGTGCCTGACGAATACCCGAAGCCAACAAGTTAGGACATTTTTTCCGATTTGTACTTTTAATACATGCAGCATGTTTTTGTTGCTCCACAATGGTTTTGCCTTTTGATTGCAACATGGAGTGGTGAATATTGTGCCACAGCTCATTTGCGCCGCAGGGCAGCGTTCTGGGTCGCTCCATGAATAGAAGTAGGCCTGGGAGTCACTTGCAAGTACAAGTACTGGCATAAATGCCCCCACGTCCCACAAAGCCCTCACTTTTAAGGTCTAAAACTGCATTGGTTTTCACAAAGACAGGAGGTACACAAACACACACGCAAACAGCCATTGGCAAAGCCGAAGGTGATGATGTGCGGTTCACAGAGCTCCTCCACAAGCGAAGCGTCTTGACTCACAAGACCTTCACTTTCAGTACAACAGAGATCAACAGCTTCTGTAGCTCCGCCAGTGAATGAAGAAAAGCCTTGAGAAGAAGCACGGTTTTGAACATGTTTCAGTCTGACTTATGTTTCGCCCCCTCTTTTTTGTCACGGTGTTTCCAGCAGGAGCTGATGCCACAGAGACAAGCTGTCAGCCGGTGGAAACGGAGCATGGCCGGAAGAGGGGGATATTTCCAAAGGGAAAACCTCCCCCATCTCTCCTCCTCAAGAATCGACCTGCGTCTGTACGTCACGCAAGCACGGAAGCGTGAGGAGCGGCAGTCAAACCTCTCTGAGAATCTATGCATTCGCTGTTTCATGTGAGGTGGCGTAAAATGATGAGGAGGATAAAAGGAACTACTATTTATAGTATATTTCTACGACAGTGTTAATTTATTTCATACCAGGCTATTTTTTGCAAATAGATCTATTTTTGGGCAGCTTACACCAGTCTGGATACTACCTAACCTAATGTATACTATGTCAAGATTTATATCATCAAAGCTGGTGTTCAGATATATAAATAAGAGTTGACAGGTTTTCTCACTGTTACATGGTTTTTCAAAGTATGTAAGATTAATAATCAGCGAGGAGACTGGAAAGTTGCAAAAAAAGCAATACAATAGATTCCTCTTTCCTTTTTTACACAATCTGACGGTTCAATTGTCCAAGAGATGCGCATCGACTGCTGAATGTCCCTCATTTCAGGATGAAATAAAAAATAATTGACGCCAGCATTTCATTGAGTCTCACTTAGAAATAATTCATGCACTCACTGAGTCTGATGGTTGTGCACATTGTGAAGATAGTTCCCTGGCTGATCTGGAGGTGGCAGTGTGTGATCTCCCATCCTGTCGGGGAGTCCAGGCCCAGCCAGCGTCTGCGTCTCCGTGTGCTTAAATCTTGTCTGAGATTTTCACCGCTCACACGAGCGGTCGCCGCTATCAGAGGACACCATTTCCCCTCCGACGACTGATATAAAACACCCACCTCACATAACATCCCTCGTTTTCCGTCTATTTCATTGTGTGCAATGCTGACTGGCGGAGCTGTGGTGACAGAGGGAGGATGACATGGGCAAAATGTTCGCTGTCCCGACCACTTCCACCACTTCGTCACCCCCCACCCGTGTCTGCGGCCTTTAGCAGTGAGTTATTGGGCCATAATGGAGAGTGATGTTGTAGAGAGTCAATAAACTCCTCAAGGTTCGATAGATGAGTTCAAGTGCAACAGGCCTTAATTACTTGTTGCGAGCATCACGCAAAATATATAAAATATCATTTATTAGCATTTATAGGAATAGTCCATTATAAGTACTTTATGCAGTACATTATTAATAGAAGTCTAGACTGGTTAAACCTCCCCCAAATCCACTGGCTCAGCACAAAAAAGAAGACAGACTCCTTTAGTGACTCGGAAAGTGAACAAAGTGAAGCATTAAGCAGGTAAAGATCAGACATTTTATTCAGAAGTGAAACAAAAACAGAGTTTTTTCAGTCAGTTTAGCTTGTGTTCTTGGTTCTCGAAAGGCAGGTGACGTCCTAGACGTACGTCACCTTACGTTCGAGAATGTTGGAGGTCATAATTATAATGTTGCATATTCCACACACAACTATTTCAAAACAAACAATATTGTTCAGCTCGCTGTGTGAAAACCAAGTTGGAGTCTGAAAAAACACCTTCAACCCTCAAAGCGATCACTTTAAGTTCTGCAGGACTGGATGTCAGAGGTCTGCTGCACCTAAAGCCAAACAGACTTTGAGAAAGGCCATGTCCTCACCTTCCTGCACAACCGCTCTATGAATCTCGTCAGACAGATGGCACACTGGCTGAGCCTGCAGCCGAGCCTCCTTTGTAAATACTGGAGTGACTGAGGAATTTCAGACAGAGATTCAGACCAAGAACAACACCAACTTTTAGTACAGCCACCTCCCGTTGTTCTCATCCACCCAAAAATAATACATGAGTAGGCGCCAAGTAAGAGTGTACAACACAAAAAGTGTCCGATTCTTGTCCAGAAGGAGTTTTGCTTCCTGGTCTGTTTTAGATTCTGGATGGAAAACCACAGAAGGCTAAACAACGTCAGTCTGAGAAGCCCGATCCCGACTAACAGCTCGGTGCTAATGGATCCAACCAGTCACCTGAAACACTGAGCCAAGAGACACTGGCAGCTTTTAGGTCTAGTTCTAACGAAAACTAGAATTTGGTGACAAATTTAGTTGGTATCTGTTTTTTTACGAGACATTACATTGCTATATAAATCTTTAAATATTCCCTGAACAAACAAGCACACATTTTCCATTATGTTATCCAGGTTGGCACAAGATACGGCAAGACTGACTATGGGAATGAGGAGCAGGGAAGGTCAGGGGATGGGAGATATGTTTGTGTTCCAAGCTTAAATCAATTAATGTCATGAACACAGTGTGTATATTGCTTGCAGTCAGAAAGATCTTAGATGTTGTGAAGCCAATTCTGAAAGAGATTAGTTTCTCTCTGTTTAATTAATGAACTGCCAGGGCTTTTCATTTTTCTTGGTCATCGACCTAACAACAACAATTTTGAATCAAGAGATTCATCTCGATAAAAAGCTTTATCTCCTCACCGCGGACAACGAGAAGTTCACAATAACAGCAGTTCAGCAGCTTCCTTCTGGCAATTTAAAGTGAACAAAACAGATTAATGAGTGTTCGAAGAGCTTACGGGAGGAGCGCAGAGTGTATCAACACTCAAAGAAAAGCAAATCCTTGAAGCTTTCGCTCCAAATACCACCCAAGCCACAATACCACCCAGCTTGAAAGAAAAACACAATTCATCATCAGTCCCACTTGACAATGACTCCTGTGTGTTCTGTTCCAGCGCACAATTTGGGTTTTGTCTCTTGATACTGCATCAGCTGGTTCTGTAAATGCCCCCACCCACCCACACACACACACACACACACACACACCACCCTCTCCAGGTGACGCAGTAGAATGTCTGCTGGTCTACGGCTGACCTCAGCACTGTTCTTAATCTCAACGGGATGACAGAAGTGCAGAGGAATTTCGCTGCTCCGTGCCAAAAAAACCAACCCGTCAAGGCGTCTCTTTTTAGGCCCAGCACGTTCGCCTTCCACGTCCCCCCCCCCATCGGCTCTCACGTGGCACCGCTTTGTTGAGTTATGACCTGGAAATACCAAAAACCCTGGCCTCAGTAACCCCTCCAAACACTGCCCCACCTACGTGCAGATGCATCCGGAAAATGTCTCTCCCTGCCACGGTATGTGCAGCGTGGACTGCCATCCCCTCCTCGCCTTACCTACCTGTGCGCTGGATTGTGTTTTTGCTGAGGCCAAGCGAGAGGTGCCAGCTGGGCCACCTGTTCGTCTTCGGCCTCTGCCAAGGCCGTTCCGCGCTCGTGTAAGGCTAACGGGAGGCTACGTCCAGATGTTGGTGTGAAGCTCCACAGCTGAGCAAACAGTTTCTGTCTTCTCTACGGCGTGACATGTTTAAAATGACACGCTGGAACAACAAAAGGAGGCGACCAGCTGAGCCCCGACGAACACAATCACCCCAAAAATACTCACCACCCCGGTCGGCTTGTTAGATAAAAAAGCAAAGTCAAGAGAGCGGAAAAGTAAGCCGAAAATCAGGGGACTAATAAATGGTGAAACTTTGATTTTACACAAATGGCAATGGAGGAGATCTTGTGTGAAACAAGTGGGAGGCCAGGGATGGAAATGTTTGTCTAATTTCTAGTCTGATCGCAATAGAGTGAGTCGCTCTGTTGGGATTAGCCGATTCAACCCTCTGCTGCATTCCTTTGCTTGAAATAGTCACCGTCTGGACATTTTGCCCTGAAGATTGAGACAGGCATGAGGGCAGTTGACTCTATAGGAATCAGTAGATTTTCCAGACACTTTGAAGGACATAGACAATCTAATCTGGCTGGGAAGCCCCAAGTGACTTCCAACATAAACGAATTATCTCGTCCTTACACTGCATTTTTAAACTTAGACAGTTTCCTTGTAAATACGCAGCACCTGTGCTTTGAACAATGCAAACATTGTCTGAAGCCTGTATGTTTTCCATTACATCACTGGAAAATGTCTCCAGAGATCATACATCCATACTTCTAAAAAGCTTCGCTGCTCCTCCTGTCCTTCTTTTGCTGTTTGAAACGAGTGCAGTTCTTCCCGCCTGAACACAATTGTCCTCTGTAAAAACATATTACAAAGAATTCTCTCACAGGCTGTTTTAATCCTCCTGCTCAGCCAAAACATCCCAGTGCCTTTAGACGATCCCTAAGGGGCGTGAATGATGTGATGGATGTAGGGCAAGGAAAGGGGAGACGCTTCTTCTTCTTTTTTTTTTTTTTTTTTCATGCAGAGGATGCCGTGGGGGAAAAGGCCTCCATTCATGGTGCCGTGGCTGTGTTGTAGTAACTGGCATGGCTATACAAGATCCTGCGGCTTGTGTCTTCACAAAGGCCCGTCAGCAAACATGCCGGCAGCTTCTGCCCGCAAGCCTGTTTGTCTCTGAGGCCGCGATCTGCACGGATCCGTCAAAGTAAAGTCCCCCCCCCCCATTCGACAAAGACCAGGAGCGACGCAGCGCCGTGACACTCTCTATTTCTGGATTCAACGCTGGTAAAAGAGTTTTTCGTTCTGGATCTGGACACAGCTCAAATCCAGAAAATGAAATCTTAATAGATAAACAACTTTGATATTGTGGCGTTTTAAACAGATGACTGCGGCAACATTAACATTTTTACAAAACTGATTCCCCCATTTATTTTTCATTCACTCAGTTATACACAAAGCATATATTCCCCAGCAAACTACACATTCTATTCAACATAAAATGAGATTATTTGCAATTTGTTGATGTGACCACAAAGTGATTCAAGGGTGAGTGATATTCTGCATTTTTCATATTGTCAACGCATACAGAGATCCATTTAGCTGAAGGTGAAAGTTGTCCTATCCCCAGAGAAGTCTTCTGAAGTCTTGTGACACTAAGGGCCGTGGAATCACCCCCTTTCTGCCTTTACTTGACCCAGACTACCTCACTCCTCGGCCCATCAGCTAGCTGGGCCCCGCAGGGGACTTTAATGTGTTAATGATTTATTGACAATAACGAAAATAAAGAAAACGGAACACATAATAGCAAAAAAAAGACAAACAAGACAAAGACAACGTGAGGCAACAATCTAAGCAATAACCAGCGTTCAAGGAAAATGTATCTGGACACAGTACATCACGACTTAAGGCACTTTGGTAGAAATACATAATCAAGTAAATGTCGTTATCACTAGTTTGATGTACCAAATACGTGTAAACGTTTGAATTTATTTGCAGTACATGAAATATTAGACTATAGCACATCTGTGGTGCAGCACACAGTTTCGATTAAACACTTTACCCACGTTTTGTTAGTCGTAGAGTCGATGCTGCGCTGACCTGGTAGAGATGTTGGTTCAAATGGAAGATTTCACCCTCTGAAAAAGAGACAAAAGAGAGATCTTAAAACACACATCCAAATTGAGAACACACCAGACTTTAATGTTTTTTTAATTTGAATTGTTCGAATCGGTCGTACGGTACCTTGATACCCGACAGTTGCGTGTCTGGACATAAGTTCCTGTGTATATGATATCACATCTCACTACGTTGTTGGTGAAGTCTGACTCCAGGACGTGGAAATTGGGATTGACAGTAACCTGAAATATATAAAAGTCGTTTGAGAAGCTCTCCAGGCAGGTTGGTAAAATAAATCAAACCTCCTTGTTGAGGGATGTAACGGTGGATGTAAAGTTGACTTGACGTTACCTTCAGGATGTAGTTTCCTGGAGGTACGTCCGTAATGTCGATCCACTGACAGTCGATGTTTGCAGCGTAGGTGTCGTGGCAGCCCGGACTCAGTCCCTGCAAACACAAGCCAAACGACCCTCAGTGTGGTTTAACGCCTCGACCTCTTCAGACGACTTTGACTACTCTTTTCCTACGAGCACATGTAAGTCTAGTTATACAAAGAGTTTTTTGGAAGCGGAGCTGTTAGAAGAAACCATCGCTTGGCGGTGCAAAGCCAGAATCCAATACCACAGACAACAGACAAGATGTTTTTTTTTTTATTATTTGGGACACAAGGGAGTATAACATGTCTTTTAACTTTAGTGATGCTTTTGATCGTTCCTGATTTCTCTCTTGCAAAAGACATCTCGATCTCAGCGCGATCACCTGATTAACGTTAAACAACATTGACTTCCTGCACGGCCGCGTGTTTACCTGTGTGTGAGACGTGCAGGCGTAGCGCCGCCTGAATCCGGGGTCACAGCCGGTGTCCTCCAGGCAAAAACTGGCCTTGTGACCCTCTGCAACTTTCCTTTCAGTGGTGATGTCCAGCAGGTCGTAGTTACTGAAGGCCTCCATGCTGTGGAAGTGTCTGAGTGGGACGAACAGGGAGTTTTTTTATAAGAGCGTAATGTCTCAGTCATAAAGCATTTTCACTTTTCTTCTGAGTGGACTCACTGGTGACAGCTGTGCCAATCCCACTGATACCTCGGCTTGACTGGAAGGAAGTCAGTGGTGCCTTGGTTCTTTACTTTCTGTGGGAACCGCAGCAGGACTCTGAAGTCGATGTCTCTCACGGCAGGTCCGTAAGCCGACCTGGGACGGATCAGACAGGAAATGGGCATAAGCTGCGTTGGAAAGTGCTATTGGCTGAGCTCCCGGGGCGGCTAGTTGCTTTGTTGAAAGCAAAGGGTTTGTTCCACTATTTTTAATGCTTTTTTGGAAAATCCACCCAGAACATTTACATCTTGGCAGAACATTACGTTGGAGAATCGCTGCTCCCTGCTCCATAACATCAGATTATGCGGTTATGCCACCACATTGAAAAGTTATACAGATGTAATTGAATCAAACAAACAAAATTTGTGCCAAAACCAGTCGAATCAACCTTCCATGAGCAGTAAAAACAAAATGTGTGTTGAGTGTGTGTGTGTCCATGTACTGAGGAAATGAATCAGTTTTGGCTGCACAGATCACCTGGCGAGACAGTTCTCCTCAGCGGCACAGCGGAGAGCAAACATCTGCATGCGTTGGATATAAGCACCGGCCTGGATAGCATACGGGTCTGGTATGAGGTCTGGAAGTCCTGGGGGAGAAGATTAAAGAATCCAAGTTTTTGGTGATTTTGAGAGGCTAATGTTGGCAGTTTATTAGTACTGAGAACAATTTGCTGACCCTGCCAGTGAGTGAGACGGCCATTTAAGAAGGTTAAACAATTTCCATGTGATTAGGACAATTAATTTACCATTTTGGAAATATCTTGTTCCATATCCTGTGCCAGAGGGACGACGCGTGCGGGTCACTGACCTCCCTCTTGCGGGGTAGGAGTTGTAGAAAACCGAATTCATGTGGTTTTTAAACGGGTTTCTAGGGTCGTCATTAACCATGTCCTCTCCATTGCCGTTGGAATCATCATCTCTCAGTGCAGGGGATGCAGCATGGGCCTCAGATTCCCGTTCCAGAGTTGTTGGATACATTGAGCGGCCTTGATTCGTCTGCGCATGTTGCCTGGAGACAGCCATCGCCTCTGGCACCGCGCGTAACTGTTGGTCCTGCGCACCGGGTCCCGGATCTCCTCCTCTGGTGTGCAGCGCGGCAGCACCCCTACCGTCACCTCCTCTCGTGCCCGCGAAATCGGTGAGCCTCCCCTGCGCAGAGGCATTGATGGCGATGGCGTGTTCATTGTTAAAGCGACGTGCGCCCAGATGGCCCGCAGCTGCTGCTCGGTGAGCGCGCTCTGGCTGCTGTCTCGCGCCTGACGCGCGGCCATGAATTGGCGCATTCTGTCTAACATCGCGCACCGAAGAAGTAGATCTGGTCCCCGCGTTGTGATCAGTCCTGAACTGTCTGGACTCAGTCGACACCGGTCGGTCAACCGTCGCTCTTCTGTGCGCTTCCGGCGTTCGGCTCCGGGTGCTTTCCCTCCGGCCGGCAACGTACAACCTGGACTGGCCCCGGGACTGAGCCGGAGCAATGTACTCGGAACCAGTGCTCACCAAACTATAAACCTGCCCGTTGTTCTCCCACTGGATGCGGTGCCGCCAGGGGCCAGCTGCGCGCTGCTGCTGCAGCTGCTGCTGCTGCTGCCCAAAGATGAGGGGAAGTTGCCCATTGAAAAAGAATAAAAATAAAAGTGACAATTTTGCCATGGCAACGAAACAGAAAAAATAAAAGAATCCTGTGATTAAATCAAAGATACATTAGATTATGATGAATTGCGTGCAAATTGTGGCTAAAAAGCAGGAGTGCGCTCTCAGTTGCAGCTCCTGCACGACACAACATATCAGTTCTCAGGAGGACTGACAAGTAGAGAGGAGAGGAGGAAGGGAGAACTTTTGTTTATCGAATTCAGTTCGATTACGCAAAGTCAAACTTCCGAGAAGAAGAAGATTTAACCCGCGCCTCACCGTGGCTACGTTTTGTTACACAACTAACTTACACAAGGAGGTTTGCTTTGCAAACTTTACGCACTGGTGTGAAGTCATCTCAATGTTACCCTTCAATCTGGGTACAGTTAATTAAGAACCAATACGTGGAGTAAAAACAAAGATCATCTGGCTTTGATTAGTTCTTTCACTGACAAGGAAATACTGTTGAATTTAAATCTTATCAAAACATTAGTCATACTAATCAAGATATTCAATTTTTCCATTGAAGTACCTCACATAGTCGTTTTACCAATATGAATAAACATATCTCAGATCTACTTAAATATACATAATGTTTGTCTTTCTTTATTTCTTTATGACAATATAATTTACTATTCAGATACGCATTCACATTACACAAGAGGGGCGAATAGTCATCAGATTTCTTTACCCCTACCTAAATCTGACTCTATGAAGAGGACCGTGTTTTATAGGTCAATTGTGCTTTGGAACAATCTTCCAGTTGGGGTTCGTGAAATCAAGGGAAAAACTGGTTTTAAAAAAAGATTAAGACTGCATTTGTTTTCAACATCATAACATCGTCTGGAATGGTTGAGCGAGGTTGTATCACGTGTCCTGGTGTTTTGCATTATTTTTTATTACTTTAATCAGTACTTTCAGAATTGTTACTTTTTCTTGTCTTTTTTGTGTAATTATATATGATATATGTGAGTAATTGTGATTGTGATTACTGTTCTTTTATGTATTTTTTTTGGACGCTGTCGTCTCAGCGTCAGCTAATGGGGTTCCTTTTAAATAAACAATAAACAATGTAATAAAGTTGGGGCCACGACTTGGCCTCATGGCCCCCTGTAGGACTTGACCTCCACCACAAGGCGGCAGGATGCCTCTGTGTCTCCACCCTGCAAGCACTGATAAAGAGGGGTCACCTCGGGAGAATTATGGGATCAATCAGTTCAATCATTTCTTTATTTTTTTTACAAACATTAAATGGAACATTTTAATAAATAACACTTTTAACAATTAATTTGACTCTTTCTTCAAATATATTTGATTTTCAACAATGTACGATTTCCATCTTGTAAAAGTACATTTTGAAAGATGAGAAATAACAAAAATAAATAAGACAGATTTGGTATACAAGCATGCCACCTGCATATCAAACTCTGGAAAAGTTGAAGACCGTAACACACGTTTGCATCAGTAACATCTACTGTAGAAGACAATATCATTGCACATTAATTTTTGGTAAACTCCCATGAAATCAAACAATAACCATGCCACTCATATTAAAAGAAAGAAATATCTGTGCAAACACCTTTCTTGAAAATATCTATACAAGTATGTACACTTTGGAACGGACGATATTCTCAGCCTTGTCTGACTAAGATGGAGTCTTTTCATTCATTTACCTAAAGTCATGCTGTAAATTAAACTCAACTTAACATGCAAATACCTTTTCATTTAGCTTCATTGTGTAACACTCTGGAGCATATTAACTTTTTATTTGAAGCAATCGTATTGCCGAAAATGTATTATTTGAAAAGGGATTGTCTTGCAGCTAACGGATCCAGTCAGGAGATTAAATCTAGTGCAACACCCGCGTGATGGTTGTGTCGGCAGGAACGTCCCCCATTGGCTCTTCATTTTACACCTCTGTAATGCAAATACAGACATCTTATAGTATTTTTTATCACCTTTACCTGACAGTCCGAATGATATCAATCGACATTTGTGCACATCCATAAATATTACCTTTCTCATATAATCCTTTAGTTTGGAAGTGTGTCAATACCACTCAACTCTAAACTAAACCCAACTTGACCCATTGCCTATCTATTTTCCCCCTGCTTCCTTCCTTGGTATTTGGTTAGGCGATGGTACCCGTGTCCAATTCCCACAGCTGAAGCTAACTTTGGCATATAGAGGTTGATAGTCTCGGTCTGCAGGATCCCACAACGGGGGCGTTTTTTTTTTCCAAATTTCCCCCAATTTCAGGACATCAAGTTGAGCAGCCGATTAAAAATAGAATTGATTGGTTGTGTGCAGGCAGGCTTAAAGAGATGAGCAGCTGTGCTTTATGTAACATGCGTACGAAGGGAATGCCATGTTTGAGATATCAGCTAACATATCTGAGATGCAAAAGCAGTCTTAATTAGAAGACCTGAAATGTGACTTGGAAAAAAGTAAATGCGCCCCACTTGATGATCAATAGAAATCGCAAATCATTAAATTTGGTGGTTGAGCCTTTGGTCCGTTGGACCCTAACCCACAGCAACGAAATGTCCAAAGAGACTAAATATTTTGTTCACTGTTTCTGTTTCGTCGATAATTTACTTAATCTAAATATGGCTTAACATCTTTAAAGACAAGATTTAAGTGTCGGGTCTGAGTATCATCATCCTTGTGGTCTCATTCGACCGGTGCGATGCTGTAAAACTCGTTACCGCTGAGCAGAGAGATGAACGTCTGGTCCTTTGCTCCTGGACCCAATGCTGCAGACCGGCCCATTTCCAGCATTTAGTTGATACGGTACCAGGTCTCCTAAGCGTGTTTGTGTCTGTGTGCGAAGTTGGTTGTAAAGGGAACTCTTACCTTAATGTCAGATGTCATGACCAAGCTCTGCTATCATTGACTTTGGCCTGAAAATGACAGATTCAAATTAAGCCATAATTAAATATATATATTTAGCATTTATACTAAGCATCAAGCCGGTGTTGCTTTCTGTTTCCAAAATATATCCACATGGCTGCAGTTGCTCAAAGTTTATTAAGAGTCAAATGGTGTACAACTTCCAGCAACTGTCAGTGGGCTGTATGTACGGTTCTGCAAAAAAAGATCACCTTTCTTTAGGCTGCGTAGAGTTATTCTGCTGCTTCTCTTGCTGAAGTCTGCGAGTAAGAAAAAATGGAATCAATAATAATACGACAAGATGCAGGAAACAGAATTAGTATTACAACTCCTTTTTAATATGAAATCCCATGGAAATCTACTGCTCACCTTTCTCTTTGTACTTGTATCTTCTCATCATCGTACCTTCAAAATAAGAATATAAATCTCTGATCTCACTGATAAATGGATTACATCAACATTCTTCTCATCAGTGGTACAAAGAAGCAAAAACTCCAAAAAAGAACAATACTGCAAATAATATGTTTACTAGGTTTGATCATCAATACTGCTGACAGTTACACTCGTTAAAGCAGAAGTCGTTTTTCAAGCCAAGGTCCCCCAAACTGATGGCGAGGCGGAGCAGGGACCCCCTATTCTACAGAGTTTGGTCCGCCATCTTTTATTTTTGAGCTTCACGCTCTTTAGACGTGAGCACAAACGCGATCTGATTGGCTGGTACCTGCGCTGTCGTATTCGCCTGAAAGGAGCAGTGAGTGAACCGGCGCCCAGCTTGAGAGCTGCTGAGGGAAGCTGAATGTGTGTGTTGCGCACTGAGAGATAACGTCTTCTCCATCAATTTATCCGTTCGCTTCAATATGTTGGATTCATGTTAATGTGTATTTAAAGACCATAAATAAAATTCTGATTCTGATTCTGAAGACATTTACATTTGTGGGGAAAAAAAACGTTTAAAAAAATTGTCTTATTAACCAAAAATTTCGCGACCCCCCTGCAGTACCTTCGCGGACCCCTTGGGGGTCACGGACCCCCTGTTGAAGACCTCTGCGTTAAAGGATTAGGTTTAGTTTGAACGTGAGCATTACTTTAGATGTCTTGTTACTTTGAGCCTGCAACACACACGAGACCTGATTAGCATCTCATGAGTGACCTCTGGTGGCTGGGAGTACTTACTGCAGCACACACTCGGGGATCTGCACATGCTCCATGGGGATGATCTGGCTGAGCTCGTCCAGGGTGTGAACGTAACGGATCTTATCCAGGAACTTCACGCTGCAGGAAGCATCAACGACATGCAGTTAATGTCGCAAGTGAGCCGCTGTGTAAGTCAACGGATAGACTGATGGACTACCGGCCACACTGAAGGGATTCTCACCTGATGAAAGGTCTCGAGATGGCCAGGACGGTCCGGATGAACCACGTTGGGTGAGCAATGATGAGACACTTAAGATTTTTCCTCAGTCTGCAGGAGTAATTTTGAGTGTTTGAGATGCTTTCCTCTTTCTCATAACATTTGAATCATAATCAGTAATCTTTAGCAATGACGACATCAGTTTCACTTTATTGACTTCCATCGTAGTGGGCCAAACCTACTTCCTGTCGATCATCTGGTAGCATCTCTTCAGCCAGCTGATGCCAGGCATCTTCCTGCGAGGCGTTGCTCCGTTCAGGTAGACAATCATGTAATCTTCTGCCACCAGCAGCTCCAGGCTGCTCACAACGTACCTGAGGACAGAACAAAAAAAAGCTTGGATCTGTGTTGTATGGTAACATATAAGAAGAAAATGAATCCTTTGTTCAGTAAGCTGAACTGATCCAGATTTGGAAGTCACAAAGTCAAATTCTTAAAGTGAAAATGAACACATACCATTTTAGACATGATTTAAGGCACGTGTTTATTATCCTTTGTCCTTTGGTCAAGCAAAACAGTGCAAATTGAATGCGACAGTAAAAGACTCCCTCGGGGGAACAGAATGGATCTTACAGGAAGAGATTCTCCATGATGTACGTATAGTCCTCGCAGCCACTGTCAGGAAGGTAGCACGCGGAAAACACGATGATGGCATTCAGACCCTCACCATAATAACCTGGAGGAGGGAGACACACGTTCAGTGCGATGGCTTTAATATTGCAATCCAACAGCACAACAAACCACAAACAATCTTAAATGTTGTTCCAATCATACAGGCGACGTGCAGAGCAACAGAAAACACATTCTTCTCACACAATCAAGATATTGTAATTCTGAATGAGAGCACTATATAAGAAGTCTGTTATCCTCATGAAAACGTTCTCAGTAGAAAGAATTGTAGCAGAGTGCAACGCGTAAAACACAATTATGGCGGAAGAGAAAAATACTGCCGGTCACACAAATGCTAATGGTTGTGTGAGGGGTCATTTGGCATGTGGGTGAGATGACATTTCAACGTATCCAAAAACTGCCCTGCACACTTTTTGCTAGTGTGCCATTGGTTAAGGTGGCTGAACCCTATCCTAACAATAGTCATATATAAATAAATTCTAACAATTGTAAGGGTAATAACTACCGCAGGACTATGTAATGTAGGATATTAGAAACAAATTGACGATCCGGTTCATAAAATTAATAAAAATGCATATAGTGTACACCAGAATACAGCCATGATTCTGAAACTGTGTAATCAATAAAGTAATGACAATATTGTAAAACCACTGTAATTCTGCAACTGTAATAGAATAATATCAATGTACAGTTATGATTGTATTTAATGTAATGTAATCAACTGGAATGCATGCATGTAATACTTGCACAACAACTGATATTGACTATGGGCCATTCGAAATAATGTGGACACTAATTTTCACACCTTTAAGCATTGTTATAAATACCTGTAGGAACCATTGTTCTGGAGTTCGCTGGTGGAGGCTAACAGATGGGCACTAGGGATGGTCAAAGGACTGACCTGGGGCCTGTTGGTTGCTGAGACCAGCGGCTCCTCAGCTGAGATGTTCTTTTTACCACAACACCATCTCTTTTATTAAATACATTTGATTTTAACCCTTTTGATCAGCGATGACCTCTGTCCGTCCGCCGTTTCTTCATTTTTGAATACAACAGTAACTAAGTATAACCGTGAACTTACCAAATAAACAACCAACTATGAGTTTGTCCCTGTACAACTTCTATCCCAACACATACTAATTTTGATTTTTTGCAACATGCCAGGTATATTTGGATGGGCTTTGATGGTCTTTCTTCAAATAATAGTTGCATAAAAACTTTCACCATAAAGGATTATCCATTTTGGATGAATCCTAACACACAATCGAGCCCAGATGACCTGACACAACTTGAATAAAAGCTCACACACACACACACACACACACACACACACACACACACACACACACATTAGTTTGCTAACCTCCATGTGTGACGACCCTCAGGTATGGTCTGATGACCAGCATGTCGATCCTCTGCTCCTGGTCGCCGATGATCACTGTTCGCCACAGGCGACCAGATGAGTCTCTCTCCTCTTCACTTTCACCTGGAAGACGCTTGGCCGTGGCCACAGGAGTGTCATCTGGACACGAGGCGACAGGAAAATAGACCGTTGGGACTTAATATTTTTTGAATCACAGAAAGAGGCAGATAATGAGAAAACTGGCTATAACTGTTCACATAACGTGATACTTTCTGTAAAAATAGTTACAGTCTAAGCCAAGCTGGATCAAACTAATTAGACAATAAAATCTGTAAAAGCTGAGAAAATTCCAGTCATTTTTGCTGTACTTGGAAGTTGCAATAACGCATCACCACTAAGGTGCGACTCAAACCGAGGACGCAGCAAATCAAGAAGTATGATTTGCTCCTTAAATAAATCCCTTAAAACCTCAAAAAACAATGTGTGCCTTCCACAATATCGAAATTTTGACCTTTCTCTGACCTTCCCACTCCAGGTCGTTGCCATTGTTGATGAACTCCAGAGAGTCGGTTTCATCGGGAGTCTCAATGTCGTCTAGGTTGATGTCCAGGTCGTTGGGCGTTTCCAGAAACTCATCAGAGAGCACCGACCCCTCGCTCTGATCCAGGGAGAGGTTCATGTCGGGGGCGACTAGAGTGCGGCGCTTGCGCTGGGCCAGGGACTCGCCGACGTTCAGGGTGGTGGGAGGATCTGGACACGGCAGGAACGTTTAGCTACAGAATATTTTAAGTATATACTTAATGCGGCGTATTTATTACCACTTACTGGTTCTGTGGTCAGTGAGGCCACATGAAGAATCAACTCCATCTTCTGGTAGCGGCCTGAAGAGAAAGATATTAATGCATCATTAATTTAATGTAGTATTAATACAACAGTGTACAATAAAACAGGACAGAAAATATAAGTATACTGTGTTGGTTGACCTTCGACAGCTCTCAGCATGGCAACATCTGAGCTGGTGGCTCGAAGCTAACGCGGCTAGCTGTGCTAACGGTGTTTGCTTTGCTGTATATTAATCCTCTGGATCCTGTATACTGTACATTTATTGTTTTGGTTCTTCTTTATGCCATTTGTATTAATATTAAATTGCTATGATCAATGAAAAAATATTATAAGTACGAGCATGTAGTTTGTAATATTTTGTTTTTTTTCTCATACAAACAGTGTGACGCCGGAAAGAAGATGTGTTGTTAGAGAAAGCAACACCAGTAATTACCACCTCCCCTCTGACATTATAATAAGACAGCTGAGCTCTGGGTGCTGGGGGCCCAAGATGATAGCAGAGAACACACACGAACCCACACAAACACAGGAGGAGAAACACACAGACATTAACACAGACATGCCTGCGTAGACGAAACAAGCCCTAAAACACCACAAGCATGGGCGAGCTGATGGAGCAGTTTGGATAATTGCTGTTATTATGTTGTCAGTAGCTTTGTAGATATAAGAAAAAGACAGCCTTGGATATACAAGACAGAATTAAATGATGGGGAGGAGAAAACAATTTGTTAAAGAACTCTTAAATGCTGCTGTTTCTCACATTAAAACAATCTGCCAGTACATCCGGTGAACTACATATTCCCATTACTCCTCCTCTGACCTCGCTGATATTCTGTTCACTGACATGATTCAACATACAGTAACCACGTGACGACTGCACCAAGGACAGAACACCTGCTTCCCTTCAGCAATAAGGCCAAACTGATTTGTGTGGAAACACACACACACACACACACACACACACACACACACACACACACACACACACACACACATACACACACACACACACACACACGCACACACTCACACACACACACACACACACACACACACACACACACACACACACACGCACACACTCACACACACAGACACACACGGGAGTACCTGGGGAAGTCTTCGTCCTGCCACTCATCTTTAACCTCCATGCTGTCCATGCGTAAAGTGGCCTCTGCGGTGCCCATCCTCTCTCAGGGAGGACCGGCTTCACCTTGCTGTGGTTGACAAACAATGGAAATCAGTGAGACACAAAGGGTTGAAATAATTGTAGCTGTTTAAAGGGGCACTCACCCATTTCCGAATTTTGGCTTGAGACTTATAATTGCAACAAAATGTAAGATTCACTGTTTTTGGAGTTTGAACCGCACTAGGATTGAAAAAATATAATGTTGGTTTCTCCTTTAGCTTTAATCTAGACCATTCTTTTTTTACATATCTCTCCAAAGTAAAACAATCTGCTGGGTGAGGTACACTAACGTTCTGGCTTATCCACAAAGCGCAGCTTTAAAGAGGTGTAATTAAGGGCTCTGGAAGGCAGCAGGAAAAGATGTGTGTGGACTGAAGAAATGTATCATATGAGACAAATAATCTGTTTCTTGAAACCCTACTGCTAGATTGTCGTGGTTAATGATTGAAAATTAATATTACTGCTATTCTATAAACAGTATATTGGAAAAACTAGGCCTCAGTGGGTTTACTTTGCCTACATTCCTAGGGGAGAGGAAGACAAAAATAAACCTAACATTGCTCATACAGCCCCCCGGGGGGGGAGACAAGCAAATCACACATGCCGCCACAAAGCAGATAGACTGAACTGAACATCTGAACTTCCATATTTTACATAACCAAGTCTCCGTCCAACGCTGCATGACATTTTCTTGTGCCGGTTGCTGCAGGCTTTTGTGCAAGGATCAGTCATGCACGGAGTGAGCACCCTGTAGGAGCATATGGGGGAGAAGCGTCCATCCTACGTCACTGTCCCAGCCAGAGCTGATGCTGCAGCAGACTTAACCACAGTCCATTTGTCCACTGGGACGGCACTGATGTGCTACAGTGACACATGTCAGAGCCTGTACTGAAAAAAAACGGCAGAAAACGCGGCCTAAAAAGTCCCTGAGGCTACGCGCTGCTGGAGCTGCTGTGTTCTGATTGGATCCAAATGATGTTAAGTGTTTCCACTGTGCTGTCCCGTGAGGAGGTTTCAGTGTTTCACAGGGGCTTGACGGGGAAATCCTAAACACCCCTTTAAAGATCCTCTCGGTCCACTTTGCTTCGCCTTCCTCGGTTCCTCATAATCTTACCTTTTGAAAAAAGGCTTTGAAAAAATGATTCATCAGTTTCCCTGCTAAATTAAGAATAAAAGAGGGGCGCGAGGAGCTGAGAATAAAGTGGAAAATTCAAATGTCTCAGTGTGTGCAGGTTTCTATTGCCAAGCGTCAGCTGCTCTTCACTGATACAGTGAACTGCAGATTGATGGACACAAACTAATGTTGCAGCGGCACACGCTCGGTGGGGATTTGAGTCCAGATGGCAGAGCAGCCTTCATTTCCCAAACACTATCTTGTGATCTATTCACCGGGTTGTGCCTATTAAAACAAACTCATAATCTATATCAGAATAAACAGAAATTTCTATAATAAATATCTATATTTGTGCATTTTGTTCGACAAATATTGGTTGTGAAATGTCTCATATAGTGAGCAACATGTAAACAGAGCAACAGAGCGTCCACTTCAATAGATATTTGGTATTTGATCCTATTCTGCATTATGAAATTGTTTACATGGCTTTCAGCTTGGAGTTAAACATTGATAGAGGAACCAATGATAAAAGGCAAGGCAATACATCATTGATCGAGTGCAGCCTTCCTCAACTTGTTTGATTGCAGATTTACAGAAAAGATAACAGTGAATATTGTAGGACAAAAAAGAGAGCAATCCAAGTTAACAAAAAATGATATAAAAGCTAATGTTCTTCAACAGGATGGCATTGCAGCGGTTTGATCAAATTAAACCCCTGACTGGATAGTCACCCCCTTTTTCCAAATGAGCCCTGTACACTTCAAGCCAGTGAGCACAGAGAAAGAAGCAAACATGCCAATGGTAAAGTGTCTTTGTGGATTACTTATTAGAAAATATGGTCATTTTGGGGGCTTTGACAAGTGCGTGAAAGTAGAAAAGCTACTCTTTCACGACTGCCTCCTGTCCTTATTGTACGACTGTGTCAGTAATTTGAATCGTGAAATGTAGCCGAATCAAACAAAGCACAGGAAAGGTCACTGGTGGAGAATCTGTGACTGAAACCCCGAAAAACAATCAATTCAGCCCAAACCAGAAAAAGTCCCAGCTCGCGTAAACACACTTACTGCAATTAGGAAGACTTCCTCCTGAAGGCTACCCTGTTTGGCCCTCAGATGTCTCTCGTTATTGTCTTCCTACTGCGTAGATCTGCCAGAGCAGACTGAGGGCGATCCTTCTCCACATCTGCAGGTGCGCCACTGGAGTGCTGCTGGATGCTTCTTGCTCCTCGCTTATGCTTCCACTGGAGGCTGAGAGAGAAATTGAATCCTCCTGCGGAGAGGACGGTTAGGAAAGTCAGGGTCATCACACATCAAACGCCATCCAGCTCTCATGGTTTCAGTCCCGTCTGCGAATCAGATCCCACTTTGGAATGCGGATAATCCTCGCACTGCGCCTTCAGCTCGTGTTCTGATGCTCACTCTTTATATCCACTCCTGCTCGTCTCCGCTGAATCCTGCCACTGCCCTCCTCCTCCCTCTCCCACCACTAATGCCCCCGGGCTCTAATCCTGATGTGGTGATGTCACCCGTATGGTGTTGTGGTGGTTATGTAATCACACCTGCGTACCTTCTCAAAGATTCTCTTTGGCTGCAGGGAGTCGGGATCAGCTGTTGTCTTTCGCCCCTCGTTCAGAATATTTTGATTCCATGATGTAACATGTTTCAATCCTCCCGCAAGCTGGAAAAATTGGACGTTTCTAGTTCAACGCTGTTCCCTGGCAACAGCATATTCCTCCCACACACACACACACACACACAATCTCTCTCTCCCTCTCGCTTGCCGTTTCTCACCATCTCTATCAGGCAGTGTGGCTCTTGACGAAACCCCGCCTCCATGTGAATTCCCCTCCTTTTCTCTGATGACCTCCCTCCCTCCCTCCCTATTATCTCCTGCTCTCCTCACTGCTGCACTGAGCTCTGGGTGATGTCATGACACAGTCACGGCTTGGCTTTGGTATTGCACTCATCGCCCAGTGGGGGCAGCAACAGTTTCCTATTCTTCTTGTGTCAGCATTTTGTCCAGTTTTTTAATTAATAAAGCTACTTTGCACAATTGTGAAATACTCCAACATGCCCAGACTGGCAAACAATGAGAATTATTGTCAATGCAACTTTCCAGTTAAATTAAGATAAATAAAAGGCATTGCAGGCATTGAGAGATTGTGAAAATAACATAACAATAACTCATGACTCATTTGACTCAAAAAGTACATAAGTAGTAAGTTGTCGGTTGTTCTAGTTATTTCAAATAATATGCGTGCCTTCGTAAGATATTAAAATGTTTCATTTTTCTGAACTGAATGCATCTTTTTGCTGATCAAAACGAAATCCCATCCAGGTCCAGGCCCACACTGTTTGTGCAGTACCATGAAGTATTTAACAGTTCTATGCATCTGTATGCATCGTGTGCAACTGGGTCACCAACATTATTCCTCCTCTTCATAATTGCTGTCCTGCCAGCAGATGGTGGTAGAGTGTTCCTTATGAAAGACATCCCCGCTGCAAGGAAAGGTCTACTTGCTTCGACTGACCTCCACAATGGCACCAATAATATGGAGTACAAGATTTTAGCATTTTTCTCGAGATCTAAAAAACGATAAAAAACAGATTTACCATGACAAATTACAACTCCTATAAAATCCTATAAAGAATACTAATATTTAAAAGGACTTTGGTCAGCTAGGAATACTGGCAGCCAAAAGGTTTATCGGAAAATGTCAGTAATATTGAGGTGAAAACAGGCTAAAAAACAAACTGTTAAAATGGAGTAGAGGTGTATCTGTAAGCTATTAACCAAAATGTATTAAAAAATAATTTCATGGGTTGAAAATGGCTAAACAAATGAGCCAATGTTGAGACCGAGTTGACAGGTAGGTAGGTTTTCTAGGTCAGGAAAAATGACATAAAAAAACAACAACACATTACCCACCTCTAATCAGTCACCTGGTAGACGTGTTGTCCATTAAAAAAATATCCTGTGAAAGTTTGTAATGTCCATATAACAGGAAGATTAGTAATCTTGACCTATTTTCCAAATGTCCGGAGCCTGCTAAGTTCTCTGTTAGGTACAGAGCTTTTAGGTCACCAAGGAGTTAAGATTAAAGCTTCTTTAAAATATAGATTCTTAGGAGGAGAATAAATGGCAGCAGTGCAGTTTTTTAGCTGGTGAACAAGAAGTTTATCAACGATTAATGTTCCAGTTCTAAAAAAAGAGTGTAAATATTTGATTTACATCCCTCATATCAGTGCCAATCTGGACATATGACCAATGAATTGACATCGGCTGAAATGAACAAGATCAAAATGTGATCGTGTCATTTCATTGTGTGTTGCAGCTCAGCCTGCTCGTGTTGCAGCGGTGCTCTCCTGTTATTAAATAGCATCAGCTTTCTCCCCTCCGCCAGCCCGCGGCAACCCTTTCCTCTCGGCCTCGTAGGACTGAATAACCGTTTGAGTCTGAAAAGTACGAGAAGCAGCCGGTGAAGAAAAGTGACTGTACTGCTTCAAACAACTCAGTAGAGTAGTGTAGCACTGCTTAGAATGGCCGTCTGCGGAGTTTGCACACTTACCAAGGATGTTAAATAACCTTAGAATGCCCACATCATTTGGTGTGTGTCTGGAAGCACTTTGCACAATACATGACACTGAGCTTTATCATTCTGCAGACAAAGGCGAGCTTGATTAATGTACAGCGTTTCATACTGAATTGTTGAAGAGAGGGGAAAGCGTGAGGAGAAATTATGACCTACATATCCATTAATCAGGGATTAGCAGGCGTGATTATTATCTTTAAAGTAGGCTTCCATTTTGTCGGTGTAAGAGCCACTGATATTAACACACATATACAAAACCAAACATCTTCAGATAACGGATAACATCTTCAAGTAACCCAAAGTCTGAATTTGAATGGTGACCATAAAGTATGCAGTACGCAGTGATACTTCCTTTACTCCCCTCAGAAAGAAACAGAAACTTTCAGTGAACACAAGCTGCCATTTCCGTTTAAGTAATATTCTTTATATCTGTTTATAAGTAATGACGTTGGCCAATGATGATGATTTTACGGTATTACAACATCAACATTTTGACATTCATATTCATGGACATTCAGATAAGAAACAATACCTCATCACATTAGATATTTGGACTGCAACATACTGTGTGTTTTGAGATGACAGTTAATCAGATCCCAGGACACCTTGTAGCAAACACAATAATCTTTGTTCACAGCAGTTGTGTTGAGGTTAAGCACGGGTGCAATTAATAACATCAACGATTAAGTGGGCCGGGGAATTGATAAAGCCGTGAGATAAATAACCATAATTCATTTGATCAATAACACATGTGGATAGCACAACTCTGTAATTGATGACATGTGAAAAAGGCTGCTGGGTAAAAGGGTCTAAAGATCAAAGTTTATTTCTGTTTAATCTAACTGTGGTGTGTGTGTGTGTGTGTGTGTGTGTGTGTGTGTGTGTGTGTGTGTGATTTAGGCAACTTGAACTTGCTTGTGTGGCCATGTGTGATGCATGTGTGACATCAATGGATGAGAGTCGGCTTACAAGGTAGCTTTAGGTAGGGGTTTATTTCTTTGAGGCTCAAATTAGCCAGAGAAGGAGATTAGTCTCTGTGTGTAATAACTCGTCAGGGCTCGATTTCAAAAAGCCACCGTTAAACACGTCTCTTAGCCAGTGTGCAACAAAACAATAATTATTTAATCACCTTACAATCTTAAGTAATACTGATGTGTTAGCTGTCTGTAATTAAGTTAAGAGGCAAATTGTAAAGACGTTACGGTCTCATTGTCCAATTGAAAGTGTGCGTCCAATCGCTGGTTTCCAAAGTGTATTTGGAGTATTCGCGCTATTGCCTAGATCTGTCTAGAGTATAAAGTAAATTATATATATATTAGTCTGAATATTTAATATTAATTTCACAGCCTTTTTGGATTTCTTTTGAGAACTAAATCAAATACACATGTCAGAACTACTGGCTATCGGTCAAAACAACAGCTTACTTGATCCCGTTATTAAGGATAAGCTAACAAATCCTAATTGTGTTTCATCCACGCACGGGACAGTATGTAGGCGTGTGGCGTGGTCGATGTCGCAGAACACGGCAGTGCGTCAAGAGGACGTGGTTCTGTGCCGAGCTGCGGCTCTCGTTGTGGAGATAATCTTATTAGAACAGAGTCAGGGCCTGAAGAGACCACCCTTAAATAGACACAGTTCAGACCTATCGATGTAACACCGCCTTGTAGAACTGATGACATTACTGCAGCAATACTTACAGACGTGTGCTTACAGACAAATGACGTTAGTTCAGCTTTTCCAGGCCAGGCGTTTAAGTCTGGATTGAGGGGCTGAATAATTAACTGTTAACTTCCGTTCGCTACATCCTGCTGTTTCTACCCTAAGAACTCGTTCAACTTGAAAACAAATGAATGAAAAATGAATTTCTGTGTTTCTTTTGCACACAAACAAAGAGCTTTGGTCATTTTTGACAACATTTGATATATAATGTTGACCTTTCATGAGTAGAACAAGTCATTTTCCAATGTAAACACAAGGGAAAATTGTGCGATCCTTCTCAACCCTGTGAGGATGAAGTAGGATCGTAAAAGATCGTAAATTTCTCCCTGATCCATACGAGTTTGTGTTACTGTCCATGAGGCCAGTTAGTGTTCAGTTTTCTTCAAATCAAACCAAAACGGAGCAATGTGACTGGTTGGTTGTTTGAACAAGATGATACCTCACAGAATCATCTTACGGAGGCATTCTGGTGGGAATTATTATTATAATTATTATTATTTTCTCTCCTGTTAGCGACGTTACTGTTGTTGTAACGATGCATTTATAAGACCAAAAAGGTTCATTTGACTTAGCTTACTTAAAGCCACCTGTTTCCTTTTCTACCCTTTAACCTTTTAATACACGGTCCTTCTGCCAGTCACATCATTTGGCAGATACTGTAGGTCAAAGAAATACGGTGTGAGACACCTTCAAGTGTACAATGAAGAAATACAACTACAAATCATACAACTTTTTAGTTTAATATTCCATATTTTTTATTTCTATTTCTTGGTAAGACCAATACACAATTGGCTTTATTGTTTCTGCTATTGATGGTGTTATATGCTGTAGAGTGTGATTATCTCTTGTGTAATAAGGCATGATAGCCGGTCCATCCATTTGGAGATGAGTGTCTATTGACACTTAATTCAACCACCATTGATTTAGGCCTAAAATAATTGCGTCGGTGTAATAAAGCACAATAACAGCAACTTTTCTTTTTAATGAGTAATGAGTTGTTTTTCATGGGCGACAGGTTGACATATCATACGAGAAAAAATCCCAACTAGTAAGCCGAGTTCTACTACTGACTTATCCATGCTTGTTCGCCTGACATCATTTATTACTCTAATATTTATTTAATATTTGAACATTTCCTTTATTCTAATTTGTATTGCCTCTGTATGCTAACAGTTCACACGGCTGTAAATGACTTGAAAGATGTTGGGGAAGAGGAAAGCATCAAACGGGGAGGCTAAAGTCATTTTTGAAAGTCAATTTGAAGGTTTCTAGTCCTTTAAAAGTAAAAGAAAATTTCCTTTTTAGTAACACAAATTCATCACTAACCAGCATCTCCACCACTGCACAATACGTGACGTTGTCAGCTCTTCCTTCACATTTCAGCTCAGGCTGATCATATGAGCGGAGCGTTTTACCCTCCCTTTCCATCATCGTCCTGTCGTCCCCTGCTGCTCACCATCCCCCTTTCCCCTGTAAGCTGACACAGCGCCTTGAAACATTAGCAGCTTTCTTCCTAATAGGATCTTGTGGGCTTAAATTGTCATCTGATAAAACTAAGGAGCTTGATAGCTATGCAGCGCCCTCTTAACCAATTTGTACTCAATTAGGATAATGGAGAAACAAGCAAAGAGGGACAGCTTTAATATATTAATGTGATAAAATGATTATCAATTTCCCCTACCTCCGACTAGGTATTGGGAGTAGTGTCATATATATATATATAAGCCATTAATAGGGTGGGTCAGAAAGCAAAGAATATCAGAAATATTTAAATTGGATGTAAGAATTTTATTATTACATTATCCGTGCTCAGTGGCATAGTGTGTACAAATACCCAGATATAAAAATGGGATGTTTTGACTTGGCTGTATTTGCATGAAGGTGTGTAGATGCATTGCCCTTGTATACATTGTACATGCTGGGGCTCTAAAACACTCTTTCATATTATTACTGTCCTTTTTGTGGTATGACACGTCAAAATGTTCATTCTCCGCAATTTAAAGAGCTACTCCATTTTTAGTACTAGTATTTAGTACTTGTAAGAGAGATTTAAAAAACAGAATGCTCAAACTGAAGCAGGAGAAGCTTTTTTGACACCGGTATGAGAACAGCATCAAGTCTTGGATACTACATCTCCCACAATGCACCCGGAAAGCCGTCAGGCTCCACCTGCTCACTGCTAAACTCTCCACAGCTCTGGCTTTTAATGCAGGATTTGTGTTAAAAATATAAATTGTTATATTAGTCTTACTCATATTGTTTATTGCATCTTATCTCTGAAGGGCCTTGAGAATCTTTAAAACAATATACAAATACAATGTATTATTATGATTATTATATATGCATTTGCTTGTCTTTTAACTTTTAATTTTCAATTTTGGTGTAGATAATACATATAATACCTCAAACAGTTCGTGCCAGAAAAACATATTAAATGGATAGGATGTAAATTGAACTGGTTTGCTGGCAATGCATCTTCTCAGTGGCACCACTAATTAATGGGAGTAATTATCATCCTCTAAGTCAATAGACTGTCTTATGGAATCAGCTTACTAAGACAATTAATGCTGCTTTCAAAGTTTTGCCTTCTTGGAATGTTTCAAAATGCTGCTATGTGATATTTATAATGAAGGCACACAATAGAAAACAACTGCAATAACATATTTAGGTGTATTATTATGTTATATTTTGTTTATTATATTTAAATATATATATCGCTCTTCGGGCGTGAGACGGGGTTCTGGCACATGTACATAATAAATTATTAACAACTTAATACTATTATATAAAAGGGTCTTAATTCTGGGCAGAAATAGAAATACAAGTATTCTGACCACAGACAAACCCACACTGAAAGACTTTAGGTGTTAAAGGAACGATAAGATAACATAACAAAGTAAACCGGTATGCTCTACTTGTGGCTTGGTTAATGCTTGATAATACCTTGGGCAGAAGTTTTCCATGTTGGATTTCTTTCGTCTGGCGTGCAAAGAACTCCTAAATATATCATCAGATAGGAAGAGTGAGGTCAGAGAAAATCTCTAGGGAAGTCTTTAGACCGATTAAGGATGGGGTTGATCTCTGCAACACCTACTGTAGCTGCCCCAGCTTTGGTTGGGCCAGCTGGCGGAGGAGAAACTTGCATGCTTGCATTCACAAAGTCTTGTCTACTATTTCCGCTTGTGTTTTAGTAAATTAGGTCAAATTGAGTATGGTATCTTTTTAATCTTATAAACCTTGTTTTTTGCTTTTAGTACAACAAATGAAGCATCAGAAATCAGATAACAATTTTAATTTACTATTGTCAGTACTATTTACTATTGAAAATATTTCTTGTTACTATTCCAACCAAATAATGTAATGAAACATGCGTTCAACAACACCAATTTTTGTTGTTGTTTTATTGCATTTAATCAATAAATTTAGCTAATTCAAAAGCAATACTGCTCATAAAGAGTTAAGTGCCCACTTGACCAAAACAATTTTTTGAATACAAGTCTTTACGGTGTGTGCCCATTCAAGTTAAAAGTCCATCTCTGTGTCTTTTCTCCCTTATATTGTCTATAATGAAGGGATTAGCGAAAACTCTCAGTACGAGCCATTATCTTTCAGACAATAGATTTTTTGAAAGAAAGTCTTGTTGAGGCTTCATTAGCAATGGCCTCCCTCTGTGGTCTGAATGCAGGACACATTTGGAGCAATTACTTGACCAGAAAACAACTGTCAGTCATTCTTAAAGGGGCAGGATTCCAATTAATAAACCTCTTAAACCCTTTGGTTTTACTACCATTCCCCCGCAAGCTTCGCTGTCCTGTGTGGTTAAGGAGAGTTTTGTCAGGGGAGAAAGACGCTACATGTGCTTGTTGCACAGGACTCCAAAGGAAGCTCCTTTACTCACTTGTGTGCAGGGGATTTCAAGGATTTAACTCGGCGCAACAAGTGCCTTCAGCAGATATCGTTAATGTCATTCCTCAACCTATGGACTACAGACGCACCATGTACACAGCGTAGCCTGTGGCAGAAATCTGAAAGAAGGTAAGATTGCTTAATGTACTTATGCACTGTACATCCTGTAAAACATTTATTTTGACGGCAATATTTTCCAAGCACAGCTTTTATTTGGTGCCTCTCAAGATGTTCCCAAATGTAGCTTGGCTTATTCCAGGCCAGAGAAGCTGCATTATTAGAAAGAAACTTTTTAAATACCAAGATTTTAAGGAAATTTGCCTTTTCTACACGTTATAAGCTTGACGTATTCTTAATTTTTTCACTTTTGAATTCTTTCTACAGCTTAGTTTTTGTATGTGTGTTGTAAATTATACTAACATACAACATTAAGAAGTTTATTCTGGAGGAAAAAGCCAGATGGTGCCGCTCATTGCATAAAGTGATCCAGCTTGATAATCAGAACCAGGGAACCTGCACACTAATGCAGATATCCCATGTGGTCTGATGTCTAATGCTACGCCTTGTTTGGTTTCTCTTGCAGACAAAGATGTGAATTGGTTCGTCTTCTGTGTAAACAACATATTCCATCTCCTTGAAGGATCGCCGATCTCGATCTGCTCCATTTCACGTAAAACAGAACAATAGCCTTGTACAACAACTGCCCTGCTTTGCCACAATTGGTAGCATTTAGATTTTTTTTTTCTGACAAAGAAGAAAAAAGGTGTCTCAAAAGGCTCGAATGCATTTGTCAATGGATACTCTGGGAATAGTGGACGATAGCTGCCTGGACAATTATGACATTGCAAAAGGTGCTGGTTCAAGCATTGGAGGCCGGGTCCACAGCATTGATGTTATACTGGGATTCACTAAGGATCAGGACCCTTTGCTCCATCCTGAAGGGGATGATGACAACCTAAAAGCCAACGGAGAAGGCGCACAGCACCCGGAGAAGCAGGTCCCGTCTGCTCCTTATGGGCACCTATCAGAATTGGGCGACAGCTCCCAACATTCTTCGTACCATGGTGAGTCTTTTCAGAGCGAAAAAAACTATTAGGCAGAAAAACTCTACAGAATCATAACAGAGATTTTTAAGAGCTTTTTTGAGTTATTCAAGAAGTAGAAGTAGAGCTGTGAGTTTGTCACAGCGGAATATTTCTGCAACAACTTAATTGATTGTCCGAAATGACAGTAGTGCAAAGTATCTAAATAAAATTAAACAACGGTAAAGTTTGATGAGTGGAAAAAGGGAAGAATGGCACAACATTTTTGTGAATTTATATAACACGTCCTTTTTCAGGAATGTAGTTTTAATCCAATAAGAATCTTACAAAGGCAGCCAAAGAAAGACAAAATAATAGCAAACTTCTTGCCTTAAGAATGTCTCATTAGTGTCCCAGTTACTCTGCAGAAACCTAATTTTCTATCTAGCTGTACCCTCAGGTTGCTTTTAAATTAAGAACAACTTATTTAATCTATATGAAAATAAAAGAACCCTTAAACGCTCTATTATATTGTGGAGAACAGATGAGGAGTTTCACATTCTGAGGAAGGAAGCTGCTCCGCTAATACTTCTGTGTTGCTTGTGTTTTTGTGGTATTGGGCATGAGAGCTTAATGGCACATCAAAAGCAATCACACCTGCAGTCTTCTTGCAATATCCATTGCGATAACCATTCAGTCAGACATATCTAGAGTGATTATACACCGAGGAAAAGCTTTGGTCAAAATTATATGTATTAATTTTTAATCTCCCCATCAGTTTAATTTAGATCAGTTTAGATATTAAGCTTATTCATATCATAAACTACACACTTTTATTAGATGTATTTATACCTGTAACCTAATATAACATATGCAAAAGCCAAAGAGCAACTCTTTTGCCCTAAGAGTTTCATTCATTATATCACAGTCTACAGTGATACAATGGATGGAGATTATGGGTCGCTCAGGTATTAATTGGTATTGATAGGCATCTTACTGCACTGTCTCTATTCATGGTGTACCAATCATGCTTTAAATATTTCACAAACAAATTGGAAAGAAAATATGTATCTGCCTGCCATTATTATTATAAGCCAAAAAGTAGTAACATATTGCCTTAAACCTTTTGGTATGACAAGCCTTTGGTGCATCACCTATTGGCTCTACATTCATCTTTTGGAAGACACAATCTGGACTAAGACAGTTGACTTAACTTGTGTAGAGGCTAACTTAAGTCCCTTGTTAGATTAGAGGAGGAAGGGAATCATAGGTTTAAGTGGTAGCATCTGTTACTAGATGAGGGAAGAATTAAGTGAAAGACGGGGTGTCAAATGCACTCGGTAAACCGCTGGTGTTTGCAAGTCCTCAACCACATAAAAGGCATCGGTCATTAAGCTGTTTTGTCATGAGGAGGAACGTCAAGATTTCCCTTTTTGATCAGGCTGCAGGCTGTTTGAAAATGATCAACAATCACACATAAGCAAAGGTGTTTCCTCCTGGTGACATATCTACTAGTGTCACGCATTCATTGATGATTTCATATTGAATAATAGAGTATAGAGTAATAATAGAAGTCTCCAGGATGAATGAAATAATACGCCTCATTTTTGGAGAAGCTGTGGAATGTGATCAAAGGTCATGAGTCATTTCAATAGCTGGTAAATAAATCATGGCTGAAACCAGGTGACGTGGTGGTAATGTGCAGAGCGACGGTTGAAAGGAGAACAGATGCCTCGGTTTCTCATGTATAAATCTGTGCTGTTAAAAACGTGCAACATTGATTTGAGGTGTAACAGCGTTTAAGTATCCAACTAAAATAATGGTGATGGCTAATAAACAAAGTGATCGGAGGGAACAATAGTAAGAGACTGAAGAGGAAGTATAGAAAAAACTAAGGCATTGTTTGAGATTGAAAAATCACAGATGGAAGAAAACACACAAAACAAAAACAGAGATTACGGCAGCGACAGTTAAGTAAAAAAAACGCTGCGACTAATAACCTCCAAAACTTTTTCACCTTCCTGTTTGTTGGGCAAGAAGTTCTAAATCTATTTGTTTTATGATTTGAAACAGTGAGTGCATCCATCCAAAAACTGCAATTCCTTCATCCCAGACATCTTACTAAATGTATCCTTCCACTATTACTTTAGAATCGGACCTATTCTGCGGAGACAAGTGTGATGAAGAAATGAGTAACCTGCAGAAGGAAGTGGACGCTGCCGAGGACTCTCCAGAGGCCGTTACAGAGGAGGAGCACACCAAAAAAAAACACAGGCGAAACCGCACCACCTTCACCACCTATCAACTGCACGAGCTGGAGCGAGCATTCGAGAAGTCCCACTACCCGGACGTCTACAGCCGCGAGGAGCTGGCAATGAAAGTGAACCTGCCAGAGGTTCGTGTTCAGGTAAAGGACAAAGGATATACACCAATATATAGATTTATTTTTATATTGTATAGATTTAAATATTTCTATAGATATTGATTTGTCAATCAAGTTTTACCTGGAAAATCAAGTATATATATATATATATATATTTTTTTTTTTAGATGAATGACCATTGCTCTTGTGTTCCCATGCCTCACTGCACCAACCCTTAATTAACTTCAATTTCTCCAGGTGTGGTTCCAGAACCGAAGAGCCAAGTGGCGACGTCAGGAGAAGATGGACACCAGCACCATGAAGCTCCATGATTCCCCCATGTTATCCTTCAACCGTCCTCCGATGCCTCCTAACATGGGGCCAGTTGCCACCACCATGCCCCTCGACCCCTGGATGACCTCGCCCATCTCCAGCGCAACACCCATGCACTCCATTCCAGGGTTCATGGGTTCAGCGCAGGGCATGCAGCCAGGCTATCCCAACCACGGCTACCTCAACACCCCACCTGGCATGGTGCAGGGCATGCAGTCCATGGGCCCCCCTGCATACCAGTGCCCACCCAGCTTCAACGAGAAATACCCGATGGAGGACGACAGGAGTTCCAGCATCGCAGCGCTGAGGATGAAGGCCAAAGAGCACATTCAGTCGATGGATAAAACCTGGCAGCACATGTGATCCGATGAGTGGAGGGATTGTTGAGCTGCTCCCATGAATGTTTACAAAATGTTTTTCCACTGTTTGTTTTTTGTGAACCCATGACACATGGCAAGATGTCAGTGGGGTTTTTTGACCGGCGCTTGAAAATAAACTCCTTGTGTTGTAAAAAGAATTACTTTAATTATTTTAACCCCGATGAAAGATGATGAAATCTCTGAGGAGAATTTATTTTGGTTGAGCTCAAAAGGTTGTGGGATATAAACTCTTGTTTAGAGAAAATCCTGCAGATTTTTGAACACTCTTGTGTCTACAATAATTTAATTTATAAATATACGAGAGGCTGAAGAGCAACGCTGCAACGTTTTGCAGTCTTAAATCATTTTATTGAAATTATTATTGCACTGTCTACAGTGCAAGACTCCCCTGAGGTGACGATATCTTTCTCGAGTTTAATAAACACAATGCTGTGCTTCGGGCATTTGCCGTTATCTGTATTGTCAGAACTAGACAATGCTAGTATACGTTTGTTTCATACCGTTGTCTGTTTTGTTGTTGTTTTTGTCTTTGTAAAGCTAATGTATTGTTTTTTCCTGGACAGTGTAATTATTGTCCAGAGTTTTCTAGTGTATCTTTTTAGGTTCTTTGTAAAATAGCACAAATGTTTATTTAAAAAAAACACTTCTCCGGACTAAATGTAAGTTTAATTTGGTTCAAAAGTGATATGTGTCTTATCTAAATCATAAACTGGCCTTTTGGGGAGCATTGAGCCCTGATGATGGAGGTTATCGGAAGTCACAAAGCGTAATCTCGCTCGGAGGCTAATTTAAACAGACAAGCATACCTCTTAACACCTAATTACTGCTTTTAAAGCGATTAACCCCGGATTCTCAGCCACAGACAGAATGGCCTCAGATGCCCCTCAAAAATCCTTTTCAAGACCCGCTTAACTTTGCCCCTCCCTCAAGCTTGAACATTTATATTATTTCTCATTTACATACATGGCTCATATCAATGTTGCATTTTATGAAGCGCTCTCTTAATCTTGGTACAAGATGCTCCTCATTGCGCTGTTGACTAAATATTGATTAAAGCCAGGTGGATTAGGAGTAAGCAAGTTAATGGGTGCTGGCAACCTCTCCAACCCTGGGAAGTAGCACAGTTTGATGGAGCAAATTACATTTTTCTGAGACGTATGTGTTTATGTGGTGTGTGTGTGTGTGTGTGTGTGTGTGTGTGTGTGTGCGTGTGTGCGTGTGTGCGTGTGTGCGTGTGTGTGTGTGTGTGGATTCAAATTATAGAGAAGGGTACTCGCCCAGTTTTCATATTAACATTTTCTCACTGGCTCCTGAAACACAAACATTGGATCTAATGGAATCAAGGGAAGAGTATCTTGTGGTGAATTTTACTCATGCTTTACAATATCTTACAAATGAATGTTTTACTAAGGTTGTGTTATTATTCTTTACTTAAAAATCGTACTTAGTACTGTGGCAATGCCTTGAGGGGAGTGTGTCTGTCAATAGAAGTCCCTTGTGGCATAATAAATAAATCAGATTAACTGTGTATCATGGCCTTTAGAAATGACAGCATCAACGCTGTCACTTTTATAGTTTCTTTTGTTTATACTGCTACGATCCCTGTAAACAACAGTGGACTAAAAAGCCAAAGATATCTAACAGAACTAGAAAATGTACAAATATGTGGGCATGTTTGTTGTATTAACTTTTTTTTTTTAAACAATTCAAATGGAATAACAGAATAAAGTTACAGCAGCACCACTGTAGAAGCACCTTGATTGTGGATCTTGTTTTCTTTTATTTTTCGAAAGCTACCGACGTGACTTAGTGTCGTTAATGAGCGCTTATGTACAATGGGCCCTGTAAGCTGTGACAGGGAGAGTTGGCCTGATGGAGGCCTGTTGTGCCCGTCCAGGCCTGTGGAGCTTTGCCAAGCCGTTAGGCAGATGAAGCTCCACTCCATCAGGCCCATCCAGGGGTGTCGGGAGGCCCGGCTGTTGGGCTGTAGAGCCACAAGGGCTCAGCTTCTAATTGCCCTCCAGTGGCTTGCACAGTTTAAAGGTTCCAGTTTATTTTTGGATGCAGGTTTGTACAAAGGTCTAATTTTCCAACAATGGATTAGTGGGCAGACAACCTAAACTTAATGGCCAGCAATTTTGTGTGTACTTCACTGAAATTGTTAAGATACTTTACGGGGCTGAAAGAGCTGAAAATGAAAATCTCTCTCTCTCTCTCTCTTATTCAAGAGAATAATTGCTCAGGATTTAACCAAACAGTTTACCAGATTAATATTTCTAGCCTCTGCACTACAAAAACAATTGCTCAGCATAGGATTTTATTTGATTTTATTTATCTTTTTCAAGTAATTTCTTTCAATGACCAGCTTCGCTACTCTTTATTTTTGCAGCATTGCTAAATATTAACATAAAAACACATCAGTGGAAAAAAATATTGATTAAAAGTTTTAGAATATGCTATATCCAGGGATAAGCCTTTCTCACGACACCTTTGTCAGAAAGACTTTGCTGGATTTGCTGGAGAGGCCTTATTTTGCTCTGCCATGCGCGACCTTCGCTGGGGCCCGGGCTCTAGTTAACAGGCTGAGTAGCGGGACGTGGTCCACGGTGGAAATAATGAGGGAAAGGAGCGGAATTAATTGGGTTTGATTAAGAACACTTTTCAAAAATACACCCTTTTCCCCCGTTGACATAATTGTGGATCACTGAACGGGTGGGGGGTGATTTTGCTGACTGCCGCCAGTTGCTCGTCTTTGCCCCAATGTTCACTTTTTTCCCCAAAAGTGTCACTCAAAAAGATGTCCCTGAACAAGCACTCCTTCCCCCTCACGCGTCTTACATATGTGCATAGCATTTACCAGCAATCACGCTAATGGTTGCGTTTTGTGTTCATTGCATTGCATAATTGATTCCCCCGTTACTCAATATAACCTTAACCGAATGGTGGATGTGTTTTTACCACCTTTAGAAACCACATTGCTGAGAAAGGAATGTGCCTGAGGGGAAACCAGACAGAAAACACAAGGGTTTGCTCTTTGCTATCTTATGTTTACCCTTTGCTCTTACATTCAACGCACTATTTTGTCATCTTGACAAGAAACGATTACATGAAAACCTTTTTAATAACACACCCACAGATTGTTAGATGGTCTCCATCTGTTAGGTATTAATGAGGTATTAATAAGAGCATGATTATTGCTGTACTGAAATACCTGCTACATCAGAATTTGGTACAGCATAGTCCATATAACTACAAAGGGAGTTACCTGCATTCCGGTGCTGGTGTCAGAGTGCAGTGGTCGGCTTTATTTTCAGATGTGTTTTTCAGATTGGATCTCTTCTATCGTGCTGTAGACAAAGTGATTGTAATCCTCAACATGTCATCATTTTAACAAAAAGATGATAAATGAATTTGGAGACTGTAACTTACTTCTGTCACACCCAGATGGACTGACAGGATGGCGACAGGAACAGTGATGTGTCCCTGTAGTTTGGAGACACGCAGCTGGATCCGGTCCTGTGCACACAGAACAGGGATGGACATCAATTGGTGCTATGGGATGATGTATGCAAAGATAATTTGCCTGGTTACTAGCATCTTAACTTGCCAACAGTGCATCCTTTGAGTTTTAGTTTGAGACTGGTACACAATTTTATAATCAATTTTAGTTTTTTTCTTAAATGTGCTTTTCGTGACCATTTGTCGTCCTCTTCCTTCCTCCAGAGTAAAAAGAACTCGAGAGAATGTATCATAGTTATGGAGATGACTAGATTTAGCAACAGCATTCAAACTTCCAGCAGATCCAGTGATCTGGGGACTTCATGGTCGGCAAAACCACTGCTGTGACCTAATTTGGGTCTGTTGGCCTCGGCTTCTTGTCGATGGGGCAGACATAGAGCTTCGGATCCACGGGGGCAGTGGAGTTGGCAAACATGTGGATGACTGGCAAGCCTGTGAATAGCACTTTGGCTGAGGACTCAATGAGCCCAAGTTTAAGACAAGACTTTTTCTACAGTGTATTCTTAAAACGTCTGTTGCTTAGCTGTCTCTAAACTAACTTTAGTTGCTGTGTCTTTCATTATGACCTGACGTCCACTAGAGGTCACTGTTTACTCACACACTCTCGACACACGGGTCGCAACATAACGCAGGGAAATGCTGACCGTAAATGTCATATATATATATATATAGCTTTATGTAATACTCAGTTTAGCATATCGTTTTACTGATTTTTGCTGTAAAATGTAAACATCACACACATTTCTATACTATGATAAAAAAATGCCTTTATATTCCGGTCGCTCAACATCTAGGGAATTTTTTTTTTTATCCTCTTTTTTATCCTCATATACTTATAATACTCTATAGCACACATGTACCTGTATTATTGTCCTGCATATTAAATTATACTATTATGAAGTGTGGATATAATCATGAAATACTGACAAATATAACCTTTGATATTACCAGCTAGTCATCATATCCAATTACTGATTATACATACCGGGTCACTGTTGTACAGAGGTTGACAGACTTCCTCCAGCGTGTTAAGGAATTTTACATTGTCTTTTGCCTCATTGGTCCGATCTGTTATCCTGAAATGATCTCTTATCAATGTTGGCTTTCTCATTTATTTTGTTCAGAAACCTGATTGTGACTGTATGGAAGACCAAACTGTCCAAAAAAACGTTTTCCCTGGTATGTAACGTTCAAAGATGCATTTAGTAAATAGTGAAAATGTTACAGTGGTTATACTGTATCTTTCTATTATTATTCTGACTGTTGGAATAGTGAAAAGAAAAACAAGGCGTTTGTAGTTCTTTTTTTTTTCTGTCGACTTTCAACAGTTTGTTTAACGATGTTGTCTGATTAGAGGCTGCTGGATTTGAGGAGAGAGCATTACTTGTATGTGTTAAAGAATTATTATAAATGTGCAAACCTGTGCTGATGTTATTTATTACTTATTTACTTAAATAAACGCCATATATCATCGCAGTAGAATACAGGTGGATAATAAACGTGTCCACCAGGGTGTGATGTTTCCTTCACTGCCAATCAGAGCTAGAGCCGGTAAATACTAGTGACTAGTGCAATCATTTCACCCAGGAATAAATGCTGATTGTGACCTTTCCCACTGATGGAAAAGCTAGGTAAGGGGGGGGGTTGTCCAGTGGGAAAGTGGCTTTATAGGATACTAATGGTATCCCAATTGAAAAACTCACAGAGGAATCTAAAATAAATTTCTCTACTCCTCGTTGGATTCAAATCCAGCCTCTCGGCCAGGATGTCAATCATGTACTTGTGTGCAGGGGTGAGGAGCATCTTTCGCTCTTCTTTGGATTGTTAACAACAGCAATTATCTTACAAAAGTAAGACTGCATAACACAACTTCATACTTTTAATAGGTGCATTGACATGTGCTCTGAAAGCCAATGATCTAATAAAGGTGTTAACTTACCTGACCACTATGCTTGTTTATCTTTTTATCATGTGCATACACCGTTTTTTTAGAATTTTTCAAAGACTGCAGTGTTCTTGTAATTATCTCAAGTTATTAGCGTTACTTTGTTTAACGCACATGGAAAGGAAACTAACGTGAGCAGAAATTACGTCAGAGTGCCCGGCTCTTAAATAAGGTCCAGTGTAGTGACCAGCTTTTTTTTTCTACTTATGTATTTGGGACTCTCAAGCAACTGCGGTAAACCTAGCGGGCACCTAGATTTTGGTGGTCAACCCAGCAGACACTAGTGCACCTAACTGCTGCCTTGTGTAAGCTTTTAGAACCGGAATAAAAGCTATTTAATCAATAATTCCAGACAATGACTTAAGTATGTGTGTTCAGGACCTCTGACTACTTGTACAGAAAATTAAAAAGTGCTTCCTGTAAATATTAAGAAAATTATCCAAAATTAAAGTAATGTTTTTGCAGATTAAAAAAGACAATTTCTCAATATTTGAGCTCTCATAAAAACTTTTGTTTTCAATAATTACAAACAATGACTAACATGCACGTGTTTAAGGACCTCTCTGACTACTATGACACAGAAAATGAAATATTCTTACTGTAGATGTACAAGATATTTCTCCAAAGTAATTAGAATCCAAAGCGTTACCGTAAATGTCAGCACATAGGTGCACTAAAAGTCTAATGCCTGCTGCGTTGACCGCAGTCTACACGGGGGGGGGGGGGGTCAGATTCATTGTAGTTAACGGGCCGCACACTGTCCACTATGATCTCAAGCAGGCCACTCGGTTGAATACTGATACTTAGACATGCTGATGGTAGACCTGACCGGAGTGAATATTTGTTATTTCTAATTGTATTTACTTCCCGTCTTTGCTGTCAGTCTACGCCAGGAAAGTTATTATGATGACACACTCGCAACGGTTGAAACAACCGCTGACCCTGGATCGGCTTCCGTTGAGGCCAGAAGTTTCGTGGTCTACTCTCATTGGTCCAGACACACCGCTCTGTCGTCCAATGGCGAGCGTACATCTGTTCGCCGGAGCGAAATATTCTCTCCTCTTCCTCCTTCGCGAGGAATTCAGTGCTTAGCGAGGACGTTGCCAGCAGCGGAGAGTTGAGCGAGATGGGGAAAATGCAAGTGTTGGGTGTAGTCGCTGTATTGTTGGCAGTGTACTGCGTCCATGCAAAGATTTACTTTCGGGAGGAGTTTCAAGACGGCGGTAAGTTTTGAGTGTTAATGTATAACGCTAGCATGAGGTCAACGTCGATTCATTGCATGTTAGCTCGAGTGTTAGCCGTCATTTTGTCACACGGACCATCTTGAGTCTCTCTGGAAGGAATTATTTTTTTAAATATGTTCTTGTTAGGTCGCTGATTCAGTGCAGAATGCGTCACATCTCGGTCTTCTAACTTTGAACTGGGTTGACAGCTGGTCGATAACGTTAGCATTGATTACCACGGCCCCGAAGATAGCACCATAGTGGCATCTCAACGCTAACCGTGGCCTTACGTTAAGTCGCTAGCCAAAATTGACGTTCCAATTGCAAAGAGCGTTTAGTTGAGCGTTTTAGCTGATCTTCGGAATGTACGTTGATGTTTGCAAAAATACTATTAAAAGCGTTTAACCATCTGCGAACTCGTTGGTCTTCTGTGCAGATGAGTGGAGAAGTCGTTGGCTGAATTCCAAACACAAGTCTGACTACGGAGAGTGGAAACTGACGGCGGGCAACTTCTATGGAGATGCTGAGAAAGACAAAGGTAAACGTTGTGTGCTCTAACCCCCACATCATCTGAATAAACGGCCTTTCTGATTAAGATGCTCCGTTAATTATGGCTGAAAGAGTTATCGAGGCACCTGATATTTAATGGTCAAACTAGTTTAGAAAAACTTGTTCTACAGCTTGAATATTTCCTGAGATAGATAACAGCTTGTCAAACACTGCCATCATACTGCTCCACCTGGTATTGTCTTAAACAGTCTAGTCTAGTGCATGACTGCAGTTTTCGCACTATTGTCCAAAAAGCCCGTATTTAGATTTTGCCCTGTTTGCTAATATACACTTTTGCACTTCTCTTCAGGTCTGCAGACAAGCCAGGATGCTCGTTTCTATGCTACATCCGCCCGTTTTGAGCCGTTTAGCAACGAGGGGAAGCCTTTGGTCATTCAGTTTACAGTAAAGCATGAGCAAAAGATTGACTGTGGTGGTGGCTACGTGAAGGTCTTCCCTGCTGACTTGGATCAGGCTGACTTGAATGGAGAATCTTCCTACTACATCATGTTTGGTAAGTATTACAGTTCATGGTAATAAAAAATTATAACAATTTAATGGTTACAATAACGGGATTTGGAACATACATTTAATTACTATTGTGATTTGTTTCACCCAGGCCCTGATATCTGTGGCTACAGCACAAAGAAAGTCCACGTCATCTTCAATTACAAGGGCAAGAATCACCTCATCAAGAAAGAGATTAAGTGCAAGGTAAAGCAGTTTATAATTAGAACAAAATATATTGTTTTTTTCTAATAATATAAACAAATGCATGGTGGATTGATTCAAACCGTTCTGTTTTTCTTTCATCTAGGATGATGAGCTGACCCACATGTACACGCTGATCCTGAATCCAGATCAGACCTACGAGGTGAAGATTGATAACGAGAAGGTTGAATCTGGCAGTCTGGAGGACGACTGGGACTTCCTTCCTCCCAAGACCATTAAAGACCCCGAAGCCAGTAAGCCAGAGGACTGGGATGATCGTGCCAAGATTGACGATGCTGATGACACTAAGCCAGAGGTGAATTTGCATGCTAATATAATTAATAACATCATCAAGTATTGTGCTCCTTTGCAATGGCAGTGGTTGCTGGTATGGCGGTTACGGTTTGTCCATAGGAAATGTCGACTTGGAGTGTTTCCCCTTTTATTTCTCTGTAGGTTTTTCACAGTGGTCTTATTTTTGAGAGTCTAATAGAGGAATGATTTTGTTTCTCTTTAGGACTGGGACAAACCTGAAAACTTCCCAGACCCCGATGCTAAAAAACCAAGTGACTGGGACGAGGATATGGACGGAGAGTGGGAGCCACCAATGATCCCTAACCCAGAGTACAAGGTAAGCTAATGTGAGCTGGCCATGGCTTGTGCTTTGTATGAGCTCCTCTGCCTGAGAAATGGTTCATATTTATATGGCTTTGCTTCTGCTCCCTGATGATAAATACCTTTTTTTTGTATTGCAGGGAGAATGGAAACCCAAACAGATCGATAACCCCAACTTTAAGGGAACATGGGTGCATCCTGAGATTGACAATCCTGAATACAGTCCTGATTCCAACATCTACAAGTTTGACAAGATTTCTGTTGTAGGTCTTGATCTTTGGCAGGTGAGAGAGAGAAATCCTCGTTAATAGTAATGTTGTTGCCATAGTAAGTAATGTCTAAACTACAGTGTGACATCTGATTTCTGATTATCACAGGTGAAATCCGGTACCATCTTTGACAACTTCCTCATCACGGACGATGTGAAGGAAGCAGAAGACATTACAATGGAGACATGGGGTGTGACAAAGGTGGGCTGGTGTCCTTTTTTTTTTTTTTTTTTTAAGCCCGATCTGCTCATTTAATGCGACACACAGAGCAATTGCCAGTGAGATACTAAATAGATCAGGTGACATGCTTTTCATTATCTAAACTTTTCCAACAGGAACCTGAGAGGAAAATGAAACAGGAGCAGGATGACTTGAAACGGAAGGAAGAGGAGGAGAAGAACAAGGAACAAGACGCAGAGGCTGTTGATGAGGAGGATGACGATGAGGAAGAGGAGGAGGAGGAGGATGAAGAAGTCGATGGGGAAGACTCAATGGATGACATGGAGGAGGCACTTTCCGAAATGGATGCAGAGGAAGCAAAGCTTAATAAAGATGAGCTTTGAGGAGGTTTGGCCAGAGATTTTGTGTGTGTCCTCTAGAAACTCTGTCCTGTATTTCCCAGGGGTATTGTGGCTGCTGTGCATCCTTTCCCTGAGAGATTTAAGATTTTGGACACAAACCAATTTGGGGCCGGGGGGGGGACAAGGGGATTTTAATCAACATACTTTGTCTCTATTTTTGGTCATAATATTACCTAATTGTCCTGAACTTTTTTTTTTTTTTGTCCTCTAAGGCCCAATCCTCATTCTGTGTCAACAAAGAATCAGGATAACATGACAGCCACTGTTTTCTTGATTTTCTTGATCTGCACATCAAATGTATATGTGGACACATTTTCAGAGCTTATAAATCAGCCATTATGCAACGTGGTTAAACAATAAATGCACATAACTGAACAAATACAATCCAATGTTGTAAAACTTGAGCAGAATATCACCAAATACAGACATCAAGATTGTAGTGCAACTTATTTTGGTTGTCTGTAGCACTGACTTTTTTTTTTTTTCTCTTTAATATAAATTGGTCTTCATGTAAGTTCAAAATGAAATTGTTTTTCCTACATGCAAATGGCTGGATGTGATGGGTTCTGTGTTATTTCCTGAAAGTCTGGAGAAACGGATGGTGAGCCCCCTGGTTTGACCCATGACATCGTTATGGGTCACACACTTATTTTCATTGGACAATGTTATTGATACCAAAGTTTTTATTAAAAGATTATAACCGTATGGCCCTGGCTGCTTTCTGTACTACACAAACACATTTTGGGTGATGCGACCTGACTCGCCACCTAAATTCTCTTAATAATAAACACGTTCCATTTCTACTTTTAAAGTGTTTTCAAATTAAGGATGGAGAACTTCATTCTGACTAAAGTGAAAATCTCTCCATAGAGATTTGTTATAATGCCAAACTATTTTTTTAAAAGGCTTTCACACAGCTGTTGTTCTAAACAATGTAAAATTTAAAACAATACAGAAACCTGTGCTAAAATCAGCAAAAATATAAAATAAATGATGCATTAGAAATTCACAATTTGACCGTGACACATGGACTCAGGACAAGCAGGGCCTCACGTTTGGGTCAATGCGGTTTGTATAAGAATACAGAGCTGCTTATTCTCACACCAGATAGTTTTCATTGTTTTTGTTGTTTTTTATTGAAGACACAATCTGTGTTGGCACAGGAGATGGAGGTGCACTACCTTTAAATCTTCAAATGTTCATAAAACGTGTGAGTTTAATAGAGGGACAGTATGGGTGCAGAGGAGCCCCGGTTCCAACCGGGGCTCCTCCCACCTGACGCCGCTCGCCGCCGCCCGGTTAAGGGGCGGATGCGCACTCCCGACACACCAGGAAATATGGCGGCGCTCATGACTCTCAGTCAGGTAACAGCTCCCGATAGCTGGAGAAAAGTGTGAAATGGAGTTATTGGTCGCGCCTCGGTGGCGGCGACGGTGTTTGACCGCTTAGAGAACCTCGTCCGGCGGGTCCGTGGTAGCGAAACTATCGATGTCCACTAAGTTAACGTGGTTTAGCTAACGCAAGGTCCAGGAGCCAATACCCTGGGCGTATTAAACCGATAGGAAAGCTGAAGTTCACGTTACTATTGTAAGGAAAGCGATAACGTTTCCGTCGCGGATTAAGCAGATAAAGATGAACTATGAGGGGGGGAAATGGTGACTAATTAGACGCTAAACCTGAAGGCGGTGGTCGGTCAGCTAACGTTAGCCATCATCTGTTTACCTCGTTCGGACAACTGAACGATGAAGCCACAGTCTGCTGCCCTGTATTAAACGTGTACTACCTCAATCACATCTCATGTGTCTGTCCTTCCCTCCAGTTATCCGGTGGAAACCCGGCCTACGAGAACTACTACCGGCAGGTACGGTCGGCTCTCCTCCTCGTTCGGCTCATCCGTCGCGTGAGGTCGTTGGATGAACACGGGTCTGCTCGCCCCCTTGTTCACTTTTAGTATTTGCTCTATTTTGACTCTTGTGCAGCTGGATTCGGTAAACACCGGCAAGATATCCGCTGGAGATGCGGCTCAGTTCCTGAAGACGTCCGGGCTGTCGGACAGCACGCTGGGGAAGGTGGGGCACAGAAATCCCCTGCATGATCACACGCAACACACATGAATATAAACAATACGATCTAAACTTATTCTGTGTGTGTGTGTGTGTGTGTGTGTGTGTGTGTGTGTGTCGTTTTTAGATTTGGGATTTGGCAGATTCAGAAAGAAAAGGATATTTGGACAGACGGGTAAACCGGGATTTCTCTGTGATTTCTCTGTGATTGATGATGCCGATTGGGGGGGGAGGCACCAGATTTGACCTGCTTTCTTGCTCCTTTTTTGTAGGGTTTCTTCATCGCCTTGAGACTCGTGGCCTCAGCGCAGAGTGGAAATGATATCAGCCTTAATAATCTCAACCAACACTTAGCTGCCCCCAAATTTGTAAGTGATGAATTGACTCTCCTGCTGATCCACACTATCCAACGATGTGGCAGGGGAGCCCACTGAGCTTATTGCTCATGTGTGGAATGAATGGGCATTGAATTGCGTCCCTAACTCTATTTACGTGTGTTACAGTTTGCCTTTCACTGCTTGTTTTGTATCTCATTCTCACTTCTCATCTTCATTTCTTATAGAAAGATACCAACAGCCCTTTAATAAGTGTGTCAACGACGGGACCCGATTTGGAATGGTCCATTAGGGTGAGTTGATTCATTTATCGAGAATGTTCTTGAGAGAATTAAACTTGTCACCTAAACTTGCATTTCTTCTCGTTCCCAGCCTGATGAAAAAGGGAAATTTGAGGCAATTTTTGAGACTCTGTGCCCTGTAAATGGTCTCCTCTCGGGTGATAAAGTCAAGCCAGTTTTAATTAACTCCAAGCTACCTCTGGACGCGTTAGGAAAGGTGATTTTTACACGTTTAATTGGCTTTCTGTAACTCACGAGCGTATTGCAGTCATTCCAGGCATTTAAAAGTTAACCATTTTAAAGCACCTGCGACTTGGTCACGTCACATAATTTGTCTGTAGATTTGGGACCTTAGTGATGTGGACAACGATGGACAGTTGGACAGAGAAGAATTCACAGTGGTGAGCTGCCGCATTTGTGTTTACTTAAAGCGTCACTGTTTCTCCAGAGTATTTCTTTTCCTTAATAAACGATCTGATTCCCCATCGTCCAGGCGATGCATCTCGTGTATCGTGCCATGGAAAAGGAGCCCGTCCCAACTACCTTACCCACCTCCCTCATCCCCCCTTCTAAAAGGAAGAAGAAGCTTGCAGGTGCGCTGCCAGGCGCTGTGGCCGTGCTGCCCGCTCTCCCCGGGCTCACTGCCGGCCTGGCTCCTCTCAAGGAGCCCCTGCGAAGCACTCCTCCGCTGGTCCACGCTACTCCCTTCAGCACCAGCGCTGTCACCCTCTCTCCAAAACACTCCTTCAAATCCAGCCCACCGGTACGCCGCCTCGCTTCCGTTTCTCCTGAGCGGAATCCCCCCCTAGAAGAAAGTGTGTGTGTGTCACTTCATCTCTTTTCCTCCCTCAGGAGGGAAACCGGACTGTCGGGAATGCTTTCTTTGGTTTCACACCAAATTTAGTTTCATTGATTCATCTATTGCTCAATTGTCTCGGCATGAATTGGTCCAGAGGTATTCTTGTGATGCAGTAAGATGTCGCTTTCTAAATGTGGCTAGTTATTTTTAAGACGCATCCGATCCCTTTTTTGAAGAAGTCCATACGTGTATTCTCCTTGATCTTCTCTAAGCAGGTATCACAAGAGCATCACCTTAGAACCAGCTTTTCTAGTCTTGTTTCTTTTCTGTTGCTAATGAGAGGACTGGTTTGGCCGCATGGTTTGGAACATTGTGTACGGGGCAGTGTGTTTCTCACTAGCCCTTAATGGCTGCAGTGATTGGTTTGGATTTACAGGTTTCCTTGAAAAGGAAAATAAGCATGACTCTGTGCACACGTGTACCAGGATCACCTGACTGTCACGACACGTGTTCCGATCCTCTTCCTGTTGGGCCACTTCTCGTGTGTGTTCTTTTGTCCTTGTTAGTTCAGTGACCTTTTCTACTTGCGTTTAATCAGCGGCATACCAGATTTCTTAGAATGCATTTGTATACCAAAAATCCCTTCTTCATCCATTAGGTTTGGCGATGCATACAGTATAGTTCATTTTAATTTGAACCAGTATGATGCACAAATACCACCCGTTGTTTAACAAAAGCAGGACATTTTGCCAGAAGTCTTAGCAGACGTAGTCTCCCTCATCATAAAATCCCATACATGTGGTGTTTTGTTCCTTGCAGCCGGTGGTGAACTGGGTGGTACCGGTGGCCGACAGGGAGCGATATGATGACCTCTTCAAGAAAACCGACAGCGACAATGACGGCCTCGTCAACGGAACGGAAGTCATAGAGATTTTCATGCAGTCCAGTCTTTCCCAGACTATGCTGGCACAGATATGGTGAGACCACGGCTCCGATTAGACCTTAGTCTTCGTTTGCACAGGTTTTCCAACACACCTAATGTAAAGCTAGTCTCACTGGGTGTTACTCCCCTGGTGGACCGTTTGAATCATTACAACTTCCCCCAGAAGACGATGTAAGAGAAAAAAACAAATATTAAAGCGTTGGAAAACAGCCCTTTTTTTCCCATAAGACGCCCGGCATCATCATCATCATCATCATCAAGAAGAACACGTTATCTCATCTTTTGAGTCTCTCCTCTCTGCAGGGGGCTCGCTGACACCAAACAGACGGGCAAGCTGACCCGTGAGCAGTTCTCTCTGGCCATGTACCTGATCCAGCAGAAGGTCACTAAAGGCGTAGACCCTCCCTCCACCCTAACCCAGGACATGATTCCCCCATCAGATAGGACTGCAGCTTCAGCGGCGGGCCCCGTGAGTTCAGCCCGCCTCAGCCACTGCTCCGTCTCTTAACTGCTCTTTATTTATGGGATTCCTCTTTTCTTACCATGCTGCTATATTAAATGCTGGGCTCCTGCTTTCTGGCCTTCCAGCCTTGCAAAACAGTTTTTTATGCTTTTTGCTTTTTTTTTCTCTTCTATCCTGTCTGACAGATTTATGCAGGTCTTATGGCAGCTGCGAGGCCTGAGGTCGCTGCACTAGCTAATTTGCGCAGAGTGAGTAGCTGAGCTTTGTTTCACAAGGTGGCGCTGTTGTTCCGTCGTTCTCTCTGGCTCAGTCTGAAGCACGAGGTGCAGACGGGACCTGTTCTTCAAGGGCAGCAAATCATTTTAGTAATTCTCATATTGTTGTGTCAGACCAACAGATCAAAACGGACACCAGTTATCTGTTATGCTGTTGAAAGAAAAACAGAATCTCTGAAAAGGGAAAAATGATGAATATGGTTGCTTGATTTTTAAGCTTCCTGCATTTGTCATGAACAGATTGATTTAGTAAACAGAGTCCAATTGATTAAGCAAGAGCACTCTCATGTATACGATCATTTCAAACAAACGCCTCTTCTACACAGATCACACGGTTGCCTTAACTATGACAATCTTGACATATATGTAGCGGATATTTCAATTGAGAGGATTCTGGGATGCCGCTTTGTCGAAGGCTTGCTATGTTGAACACGCAAGCCACATTTCTTCTTTTGTACTCTCTTCAGACTGTGTGCATTTCTCCTCATTCATGTGTTTTTTGTTTGGTTAACATATGGGCGGGGAAAACTTCCCCCCGGGCCCCCCATACCATTTTTGTCCCCGCCCGGCTCTTTTTTCCCAATTTTTACATACCCCCCCCCCCCCCCCTCCTTTTGATTGTCTTCGTCCTGTCCGTCGTTGTCTCTCCACCCTCACGACCATCTTTTCTCACCCGACTCTCCTCCTCTCTCCCTCCATGGTCCGTCGCTGTGTCTCGCCTCAGGACAGCAGCAGCTCCGCGGGATCCGCCGAGCTGACAGGCATCAAAGAGCTGGATGACATCAGCCAGGAAATCGCTCAGCTGCAGAGGTGAGCCCCTCCGTAGCAGGGGAATAGCTTTGTTTCTCTTCCTCTGAGAATAAGGGCGAGTGGCTTGTGGTGAAATGATGTTCAGGTTCAAAGCCCTCTAAACCTCAATATATTTTGTAATGAGAAAATGTTTTTCTGTAACCAGTGCCAAGGCGTTGACTGGTGCTCTCTTATTAGATGTTTTTATTCCAAGAGAGACTTGGCGGGTCCCTATAGAGCCTTGCTTGTGGCCTTTCAGTGAAATCCAGAGCTTTCGTCATCAAGTGGAGTCAGAATGCTGATTAAATTGTTGCAACCAATAACGCGACCCTTGCTCATGCATTATACACTTTTTAATTATTTTTTAAAATATTTATCACATTTTTAAGTTAGCAAAACCATTAGTGTAGATTTCCAAATATCACTTTTCCAAATTGACATTTTTGTCTTGTTAATCTCCATGTTTTGCCAAAGTTTGGTGAGCTTTTATGAGGAAGTAAAAACCCCATTTGTTACTTAGCTTCATCCTCTCCCACGTTGTCCACCTACAGAGAGAAATTCATTCTGGAGCAAGAGATCAGACAAAAGGAGGAAACCATCAGACAACAAAATAGTGAGGTTCAGGTAAGGTTAAGCTTCATTTTCAAGGTCATCTTCTGAATCTGACTGACCAAAAGTCCAGTCTGGAAGCGATTCAGATAAGTGCCATACCTTTTTTAGAGATCCACTTACAGAAGATGGTCAACTTGTGTGTGTGATGGACCCTCAGGACATGCAGAACGGATTGGACAGGGAGAGCAGCAGCCTGCAGGACTTGGAATCGCAGAGGCAGGATGCCCAGGAGCGCCTGGGGGAGATGGACCAGCAGCGCTCCAAGCTGGAGGGAATGATCAACGACGTCAAGCAGAAGTGCCAGGAAGAGTCGCATATGGTGAGAGACATCAGGAGGCGGAATCGAGCCGTGTGCCTGGATCTTTTGAGACCGATTTGAGTAAACACGTTTATGTTGGTCCACCATCCTACTGTTCAGCTAACCTTTCTCTTTTCGCCCTGAGAACAAGCTTTGATCTGTGCTTAGACTTTAGGTCTACAGCTGTCGCACAACTGAAGAGGCCACAAGTATGATACCGATGGCCCGTTTTTCAGATTTCATCCCTGCAGAGCCAGATTCGCTCTCAGGAGAATGACCTGCAGAGCCAGGAGGACGAAATGAGCCGCACCAAGTCGGACCTGAGCCGGCTGCAGGATGAGGAGGCCCTCCTGGAGCAGAGTTTGCTCTCTGGTCGGGTCCAGCTGGACAGCATCACCAAGTCTCTCAAAACCACGCAGGAGGAGATCCACCAGGTCAGTGCAGGCGGAGGGACTAGGGGTTAACATTGGGATGTTCTGCCACTTGAGGCCAAATAGCTCTGGATGTTGAACCATAATGGGGACTTCCCTGTGGGAGTAGAGAGGTTTGTATGTTTAGTCATCTGTGGAGTTTAAATTTGTCTTGTGTTGCCGGCGATGGATTTTGAAACCGAGAAATTGTACTCAGGAAAGATTACGTTGCGTGACCTTTTTTGTTTGGGTTTTTTTTGTTAGTGAAGATGAACCCATGACGGATTGTACTTCTGCTAAATGGATTAATTAGTTAATCAGTGGGAAAACTGTCTGTTTTCTCTCTTTTCTTAGTAACCTAGTAGCTTACCCATTACTGCTACGTGGGACCTTGCAGGTGTTCAATTAAACGATAAAGGAAATCCAATTGTCATGCTTTTTATGCAGTCAAATAAGAATGCAACTGTGACGTTTTAGGCGCGCAGTAAGCTGTCGCTGATCCAGGAGAGCCAAAAGGAGGTGACCAAGACCATTGAGCAGTACAACAGCGCTTTGAGCGACATCAACAGAGGAAACGTCAGCAACCTGCCGGACTTGAGTGAAGGGTTCGCTGAGAAGGAGAACGGAGGGTTCAGGACTACGGTGAGGAGATCAGGAATACGTCCTACTTCTCACGTCAAAGAATGACCTCTTGACCTCGTACTTTGTTTTGCCTGTCGTCCTCATTGGGATCATTTTCCTTGTCATGACGCCAGAGGAATGCAAATATACTTATGAAACCTTTTTTCATTTGCTAGTTTTGTAAAGAAGAAAGCGCTATGTTTTCTTGTCCTTTGCCAAATATGGTGTAACGCATTCATGACTGAAAAATGAGCAATGTTTTGCTGAATTGTGTTGAATTCAAGTGTAATCCTTGTTGTGTTGTTTTTCTTAGTCATTTCTTTCTGATTTCATTCATTCATCAGGACGACTCTTTCAAGTCAAGGATTGCCATGTTCAACAGCAGCAGCAGCAGCAGCAGCACCAGCAGGGCTAAGGAGCCTCCAGCAGACCCCTTCCAGACAGAGGACCCCTTCAAGTCCGACCCTTTCCACGGTCTGAATACCTCTTTTAAACTTTATTATTTTCTCCTGTATTTCTGAAAGGGTCACGGTCATTCCCTCTACCGGCTTTCATCTGCATCAATGTGTTGCTGTGATTAGGCATTTCTACTAAATACCTGAAATGTACCTGCAGTATAGATGTCAAGTTGTATGTTCAAGCAGTTTTTTTCTTTTTCTTTTTTATGCTGTGAAAAAGGGTCTTTACTGTGGCTGAAGTCGATTTTAAAGTCCATCGGCAGTTGAGCTCTCAATGGCTTTTCCTCTTTACAGATCCATTTGGAGCAGATCCCTTCAAAGAAAGCGACCCCTTCAAAGGAACCTCACCCGACGATTTTTTTAGGAGAACTGACAAGTCGAGCGTGTTCGGATCTTCGGAGCCCTTCATTAGAAGACCCACACCACCGGCCAAGGTATGAAACCCCGCCCGCTTTTTACCGCTCAAATGGTGTTCTTTGATCCTGCTTCTTTTCTATTTAAAACCAATGCTCTTTTGTGAAAAAGTAAAAAATGAAATGTCCATGTTTAATGATACCCGTCGGTTTACGGTGGAACTGAGACGAGATCTTCACCGATTTACTTGGAGAGCAAACCAGTGCCACAAAGACACATTTGTAGTGGATGTGCTGACATCGTCTTTGTGTAGGTACTTTAATGAAGATCTGACCGCCTCACGTAACTTGTGCTTTGTTTCATTTGTTTTTCAGCCGGGTACCTTCAGCAGTGGAGATCCTTTCAAATCCCACAGCCCGAAACCGGGTACGTTTCGGGTCGCAAGCCTGGATCGGAGCGTTTTATCCCCTTCTCAGCTGTAAATGTAAAGATTGAAACGGGGTGCATTTGTTTGATAAGGATTGTTTGTTCTTGTCAGTGCACCTTCTTAACTGCAATAAGATGATTGTCACATCATTTTGTCAAATAGGACGAAAAAAGGACAAACACATTGTCGTCTCAATTCCCAGAATGCAACTCTGAACTCGAGGTCCGAACACGCTGGAACGTTTTGGGTTGTGAAACAGGTCTCAAAGGCTCATTCTTTGCCTTTCTGGATGACGTGTTGGATTTAGATTTTATTTTTGGTGCGAATCAGGGGCAAACAATTTTTACCCCCCTTTTTTTTTTTTTTTTTTGCGGCTTCAATTTTTCCTGTGGTTGGGGGCTATTTTTAGACAAGTACCTACGCATTTAACTGCTGGCCAACTAAAAATACCCCCCTACCCTACCCTGGAAAAACAGGAGGCTTGCAGCAGCCAAGGATAACAGAAACTCTGTGACTGCTGGTCCTTCTCTCCTAGAACACAGTGCCGCTCCTCTAACCAGTTCTCTGCTGCCTCTGTCCCGTCTTTATATCTGCTGCTATTGAACTGCTTCGCCCCATTCGCTGCGGAAGTTGTTTTAAGTTAGTGGCGGACTCTGGTCGATGCTCCGCCATGCTGCACACCTTCACAAGAACACAGCGGCAACTGTAGACCTGAGCCCAGTTACTGTGCGTAAAGCAAAAAAAAAAAAGCCCACTGCGTACTTCACATGAATGGGGTCTCTTGTGGTCGCACACTCACAACAAACAGATTCTATTACAATATTTAGTTTTTTTTTCACTGTAACCATGTGCAGTTTGCTGTTTTTTTATCATTAAGCGGCGTACCGCCGAGCTTCAAAACAACCCGGGCACAGTTCTGTTTTAACAGTGCGCCGACTGACCCCTTTAATTATCTGATCGTATGCGAACGTCAGGTTAAACAAAAAAAGGTCTCTGCTTCCCAGGTTTTTATGTGAAATGACATGGAAAACGAAAGGGTCATGCCACGCTCGCCTTGCTGAAAATAACATGCAGCCCATTTCAGGATAAATTTCAGGACTCAGGTTTTGAGTCTGAACTTCCCTTTCCAGTAAATGTATTCAAATGTTTTCGATGTACTTCTGTCACAGACGGGTTCGGTGCAGCGGACCCCTTTGCAAGCAACTCTTTCGCTAACCAGGGAGGCGGCTTTGCTGACTTTGCTCAGATGTCAAAGGTGAGCTCTGGAGACTCTCAGGGTTATGAAACAGTTGTACCATAAAAAGCCTTGTTTTCCATACAGCTGCAAATAGCTGTGTTTTTATTACTCTTATCATCAAATTAATTCATATTCTACTCATTTATCACATTTGTGAAATCTCTAGTATCGGGCCAAAGGTGTTGGGCTGACATTTCTGTTAGTTTACATTTGCATTTTTTCATGTGTGAACAGAAGTCAGACAACCCCGTCCTCCCGTCAAAGAAAAATGTGCCTTCCCGACCTGCACCTCCCTATGGTAAGCCTCGATTTGTGTGTTTGAACATTGGTGTGCTTGCGGCTCATTAAAGGTGTTCATAGTTCCTATCTAGTGCTGGATTTGCTCTAAAAATGCACAGCATGGTTTAAATACAGATGTCAAAAGCGGTGCTCAATATAAAAAAAGAAAAGGCAAAGCAACCCCCCCCCCCCCTTCTTTTTTTTTTTTTTGAAGAACTGTAAGCAGAGGTGTGGTACGATGTTTTTTCCAGAGTTAAGAACTGTCGTTGGTGTTATTCAGACAACAGAGGGTAAATATCGAGTGTTCACTTGTGAGATGAGGCTACTTTTTGGATGAATTCAGCCTCACGTTCTATCTGCTCGGGCCGTGCCCTTCTTGCTGTGACCTTGCACTTACTTCTTTTTAGCAGAAGCCACAGCGTGAGAAAGTCGGTGTTCCCCTTTGCTTTACCACACATCGAAGGGCAGAGGCGCGTAACCGCAGTTAGCCAGCAAAGCTGCCATGTGCCCCTTCGGGGATGGAGAAGTGAAAAGTACACAATGTAGTGTTTTTTGTTTTGTTTTTCAAACTGGAATTGCAACGGTTTCTTTGTTGCATACTGTCACTTGTATCTCCATCATTTGTTAAATGCAGCCTTTTGTGTCAGAAGGTTTGAGAGATGAATAAACAGGGCTACGTTCATGGTAACGCGATCAGAGCTAACAGTAGACATGGGTGTGTCAGTTATTTACAATACGCTTCAATGCATCAGTGAGCCTTACTCAAAAATGCGGTTAACACCTTTTTTTTTTCTTCTCTTTACAAATATGTGTCAACTACACATGCCATGAATTTGAAGCTGTCGGTTCTCTGGGGAAAAAAACCCCACAATAATGAACATCGCTCACCAAGGTGTGCACTCATATGACCTGTTCGTGGCTTCTGAAGTGAAGGCCCTCGCTTGGTGTGTTGACTGTGTTCATTTGAACTTCGTCCTCCTCCAGCAACATTTTTTGTTTTTGTTTTTGTTTTGTTGTTCTTGTCTGCATGATCTGCTGAACTCGGCTCTCTGCGACTGGCCCTCGTTCTGTTAACTCTCCCTCTCACAGGGACATTAGTGCGTCGTCCTGTGGGTCGATTGGCTGTTTGCTAACAACACATTGAACATCTCTGAGCATTTCAGGGGTTCGGCGTATCAGTAAATGTGTCTGCGTCGCTGCGTAAAAGAGATTGATGGTTGCCGTCCCAGTAAAAGGGCTTTTGCATGCTTGCTGTCGAAACTTTGGCGGAAAGTCAAGATTGACACCGTTTGTCGGCGAGTCAGACCGTGAACTTGCCCGGTCAGGCAGCACTTCAGGAGCTTCTTTTTTTTTTTTTTCTTGAAGTACAACCTGAAGGCTTTATTGCTGTCAAAGCATGATGTGCCCCAAAGGACCGCCCGACTGAGGGAAAACGGTCTTTGTCCTCCTCCTTCCGCTGCTTTGCCATCACGTACAGCCCAGCGGCTGTGCACGCTCTCAAGTGCAGAGGAGATGCACAGTGGGGTTTTTTTGGGGGGCGGGGACTGGTTTGTATCTTTTGACTTAACAAGAACTCATTTTATCCCTCATGGCGGCTGTGAATCGTGATTCGTGTTTCATTATTTTTTTATCGAGCTCTGTGTTGTAATTCTTGCAGGATCTGAATGTATCAAGGTAAGATGGTGCAGTACAAGGGTGTGGTGGTCGGCCGTTTGCATGTGAAAAATCTGTCCGCAGTTCATGAGCATGTCCATTTTTTTGGAATAAATATCCTCTGCATCCCTGGCGCAAGCACTGAATGTTTACGGTACACGCGTGCCCAGTAATTGATGGCAGCAGTATGTCACTGTGTTGTCTAAGAAGCTTTTAGTGCCGCTTTCTTGTTCGTCCGAGCGAAATCTAAACGTGTGCAGTTTTGCAGCTTGTTTTTCCCTCTCGCTGCTACATATCAAATCCTTTCAGTTGCGTTCGCCGTAGCTTTTGAAGTCCTGCCTAATGACAAGCATAAGATTTAAAATTTGCATCCACCTTTTTGCCTCCTGCATAGTGACTTCTCTCTTTTATGTTGACGTTTCAGCCTGTTCCTCTGCTTTTTTGTTGTTGTTGTTGCTTTTCTTTTCTTTTGGTCCACATCACATATTTTTGTTTCTTTTACTCTAGTTTGGAAGTGAAAACCAGCAGCTGGAGTGGGTGAAACGGGAGAGCGAGCGTGAGGAGCAGGAGAGGCTACGGAGGCTGCGGCTGCAGGAGCAGCAGGACCTGGAGCTGGCGATCGCTCTCAGCAGGGCCGACGTGCCCAGAGCCTGACCGGCTGCTCCCAACCAACATCTTTTTTGGACCTCCCTTCTCCTCCTCCTCCTCCTCCTTCCTCTTCACAGTCCTCCGTCCGAAAGCTCACAACGACGGCACCAAGGCTGGCCCGTCGGGACTAGCGGCCCCTGTTACCAATTTGTGTCAAGAGACCCGTGTTTCTCCAGCCATGGCTCGGGTCAAACGAGTCCACTTTTAGAAACTACTTACGGCTCATGGTGACCCAAACTACGTGGCAACTGTAGTCGAGGACAAAATGCGGGGGGACTTGATTTGAACTTAGCAATTTAACGCAAGCCAAACCAGCAGGCTACTGCGCTACAACTGGCTGGCTTTATATCGTGTTACGGCTAATCACCATGCCTTATCCAGAAGCCTAAACAACATTTTAAAGAATATTGTACTGTTTTATTTATATACAAAAGCAATGACTGTGGTGTATGAAGCTTTTGTAAATTGCATTCTATGAATAGTTCTTTTTTTAATATCCTGTAGAATATTTTTCATTTAAAGTCACGGCGCAACAATTGGTTTGTCAAATTGTAGATTTTTTAATTTTTTTTCCCTATCATCGGTTGCTTCTTCCATACACATTTAAGATGCTTGCGATAATCATCAAGGTCTTTTTTTTTTTTTTTTTTAATGAAAAAAAAGCCACCTGAAGTCAACAGCCTGTGCTTGTCAGAATTGTTTGTGATCGGGTGCCTTTGTTGTTACGCCCGAAACAATTTGCTCTCCAATACAACTGAGAATATAAAGTGGGAGTAGTATAAATGTACATAGTTTATACTGGTGCTGTCGCGTTTACTTCTACTCTTTCTACTGCTTCACACTACCACTGACGCACAAGGACATCTGCCTTCAATTGTGTGCTTTTCCCTCTCAACACTCATTCTTTCCCTTGTGTTATTAAAGTCTTATACTCCATTTGAAAGGTTTAAATGACTTAAAATATTGCATCCTTGTAATTTATATTACTTTAATCAGGGTTATTTGGCACATAATGTATGCGTTGTATGTTCCAGACCTTACAGCACATGTACAGTGATGGTGATATCAACATTGTGATGTATAACAATATGTATGTGGTTATTAAAAAGAACCATTTAATTTAACAAAAGGGGGTTTTTACATTCTTATACCATTTTTCAAATCAGATATGCTTTAATAAAATGCAGAACGTAGTTAAAAAGACTTCAAGAAAAGATGGTGTTCATATACTGCATTGATATTGGAGTGGCGTGAAATGAGGGATACATTTGCATCTCCCACTGCTGATATTTTTAACATGGGTACTTCCTCTTTCTATAGATATGTGTGATAAGTGTCCAACACATTCAAGTCAAAAAAGAAAGAAAAAGATAAGACAGCTGTGCGGCACCGCTTTTGAGGAAGGGTGTGGTATTATCACTTTTTTTTTAAGTTTTAAAATGTCATGCAGAGTATTGTGGCCATTACACACCATATATTTGAAGAATAATGTTAAATATTGATCTACTTTTCAAAAGGCCATCTGGCCGTCATGCATCTATACTCAATGCAGCCTTTGATGCGGCGGAGACAAATGCTCACTGACACCATGCAGTCATGATACGCACGGACTCGGATACTTTGAAACTGCACAGCGACTGTGTGTAATTGTAGTATTAAGGCCCTTTGATGTACTTCTATAATTTCTACCCATCAGAAAGGGAGTCTAAGGGCTCCCTGATGAGGGTTCGCTGTGCCCCTCTGTCCAGACTGCTGCCGGTTCACTCTGTAATTATGGAAATGGGGTGTTTGTATTTATAGGCTAAGCCCACAAGCGGCTGTCCTTCTGTGTCTTGCAGCTGCAAAACATCATGGTGGAAATCAAGTGTCCTTATTTCAAAATTGGGGATACGATGGCAACATGTATAACCTGTTTAGTGTAAGTGATCTGATGGTCTGCAGCCTGCCCCACCTACTTACCATGCTAGACTCATTTGATGCACATATGAAACCTGTTGACTGGTGGCTGTGGTTCACTGAGCTGAATGTGTGAACAATATGTGATTAAAATGACTGTAGTAAACAGTAAAGAGCTCCAGAGTCAAAAGGTTCAATTTCATTGTTTTTAATATTTACAATAAATATACATTTTACAGTATAAAAACCATGTACATATTTATATAAATTTAAGTGAAAAATAATGCACAGGGCATCAAGCCCTGATAGCGAACACAGGGACTGGATCCAGGAGTTTCACACCAGAGAGGACAAAAGCTACCCCAAATAGGAATGATCAATAAAATAAAGCAGTTCAGGCCATTCAGACATTGAGGCAGTTTAAATAAAACATTGTCTCTGCACGTGTTAGTCAACGACGTGCATTTCACCCCTGTCATTAAGGACATGTACTGTTTTGTGGCCGTGTCGTTCTACTACAAGTTTTACAGTAGCACAGTCGTGGAAAGGCACTTTTGTGTCAAACACAGCGTTCCCCGATCTGTCAAAGAAGAGTAGTATATATGTACTGGGCCAGCCCCTTCTTGGTCTCCCTGTTCTAAAGCAAACAAAGCTTTTCTAAAGCCTGTATTGAACCAAAGTAGTACCAGCTACATTATTAGATTGAGAAGATAAAACCACCAAAACTTTTCCATTCAATATTACATATAAAAAAAAGGTCATTGGTCATTGGTCATTTGGACAGCAATTTAAATAAAAAATACATAAAAAACAATAGATACGAAAATAACACAACCCCCCCTCAAAGTCCTGATGTGAGCACCTTCACATGTGTCTCTTCATGTGAAGTGCCAGGTGGTCAGACCTGGAGAAGGCGCGCTCGCACAGGTGACACTGGAAGGGCCGGTGACCGGTGTGTTTGCGGAAATGACGGGTCAGCTCGTCGGAGCGGGCGAATTTCCACCCACAGCCTTCCCAGCTGCAGTGGTACGGCTTCTCACCTGGGGGGGGACAAAAACGGGACATCATTAGTCAACAGGCAGACGTGGTTTTTGAGCTACTCGGGCGTGTGCGTAATTTGCGCACGCATGCCGACGGATCGTGGGCTCAGACTTACCGGTGTGAGTTCGCAGGTGAGCCTTCAGGTGTGAGCTCTTGGTGTAGGTTTTTCCGCAGCCCGCGTAGCTGCAGGTGTGCGACGCCGTGCGCTTCCGCGGCCACGTCCGTCGTCCTCTCTTGGGCTTGGAGTCCAGCAGCTCGAGGGGAGAGGAGGGCGGCGTGAGCATCACCCTCTGCGCGCCCGGCTGCACGTTGAGACCCTCGTCGTACATGCCGAAGGCGGCGTGCGCAGGGTGGTAGGACATTTGCATGTGGGGGGCCTGAGGGTGGTGCGGGAATGCAGCGTGGTACTTCTGTGAGTAGTTCATGGGCTGGCACAGCTGTGCCTGGCAGTCCGAAACGCCCTGGTCCTCGGGGCTCAGAGGAGGGGTCATGTTGCTGGCTGCGCGCGGGGAGATGGCCACCCGCGGCTGCTCGAAGGACATCATGCACGAAACGTTGCCTTCTTGCTTGATTTTGCTGCAGCTCTGGGGCACCATGCCCAAAACGGGGCCGTAGCCTTCCATCGGGGGCTCCACTTTGATGTCCTGGCGGGGAAAGTGCGCCGCGTTGACATGAAACCTCCCCTGGAGGCAGTGGTTGCGCGTAATGCCGTAGTTGTTGTTGTTGTTGGTGGTGTTTCCTTCGGAGCGGAGCAGCTCCGTCATGAGGCTGGCGCCGTACGGCGGCGGCGGGGAGCGGTGGTCGTCTGCCGCGTAGGACGGCGCCGAGGTGCCCGCGGCGTACATGCTGAAGTCGGCTGTGCCCACAAACTCCCCCGGGCTGTCTGAGGAGCCGGTCGTGTTGGCGAGAATAAAATCCAGATCCAAGTAATTGCTCAGATCCTCGTCGTCTCTTTTGCTGTGATTGTCCAGGTTGTGTACCATTTCAAGCATGGAGCAGCTGGCGGAGACTAGTTTGTCCGTGTCTCCTTTCCACCTCTGTAAGGAGAAATACACCTTGTTAGATATGGTTTTCTGTGAAATAAAACAGTGAGACGTTGATCTTTACAGTTACTTCCAGTGGTTTACCGATTACTAATGAATCAGTACAAAACGGGTGAAACAGAAAAATAAAAATCCACAGATTTTGAAACGCAATACAAGATCATGTTCAACTTACGTTTTCCCACGTTTTCTCTCTTTGGTTTGAGAATGTCGAAAATGACGGCAGCATCACCCCGGATAAGGCACAGGGTTTGTGGAAATAAGAACTATATCTCTGCTCAAAAGTCAGATTTCCGTGCCGCTCCGGAGACATGAACCGTGTGGAGTTTAAAAGTGAAAGGAAGGTCCTCGGAACCTTTATAAGTCTCTAACCCGAGCGCGCCCCGTCCAATGTGAGAGCTCAGGAAACAACGTAAAGTTCGGGTAAATTTAGCTCTTTATAAAGCGTTCCCTGCAGGCAGCGGCGCTCAGTGCTCCTTGTGACGGTGGACGCGCCGCAGAGGAGCCTATAAAAGCGCAGGACCTCCCCCACGGGGGCGGGGGCACACACACACAGTGACGCATGCACTCCGCAGACCGCCCCCGCCCCCCCCCCCCCCCCTCGAGCAAGCAAAATACAAACAGCAATATAGCAACCAAAGATACTTACGTAACGCGCTGAAAGGGAGCAGCCTGATGAAGGTGCCCGCGGGCCAAGCCGCGCCAACCGCTTAATAGCGCAGAGCGTCGTTGGTTAATTGTCACGGTAGCAAATAGCGTGTGCACTTTTTCTGAGAAAGAAGGCCACAGATATAATTAGTGCCAGGGTTAAGACTTTGGAAAGACAAACGCAGGTACAAATGTACGAACGCACAGTCACTGCACACGCGTTAAACGGCACGTGACGATTCACATACCAGGAGGCTTGTTGTATCCAATTATTATTATTATTTTTAAACTTTTTGATGCATCATCGGTTATCAAACCTCAACACGAACCTGTTACGTATCTAAATTATGAAACACACCGAAATGTATGGAACATGTAGAACACGTGCCTTCGCGTTGCGTGACTGGCATTTCTCTAAAATCCGTAATAAAGAGATCAGGCTCCTCCGCCTCCACCTGCTCGGCGGGTCTCGCTCCCGGCTCATTATCATTAAGGGAAGGCGCCTTTTGTTCCCTCGCAGCGGGCTTGTCCAAACAGGCGCCAGGGTCCTCTGCAACGCCTTTCACGGCGTTTTAACGCTTTAACTACTCTTGATGTAAACATGATTTAAAGGGTAACGTCCTGTTGTTTCATCCGTTCAGGTGTAAATGAGGGACGGGGGTGAGGCGGGGGTGAGGGGGGTGAGGGGGGTGAGGGACGGGGGCTGCGGTGTCGATTGGAGTCACATTTACATCACAACCCTGTTGCGCTTGTCGCCGTTTCTGCCGAGAGATCCGCTGGTTTCTGACGCGAGGACTGCGGGATTGTCTGACAATCATTTGCATGATGACTGATGTACAGGCTGAATGTTAAAATAAGGTATTTCCCAAAGTAACTAATAGGCCAGTTATGCATATACAATCTCAAATGTCACATTTAAATATTCTATATGACGCGAGCGTGAAAAACATTCATTCCTGTTTGTATTGAATCTCACAATCGTCATACTTTTATATTTCATAATTGGATCACACGATTAGTTAATCAAGTGCATTTATTGATTTAATCAACCGAACAAGAAGTGTAAAATGTACAATAATGACCTCATATGTAAATACTTTCTACTTGCAACGTGCTTTTCTAGTTTACCAGGTCACCTGAGGTTGGTCCCGACCACTCAAGCAGCTTTAAAGGTACATTTCATCCCTCACGACGAGCTATGAGCCGAGGTGCTGCTTGCCTGTCAGGACTAAACGTTCAGACCCATTGAACTTGGACCAGTGGAGGTGGGGCTCGAACCGCCGATCCTATGATTGAAGGGCGGCTCTGCTCGATGCCACTTAGTCACCTCAGTCACCCTGTAGTGCAACGCGATATAGTCACAGTATGAAAGGGTAAGGAGATGAAGTTCCCAAGTAATGTGTAAGCACCTGAGAATTCCACTCAGTGTAATTGGTAACTTCCACCCAATATTTGCACATCATTTAGGGAGAAACACCCTCTTTCTGTGCAGTAACAAAAATAAAAAGACATAAAAGTGGTCGGTGTGATGATGATCTGAGCAGAAACAGACAGACCAAGTTCACATGACGGACGCATCACCTTTCAACGAGCCGTCACATCCGTCACCAGTGAAATCTGTCACTGCAGCTGGGAGGTTTTCCACATCCTGATCCCTGATCTCTGCTTGTGCGTTCAGCGGAAAGTGCGTCACGCGGCAGGCGCTTAGCAAAGGCCGGAGAGGAAGCGACCGGCCCGGCGTGTGGACCCCGGACCGGTGAATCTGACCTCGGCTCTGTGCAGCAGTCTTCCCGCTCTGCTACCAGTGAGAGTGCTCTGACTCTCACTTCCCCCAGCTACCATTAACCGCTTTGCAAAGCTCCAAAAAAAGGTTCATTTTTCAGTCATCCACTAACTAATTCCTGGTAGGTTTACTCATGTCTCATCACAAGCCCTTCGCAATATTTTCACTTTCTAAAAGTCATGTTGGAGGTTGTCGCCTGGTGAAAGTCAGTTGCTGGTTGAGCTTAAAATATAAAACACATATAGAATAGCGGCCGTGCTGTTTGCCAATGAATTTCTCATAAGCACTGATTTAAGTTTTAAATTATTTCTACATAGCAACTTACATTTTTCTTACTAAGTGCCTTGCCTAAAGGAATATGTGCGTGATACCATCTAGTTTAGCATAGAGGCTGGAGACAGAGTCTAGCAGCCAGCCAGAAGGTAACCAAAAACAATCCGCCTAAAAGCTCACTGATTAGCATGTCGCATTTTGTTTGTTTGATCTGCATAAATCAACGAACAAACAGAACGTGTAACAATGACAATTTTGTGGTGTCAAGGGAGGGGACGGGTGCAGTAACAACAAAAACTGCAGCTCGAATGAAAGCAAACAAGTTCCTTTGCCAAAATATCCAACCCTCTTCAAGTACACTTAGACATGTGGACGGGAGGAGTCGTGAACGACGCATCGACCTTTTTCAGCCACTGGGCCACGGCAAACGCATCTCTTCATTATAACGTGGCTAAACTTTACAACGACAAGGACGTTACCCACCTTATTTGACTTTTATTACTTATCTTCAACAACCGATATTACTTTAATATCGGTGACTAAACTAAAATTTCTAGTCCTGACCCGAACTCACAGGACGAATGGTGGCTTTTTTACATGGTCAGTCGAGCTGGTGAACACCCGGTTCAATCTCAGACCGGGTTAATAGGAGATTAGACAACTCTGCACCCGGTGGATCAAAACCTCCCCCCATTTGACTCGAGCGGCCTTCGATCAATGTGAAACGGTCACGCGACTCGCTCTGCGTCGTCAGGCAAAGGGACGAGCAAAGCAGAAAGGAAAGCGGCATTTGGCGAGCCCGGTGCTTCCCTGCAAGCGCCGCGGGATAATTGGCATGACGCTTAAGGGGGCAGGTTTGTGTTCCTTGCTGATCCGTCACTTCCTGTGGAGAAGTGTGCGTACCCGACGAGAGAATTTCATTTGGGCAACCGGGGGGAAGGAACACATGGGGCCTCACATACGATGGGACTGCGACGGCCCACATGACAAACATCTCTCAGTCGAGGTTTTTAGTTGAAGACATTTGAAAGAAGTTGGGCTCAATTCTCCTATCGCTTACCCACTTCGCGGCGAGGTCAGAGGTCAAACACAGGATAAACACCTCGGTGCCTGTAGGGATTCAGGGTCTTGTTCAGATTCTTGACCTTGTGTCCTCAAGTGAAAACACAGTCTCACAACCTGCAGCTACATGTAAGCAGCATGTCTGACTTTTCTCTCAAAAGAGGAACTATTGAAATGATTGAACGTAGAACGTACACAACACTTCCCTGAATTGACATTTACACAACAGCTTTACCGTTGGGTAACACACATTCTCATTTCACAATTTATAAAGCTTGATGGCGTTTTTGACTTTTGGAAGTTATCAACAGGTCATCAAGTCATTCGCAGGCCACGACACATTCTTGCAGAGGCGACTACTTATTTAGATTATTCTGTTTTCTCAATGTACTTGACCTTACATAAACCTTCTCCTATACAGCTTAGACGGTTATGTTGATCATTCTAAGCTTTCATCTTCGTTTTTTGCTGTGGATCCTGGCCACAAGATTTTTTTTTGTCATTTATCTTTTAAATTACAGCATCAGTTCTGTAACTTTGGATAAAGACACAGACTATTTACAAACAGAATTCAACCTTGACCCACAGAAAAAAATTACTTACTTAGAAAGAAAGCAATCCAAAGAAAAAGTACAAAAGAGCACACATTCAATTCAATTTATTCTCACTTAAACACTTGTAAGATAAATACACGTGCCCCACCTGAGGCCAATCCTTAAGGAGACCTCACAGTCTCCTGAATCGTGAAGTCATGGAGAGAAAACCAACTGTGACGTATATTTGCTTCCAAAGAAGGCAGGGGAGGGGGGGGTCGACACAGCTCGTCACGTAGACGTATGCCTCACATTCTCCACGCTAAAAAACACTCATGTTGTCACATACACGTTGTAATTGTGTTTGTCGAATCGGTGACATGAATACTGGCATTCATTACGTCTATTTCAGGCCTGTAAAGTGTTCCTGCGTCGGGCGCTCGGACACATCAGCGCTGCCTCGTGTGGCTCCGTTAACTTCCATGGAAAAACAGTGTGAGAGTCAGTGGCGTACCAGCACGGGACGTCCTGACTGAGTGAGAGTCGGTGAGAGTTTAAGAGTGAGTGGGATCCTGCTCCGGGCTTATATAGTCCAGTTATTTTTAACTGCCCACCCCTTGCTTATTATGAAGCCCCCCCCTACCAGGACCACTCAGGAAGCACGTTTGGATCCTTTTCCTGCTCACACACGGCCAGATTCAAACAGAATCAAAGAATGATAGCATTGAGGCTCTCCACCCCCCCCTCGTTGGAAAAAGAACGAGAGGGGGGGGTGTTCAGCAGAAAAGGTTGGCACGCGCCAATGGCACGGCATTCAAAGAGCGGGCTCTGGTCCTGCTCCAATTTCAGAAACCCTCAAACGTTTGTTAAAAAAACAGCACCGGGCAGGCAGACCCGGACACATATTTGTGGTGCCGGGAGGATTCAACAAGGTTTCTTTAGCATGACTAAAGGACAGTTCAGGATTACAGTAAAATAACTGTCACCCACCTATGAATAATGTTTCGCATCACACCAGCTTTTTGTGTTTGTTGTTGCTGAATGAAAAAAGAAAAAAAGCAGTTGATGCTTGAGAATACAGGGAGACCGATTCAACTCCTTCCAGTTGTTTGCCACTCAAACACAGAATTGTGTAAAATAAAGTTAGTTAAGTTTGAGGAAACTTACCATAAACCTCAGTTAAATAGTTGAATGTTAAC